TGATGAAGGGGGAGCATGAAGTTGTCCGTGACGCGGCAGATCGGGTGGGGGCGGAGGCGGCTGAGGGAGGGGCTGATATGCAGGCTGCACTGGATGATATCCCATGGGAGGCTGCGGGAGGCTGGGCCGTACTGGGGACACATTTGAGTGCGGCTGGGCCAGTGAAGGAGCATGGGATGCTTGCGACTCCCCCTGCGGCGATGGATGCCCAGAATGGGGCTGTGCGGTGGAATGATACTGGGCTGGAAGGGGTGGCGGTGGTGGGATGTTTTGGTAGGTCGAACCGTTTGGAAAATTAGAGGGGAGTGGGCTACGCGCATTCAGTGATTGAGGGAAACTTGATGAAGGAGGTACAGCCACAGAAAGATGGCGAGTCCGTGGTGCATTATTAGTCATCTGAGGTTGAGGCAATGGTCTCGAACCTCGTGACGTCGGGATATGCTGGGAAGTAGGTGCGTACTCGTGAGGTGGTGATGGCGATGTAGGTGCATACGTGTGGTATGTCTGAGGTGATGGTATGTACTCTTGTTGTGATGGAAAGGCGACAGTTTGTCCATGAGGATCTGAATATTGGTATTGATCATGAGTGTGTAGCTGCGGCGTGCTGAATGAATGTGAAATCCGATTAGATGCATTGGGGGGAGGTACCGGTGCGACAGCAGGTGCTGGGAGAGGGGGGAGAGAAGGATGGCCAATCTGGTGAGGTGGCGAGTAGTTGGCGGGACCTGGAGGGTAAGATGGAGGGACCGGTAATGGAGGTCTTTCCGGCGCTGAGAAACCGGATGGCTCTGATGAATACGATGTCATTGTTCCAAAAGAAGACGGGGCTGGTGATGGTATCGGCATGAATCCTGAAGAAGGAGCCGGCAAGCTAAACCGCGGTCCAGCGTGTCCTTGTCGGGACGGGGGTGGGGGAGGATGGTTGACAGTCGAACCACTCTCATAAGGAGGGTAGTATGGAACGGGACCTGAAGGTATCCTGGATGGTGAGGTAGAGGTCGCTCTCCCTCCATCGTGCGAGATCGCCAATGTTCCGTTATCAAGTGTATGCTGATCATACGAGTGTGGATGCGAAGGCAATGAACTAAAGCCCGCAGATGTTGAGGGACGTATCGTTTGTGTGGGCTAAGTCACCGATCATGATGAGACCTACACCACAGAGAAGGGAAACACACCGGAAAGCTCTCCCGTCTTCTGGGATCCATGACACCTAACTCCCCAAAATCGTTGGCAAGCTGATCGGCAGGTGATGGCGATAGGCGGTTCCTTTGCTCATATGCGGGTGCATAGAGTTCTGCTCTCGAGTGTGATGAACGAACAGTAGACGGCAGATGGCTGTCAAGAACGCTGCCAGAGACAGAAAGTCGGGAAGGAGTCGAATGTGCGCTGGACCCGTTCAAAGAAGAGGTACTGCCATTGGCTGGCACGAAATTTCCCGGACCGCCGTAATTGCTATTACCAGTAGCTTGTTTCGGCGCAATTCTTTTGACCGGAGGAGGTTCCTGCATACAACCTCATGAGATGATAGAGACAAGCAGGCCAGGAAATTGACAACATACATTTGACCAGAAAGTCAGTTCAATGTACACCTCTCCCGCGTATTTGTCCTTATACATAAGTGTGAACCACTCTGCCAAAAGACTGAATAAATCAGATTGAAGACAAGTGCAAGTCCCAGCTTACCATCCGTTTCTCCCTTTGTGAGAACCTCTGTCAAGTCGACCACTGCCTCTCCGATTAAGTCTGGTTCCCGGGGATCATCTGCATAGCACTGAAGCCTCATCGAATTCCCACCCTTTATCTTCTTTGGTCGACCCTTCTTCGGCGGAGGGGGCGGCGGTGTGTCCGTCAATTGTGAATTCATTGCCAGCTCATCGTCGGTCGCCTCGTATACAGTAAAGCGGAATTCTTCGTCCCATTCCGGATGTTGACCACCCCGTTTGATGGCCTTCGTACGACGTTTCTCTTCATTCAAGAACGCGCAGCAGTATGGTGCTTGCTTTCCTATATGCCTCTTATTGGGTAGATTTTTCTGCTCGCCATGTTAGAGAGAAATATAAAGGCCAATAGAAAGTTGAACTCGATGCGCACCGCTTTCAAGACAACAACAATTAGTGTTCCGATCTCGCGCGAAGCCAGCGACATATAATCAATATGAAGGAGAGAGGAGGGAAATGGTTAAGGTTGAAGGAAGAATGAATCGTAGAAATGTCTACCAGTTGAACATGAAGCGTTCTAGTTGATCGCAGTAATGACTCAAGAATATGTAATAGTGGTGGCTGTGGCTCAGCATCACATTTAGCGCCAATACCATCTTCAGGTTAGCTCACTTTGCCGCAGCACAATGCGCGGGTTCATTGCTAGACAATGCTAGTGGACGGCATTGCATCATATTAGACAAGATTAACAATATCTAGGTGACTTGACACGATACAGGATCACTGTCCAGGTATGTACGACTTATTATCCGTAAAGATCAGGTGGGGCTTTCTCTGCGCGAGGTCCAGAAGCATCTCAGAGAAATAACTATTAGCCCACGCGAACCAAGGGCGAGTATAGTCTGATACGTTGTAGATATTGATCGACTCGTGGATCAAACCCAGGCCGCCAGTGTTCTATATGCGTAGTCAGTGGCATGGGAGAATCAATACCTTCCGAAACCCACATTAACAATAGTGTACAACGAGGTCAAGATTTCCTCATCATCACTGGTACCAAATATGTTGGTGACCTGAGACATGGGCCTATATTGAAACGATCAGACCACTAAATCTCAAGCCCCAATCTGCCAATCATTACCAAGGGTTCCAGACATCTATGTGAGGTCCACTGCCTTATGTCAGAAATAGACACTCATTCTTCCTTGACCACACTCACCCAATGCCACTGAAACTTCTGCCCCTAACATAGTAAGGGTTTCCGCGGGACATGAGCATCTTCTTGGTCTTCACGTAATCAGGGTGATTCATGTCGAGGAAACCAAGGTAGGGAAGCGACAAGAGAGACTATTCAAGGTTATAATTTGCTTCAAGACAATGGCATTTGATACCTACCGGAACGTTTGCATCGTCCATCACATAGCGCGAACCCAATCCTAGTGGAGTTCTTCACAAGCGATGCAAAGACAGCTGTCGAAGACATACCATTAGTCTCGTATGCAAAGATGCCATCAACAACCTGGGATAAACGTATCAGTGAAATGCAGACCTTCTGCTACACTCAACGTACTGTGTGTTCCCAGACAGCCTGTTCTATTGTTTTGCTCCAGTACTTTGCCCGACTGCTAACATTAGGGGCCACACCAGCGTGGTCTAAAATGGTAGCCAGATTGCTTAGCTGAACGCTCAGCATGGCATTGGCTGGCGTAAGGAAAGCTGGAAGCGAGGAACATGATCAGAGGAACCGGGTCGCCTCCGCAGAAGCTCACCAAACGTGCTCAAGTCATCGGAGGGTCTGTGGTGTGTCCCGACCATACCCGTATATCCTTTAGGTTCACCATTTCCGCCATTGTTTACTGCACCAGCAAGGGAGCCTGCAAGACCTGTCCAGTTGTAGTAAGAGATGAAGTTCCAATCAGCATCAAAGGAAGCTCGAGACTGCTCATCAATGACACGGAGGATCTGGTCAATTGCGGCGAGCCCTGCGCTAAGAATGAAACTCCAGTACAACAAGACTGGATAAAAGACAAACATTCTGCATTCATCATGGATGCATCCTTTGTTGCTTCATAGTAAGAGGAGGAAAGCTTGATGAAGCCGCACAGCGAGTCAATTTCGTACTGGAGATACCGTATAGGTCAGTGCTCAGAAGACGATGATTGTCAAGACGCAAACCTTGCACTCAAACACTGTTTGATTATCCACAGGGCTATACAAAGAGAATCACTGGACGCGAACCACCAAGATGAGCGAAAAACTGACGGGTTAACGAGCACGCCAAGAGCCCAATTATTGACGGAGGGTCCCAAACCACTTTCAGGGGGAGGTTGGAAGGCACCACAATAAGGATACTGTGAAACATAGCGGGCTTCGTTATTAATCACAGCCTTGACCAGGTTGGCAAGGTCGGCGTCAACAGAGAGAAGGGTGTGATAATGAGCAAACTGGAAGAAGAAAACTCTGAACACATTGTAATTGCAAATTTTGGAGAGCGAGTTACCTGATTGCCAGTATCACGTAGCCACTGCGCACTTCAAGCGGCAGTGAATATCAATATGGAATATGGAATTCAGGAAAGGGAGAAACGAACGTGATATCCTGGACGCAACCATCAATATGTTATTCATATCAGAGGCAAGCAACTCACCCCAGTAATGATAAATGCCAAGTTCTCCCTCTTCGGCAGTTAGAACGCGTAGAGAACAGGCACCTTCGCTCATACCTCATTGTAGTATTTCACAGTAGTATCTGCTAGAGTTTCATGAGTGTCCATTGTTGCAGCAACTAGGGTACGTACCGAGGGTATTTGGGAAAGTATTCTCAAAGAGACGCGCCACGTCAGGGTCTTTCAGACGCGACTTCATATCCAGAATAACTTTCTGCGGATAACTGCCCAGTCACACGGTGTCCTACCAACATAAAACGCGTCATACCTCCACTGAAGTGCTGTTGAAAGTTCTGCATGCGGGGTCGGGCCGCATGTAAGGCAATCCCAGAGGACCAGAGGAAGGATTCCCTTGAGGACTCTGCGCTAATGAGAAATCTAGTCCCGGCCATCTTGGAGTCACTTACCTGTGCGTAGGTAGTGTAGTCTGGACAGTCCGCCTGGGCTGTAGCAGCTACTAGGGAGATGGCAATACTAGTAGCAACTCCAAGTCCTAACTTCATTTTGGCTGCGCCCCACAGATAACCAAGGCCATAAGGAAACGTTCGAGAACCGACATCCCAGCTGTCGTTAAGGCCGTTTATGAAGTTGCCTAACAGCATAATCTAATTAAGGCTACGCGCTTGGAGAAGTACCAGCATGCACTATGTGAACTTGCGAAGCGCGAGGGTTCGTGCACATGACCAACCCTGTCATAATCTGAACTAGCTATACTACGGTCAACAGGGATGTGCCGTGTGCACTGTGTAGTGGAAGACTCGGAAATATCTTATAAGATTGTATGGTTGCTACGTGGGGCAGCGAGCAAATGTGTAACAATAATTTTCAAGTTGATGTACAAGATGACAAGAAGAATGAGATGCAGAGCTATGCAAATGAGTGTGATATGCATGCCAATGATCAGAATAACGTCAAGGAGAGTGGTAACTGCAGTGTATAACATGAACGAAGAACATACATAAAGTAGCAAGAAGGAAAGCTGCTGTGACACCCGATTGGATCTGACCCTGGCAGTTCTCAGTGATCAAGAATGAAATCGATATCACCTCTCACGTATTCTAATGGTAGAGGAAAACATTCAGTTGGGAGTCCACCGGCATACGCTCATGAACATGCCTTAGGTTTCCGCTAAGGAAAGCACGCGAATTGCTGTAGATCCTGAAGCCCGGCCAAGGGTAGCAGGAACATCATGATCAACAGATTCGGAGGATTCATCAATCACTGTCTCCTTGGCCGAGTCGTATTCGTCGCCTGTGGCAGGCGTCTCAGGTGAGGACACGTCAACTTGATCCGGTCCGTCCGAAGAACTCTTTTCTTCCAGTGAGGTTTCCAAGCCACCGTTAACTTCTTCTTCATCCACGCTCCGAGGTCCGCCAGTCTTGGTACTATTGGTTGTCCACAAGCTCTTGCTGCCCATGCTTATGGGGCCCCCTGTCCCAAGAATTCTAGCACTCCATCCACTAACCTCACTCTCCCAACTTCCTCTCCGTGAGCTCCGTGGACGAAGAGCACGCACGCTGGCATCTACGTCGCGTTCTACATCAGCATCTTGGCGATCATCATCTCCGAGCACAAATTGGCTCATGACGTCGCCTTCTGCATCTGCGGTAAAGCTGCCCTCTAAATGAGAAATCGAGTCTCCACCTCCGATAAGTCCCGACCGTGCAGTTGAACCCGTAAATCCCATTGTCAAACGTTGACCAGGAATGGCATAAGCTGAAGAAGCGAGGGTTAAAACAGAAGCATTATCCAAGGGTGGAGAAGAGGGACGAGGATTGTTCCTTGGATGATACGCGGTATACAGAGGGGCTTGTAGTCCATGCATGTGAGATGACGGGCTTAGTGATACCGGCGTGGATGAGCTGAAATTCAGGGAGGAAGGTGGGCGAGAGGATGATTGAAGAGAGGGCGGGAGAGCAGAGAAGGTAACGGATGCACCACTGCCTATCAACCCACTGTTTGTTCCAGTGGATGATGTCCGTCCATGGGGAGGAAAACGAGGATTAGCTTGGGATACCGGTGTAATAGGAACTTGTGCTATGTGTCCTACTCCAGCAGGACCAAGGTCAATGCTTAGTACTGTTGTTGGTTTTGTACTTGCGGCGATACTTCTAAAGGTGCGAGGATTGGATAGATACGAAGAAGAGGAGTGGGATAGTGAAGGAGATGGAGGTGAGCTGGGGGGGATAGGTCGAAGAGAGGCATCTTCATCTGCTTCGAGAGCGCTTGCAGGAGACCAAAAGGAGTCGCGAGCTAGTGATGAGCGATAAGTCGACGCGTCAAGATCTTCATCGTCTGAATGTATGAAACCGACGTCCAAATCACCCTCTCCATTTAGAGAAATAGTCTTTCGTTGAGATGTGGTATAACCATTTCGACTGCCATTCCCAGCTACTCCCTGTCTTTGCGATGAACTCGGAGTGAGCTGTGGCAACGGAGAAGATACCGAACGACTATTCGACCTGGAATGAGACGTGCTTGTACCATTCTTGCCGTTTGGAGCCTTCTGTGAGTTGCCCTGTACAAACGCGTTTTCTGAAATCCTGCTCGGCTTCACAGTACCAGATAATTTGCGCTGAAACCAGTTAATGATAGGTTTGCTAGAGCGATGTGGTGCCTTCTTAGTGTAAACCTGTTGAGGCTTTGTCGCAGGCCACTTAGATTCAGTGGCATTGGGTGGCTTGGGCTCAGCTTTAGGCTGGACTACCAACTGAATCGGATCGCGGGGAGCGGGCTTGGAAGTTGTCGGTTTGGATGTGACTTTGACGGGTTGAGGTTCTCGAAACTTGGTAGGGGCCATTCTCGTCGTCCGCAGCCACAATCAATATTTAAGGAGCGAGAATGCAGTAGCGCTTAGTACTTATGTAAAAGAAGCACCGACCGTATCCGAGTCAGGGTGTTACTATTAGGCGGAAAACATGTGGACAGCGATAAGCAACATCCTGAAATTCATTTGATCCAAGTACAAGTACATATAATCGTAAATCCCAGTAATAGGACATGTTTCTCGCCAAATTTCAGGTTTACCATTCCATCTTCTTACCCGGTTTTATGCCTGCAACGGGAATCTTCTGACCCTGGTATCCGAATCCATCTAACCACGACCAGAGAGCACTACGTTTCTCCTCAAATGAAGTAATTGCCTCCTCCCTCTGCAGAGTCAGGCCGATATCGTCTAACCCGTTGACAAGGCAGTGTCGCCTAAATGGATCGACGCTGAAGGTGATAGCCGGCTTTCCACTACGTCTAACTTCCTGCTTCTCGAGGTCCACCTCAATCTCCATGCCTACCTCGGCATCCGTAGCGAGGTCCTTGCAGTCTTCCTCAGACAGGGGCAAGGGCAGCATGCCATTTTGCATCGTGTTGTTACGGAAGATATCTGCAAAACTTGGCGCGATTACGCAGCGGATTCCGAAGTCATTCCTGATAAGGGGCTTTGTGAGAAGGTCACAACATGCAAAAATGCAAGGATGCTCACAGAGCCCATGCTGCGTGCTCCCGTGAGCTACCACAACCAAAGTTCTTGCCAGTGCAGATGAGAATCTTGGCTTGGTCGTAAGGAGACTTGTTAAGAATGAAGTCCGTCTTTCCCCCGGTTTTCGGGTCGAAGCGCTGAGCGAAGAACAAAGCGTTGGCAAGACCGGTCCGCTTCAGAGTTTTCAAAAACTGCTTCGGGATGATCATGTCGGTGTCAACATTGTCGTTATGCAAGGATGCAGCAATGCCTTTCACGATAACGAACTTCGCGACTCCGGAGCCAGAAGAAGCAGGCGGCAAAGAGGTAGGGGTTGCGGTCTGGGTGTGCGATGGGTGCTCTGGCTCAGTCGCAGGTCCGGTAAACTCGGTCAAGAAGTCGAAGGCACTCGCGAGAGTCAATTTAGGACCAGCTGCAACCTTTTCCTCTGCATCTGCGCCGAAAAACTTGCGAACGTCTGTCAGCTTGCCTGTTATAGCTGCCGCCGCAGCCATAGCAGGGCTGACGAGGTGCGTGCGGCCACCGGCACCCTGACGGCCTTCGAAGTTGCGATTGCTAGTACTAGCGCAGCGCTCACCAGGGGCCAACTGATCTGGATTCATGCCTAGGCACATTGAGCAACCGGCCTCACGCCAGTCAAACCCTGCACGCTTGAAGATGACATCTAACCCTTCCGCCTCAGCGTGCTGTTTAATCAGACCAGATCCGGGAACAACCATGGCCTGTACATTTGAGGCGACCTTAGCATCGGGACCGGCGGCAAGGACGATCCGGGCGGCGGATCGAAGGTCTTCTATGCGGCTGTTTGTGCAGGACCCAATGAACACTTTCTGAATAGAAATGTCCTCCATTGGCGTGTTTGCCTGCAGGCCCATATAAGCTAAGGACCGCTCTGCCGATGCACGTTTCGAAGGGTCGTACATGGTGGATGGATCGGGGACCTTGCCAGTAATCGCGACAACATCCTGGGGGGATGTGCCCCAGGTGACGGTAGGAGGGATATCTGCAGCGTTAATATTGACCTCAATGTCAAATTTAGCGCCCTCGTCACTCCTGAGAGTCTTCCAGTATGCCTCTGCACGGTCCCATTCCCCGCCCTTGGGAGCGAGGGGACGGTTCCGCAAATATGCAAAAGTGACCTCGTCAGGTGCGACCATGCCTGCACGAGCACCGGCCTCGATGCTCATATTGCAAACACTCATGCGAGCCTCCATGCTCATGTTGCGGAACACCGAGCCGGCGTACTCGATAACACTTCCAGTACCACCAGCAGTTCCGATGACACCGATGATGTGTAAAATGACATCTTTTGAGCCAACACCTTCGACAAGCTCACCATCGACGGTGATGCGCATATTTTTGCCTTTCCTCTGCAAAAGAGTTTGGGTAGCGAGAACATGTTCCACCTCGGAGGTTCCAATACCGAAGGCCAGGGAACCAAAGGCACCATGTGCTATTGCAATCATATCAACGTCAACTCGTATCGGCGGCAGTATTTTAAACATACTTGAGGTGTGTGAGTCACCGCACACGCAAGTGATGCCAGGCAACTAACAAGATTCAATCAACCCCATGCTGTCACATCCGATAGATATGAAGACTTACCGTGAAGCCTTGCTCGGGTCCAATGACATGCACGATGCCTGGAAAGTACCGGTGTCATTTAGTGTTCGCACACACTAAGCTCCATTAATTCAAACCTTGGCGCTTGTCAGATAGCCCAAAATAGGTCAATCCAAAGTCCTTGACGTTCTCTTCCAGTTGCATGACCTGCGCACGCGAGTCGGGTTCGGCAACAAAGGTATCCACGGACTTGTAGCTTTTCCGGGAAATGGTGCTGTCGCGATATTAGTCTATGCAAAACAAATATGTATCATTCAACATACGGGATGTTATGATCCACAGTGGCAAGAGTGCAGTCTGGGCGACGAACGAGCCTCCCAGCATTCTTCCTAAGTTCCTGTCAGCATGTTGTAACGAAGGTCAGCTTGATAATTATGCTCACAGGCCTTCAAACGCCTGAGGGCTCGTGACCTCATGGACAAGATGACTGCGACACAGTGAGTTCACATCAACGAGGAAGAAAGCCCATCTGCCTACCGGTCAATGTAAATGAGGGCAAGGCCGTCTTCGTTCACATCTCTATCTGTCAATCAGTATACGTCCGATACACGGACAGGGGGGACCTCACACAACATGATCGTCCCAGATTTTGTCATAAAGAGTTCGAGGACCAGCGATTGTACCAGGCATGATGTTGAGATAAATGGTGGTGGGGGAATAAATGATACAGTAGATGACTGTCACCGTCTAGCCTTTAAAGCAGGCTTGTTAAAACAAAGTTGCTCGGCCGATCAAATTGTATTCGGCCGGTGCCTGATTTGGGATTGAATTACGCCGCGATTCTAAGCTGAGGAAGTCACTTATAGAACATAAGCCAAAGTAACAACAGATATCAGTGAATGTTTGAACACCGTGTGCCTCCTGTCCGCAGCGCTCGCGATGCTTTATCGCCATTTGGATTATAAATGAAATCTTCAACCCCACTTTTCGATTACGATGGAGCTGTATGGCATGCGGGGCTATGCGGGCCCACAGTGTGCCGAATACCTCCAGATACCCTCCTCACGCTCTCACGGGCTGCCCCATATCATTCAAATCAGACCTGACTAGTGCGTCTACTGAACAGGGGGATCAGGTTGCACAATAAATTAACCGAGTATCGTGAAGGAAAGAAAGGATCAAACACGCTTCATGTTCCATCAATCGCCTAGCGCCTTGTCTACAGGTCATGCCAACCACTTGTACGTATGACAATGCATCATTCATGATTACTGCATATGGCTTTTGTTATCGAAATACGTACCACACGCATCACATTATCGTGAATTGTCTGGGGTCTGCGAACTTCGACCACCATACATCTCCCGTCGATTCGCTAGGAGAGTTTTGGCATTCCGATCAAGAGTCGCTTGCAGTCTCGCAGCCTGAGAGACGGAAGGGATAAGGGAGTGTCACAAGATAAGACTTGAAAATACGCACCGCTGCATCTTCTGGTCGCAAAGCCCCTTTCGCCATGTTATGTTTTCCGAATTTAAGGCGCTTGATACGAGTGGTTTGTGACTTGCCGACGGCATCCTGTTCCAGCAGGGCTTCACATTCCTCCTCTGTTGCCACATACCCTTGAAGTAGTGAGAAAAATTTGTGTCGGAGGACGGTCTTGATTCTCTCCAGTGCCCGTGCGCTATACCACCCGTCTCGTTCCTACCAATGCATATGATCAGTGAAAACCCGTTTCCACATCATCAGCTACTCACGTCACAGACTTCCCGAAGGTTTTCATCGTCTTCAATCATCACCTTCAACATAGGGTCGTGAATATCGCATAATTGGAACGCGGCTGTCTCTTTAGTGAGAGTCTTCCCGTCAAATATGTGTGATTTACTAGTGAACATTTACATTGAGCCAGACACAGTGACGATTATGAAAGCTTACCGCCGATCGGCCTCGAACGATTCCTCTTGCTCAATGGACCTGTTGATGTATGTGGCAGCCGACCTGCCCTCTTGCCGACGCGCTACAACGGAAGGCCGTGCCACGGGGTGGTTGGCATTCCGAAAATATATCCGTTGATATCTTTAGGCCTTGACAGTGAGTATCCGCCAATAACAATACGTACAAAACTCACATTCGAGCATCCAATTCTTTCCGAGGATCGTATTTAAACCGAATCATTGCATCTCGCCATGGTCCATCTGAGAACATATATCCGGCTAAAGGCATGATAACTTTCGAGCTGTAGTCGCTAGTTAGACTTCTGTGATCGTATGGCGTAGTACGCACTTGTGTATTTCTCTCAATTCTGCAGGCGAAAATTGGTTGTAAAGAGCAGCGCGAGTCCACACAGGGCGCTCATTCATGAACTGCTTAAATGAGCAACTAATCAAACAAGAAGGATGAAGAGCAGCTCACTTCCAGTATTCGGTTCAAAAGTTCACTATTAGCTTGAGTACGTACATTTTCGACTGTTGGAGGAGGACCTTCAGGAACCTATTACAGAGAATCAGAAATGCTGCAGGGGCACGAGAGGATAAGTCGAACATTGGGATCGCCGAAAGCGATCGTTACTGGCCCGTGACCTTTCCATCGGCCCTTATTGATAAGCCTCTTGCGCTCTTCGCCAGTTTCTTCATTGACGAGGGTTGTTACAATCGAGGCAGGGTTTGCCTTGAAGCTACGGGCTTGTCAGCAATTTAGAGGAAAACGAGCAGAAGCACGCGCTTGTAGTTTTGCGGCACGTTTTGACGGCTGAACAGCGGAGGGGGAAACAACCGCAAGTTGCTGCGAGATTCAGAAGTTTGCTCGCTTTGCTCTGCCAATGCTGGGTCTAGCTCAGGTGGGTGGACGGACGCTGGAACTACATAGTCCTCTTTTTCCTCCGGAATCGAGTATTGTCGGATTGCATCGACTTCGGCATGTGAGGTCTGCGGATCAACCAATTGAAACACTGTGCTTACCATCCATCCGATCCATTGCAAGGCGCAGCTGGGCCAAAGGATCATTCATGTCAGGCTGAAACTGATAATCCGCCATACCTTATAATTGCAAGCACGTTAGCGAGATACTTGAAAACGTGGGTTGGACTCACTGCGAAACCGTGCGGTCTTCGGGATGATACCCACAGCCTCTGCAGTGAACTCCCCAACACATTCTCCGTCTGGGTGCTTTCGTTTCCGTCTCACGACTTTCAACAGAATATTGTTGGTGCTGACTATATCGCCCGGTATTGGGTGTGCAAATGGGTTCCCTGGCCGTAGATTGAGCTCAAGAAGAGCTTCATTCTTGGCCGCGGTGCGTTTGAACGCGGTTTCAAGGCGTGAAGGCCCTCCGAGATTACTCACCGCCAACGGGACAGATTCGGGTTTGACATAACCCGGATATTCGATAGAATAGAATGGTGTAGATGGCAAGGGTCTTTCTGGGGCTTCGGAACGTATCGTGGAAGATCCTGCCTCATCTGACATGACTGTAACGGCAAAGGATTGACAGGAGTTCACAATTGCAACACAAGACAACTGGCAAGTCACTCATATCAGAGACTAGGAGGTACTATTAGGTACCTATTTTACGCTATAGCCTATTTCAATTCCCTCCAACCTTCTTGGACAGGCCCATAAGCTCCTGTATGGTATCCTGGCAAAAGGAAATCGGCGAGAGCATAAACCTCTGAGAAAAATTTCCTCACCTGCGAAGTGAGATCCACACCCGCCTTTTGCAACTCAGAGACAACTTTCTGCGCTGCTTCCCTAAACTCCGAGTTCGCAGCCAACTTCATCATCTGGAACGCCGAAGGTGGAGTGTTTGCGTCAATCCCTGGAAGTAAAATGTATGAACATGTGTGAATAACCAAATAATTCGCGGCTGACCTTGAGCCTTCATGAGTTCCGCAAAATCTCGGAGCGCCATCAAAGCCTCTGGTTTATCCGCAAGTTTCCCGAATATTGAAGTGTTCTTGAACTGCGAAAGGAAGGCATCTTCATTCTCTGAGGCGTGTAGTCGTGGTGTGTAGGAGAATGTGCGTCGACAGCGGAGGAGTGCCAGTGAACTCGGACGAACCGGTCGTCTTGCTGAAAGTAATGCTCGACGTATGTGGTTCATGATAGAGGGGTCAGAGAATATTGAAACAACCGGTACCGTGCGCGTGAGTGTTCCGAAGTAAATAAATTTCAGCCACAAACGCGTTTTGACGAACGCGGTCACCATGGATAACGACTACTTTTCCATTGATGCTATCCTAGCTGAAAATCAGGTTTGTGTGATGTATTTGATATTCTAATACTCAATGTCTGGCCTAGAAAATACAATGTACCTTCAAAGTCGACATCCCTGACATGGGTCACCTCGCAGGTGGATCTGACCGTGATGTGCGCGTCTCAATTACCCTTTCCACGCGAATCATCATTGTTCAAGCTACCTTAGATCAAATCATTGACGAAGGTTCCAATACCGATATGGCTGGCCTATATCATGTTGTTCTCGTGCGTCTAAGTTATATCCAGTAGGCACAAGAACAAACGGATCTTCAGTGACTGGGCCGACTTCACTATCCCTTCACCCTTTGGCACACGAGTAAGAAACGCGCTCAAGGCTGAGCCTCGGAGCGTAAAGCTATCCAACTTGGTTGGTGCAGGTGGACTATGGTACGGTTTTGGAAAGATGGTCATGGATATGTGCGTCTCGCCGTTGATTTCAGGAAGCATACTTGACTGGCTACAAGTTTGAGTGAAGAGCAGGCGAATGGTATATCAGAGGTGTTAACAAAGGTACATTGTCTGCATACGCTGTGTGATATTGTCAATAGTCATTTTGTTCAGGCCTTCAAAGGACGATTGCTAGAGGTGATTGATCAAGCGCAGCATTTCGCGGCGCTTGGGCCTGCAGGAGGAGGCGGACCTTCTACCGATACCGCACAGTCATTCAGAGAAGGGCTTGATGGTACAGAAAGGGAATGTCAGTACTACCGAAAACTATGGCTTTGATGCTTACTCACCAGTCTGTACTCTGTAGTGTTTGCGCTGGCTCAAGAAAGCGCAAAACGAATGAAACGATGGCATGAAGGAAATGATAAGGCACGTCGGTGAAGAGTTCTAAGATTCGCTCTGCGTTATGTATACCATAAATCATTGTTCTTTTTTGTCTGTACTCGTCTCCATATTGGTCGTCTCATTCGCAGGAGGAACTTTTTTAAGCTCTTGCACGAACCTATGCATTGACCTCAGTTTACTGTTCAACATTTGTTTGCCCAATACAACGTACCATTTTACGCTCGCCCACAGAGCGAGTTGGATACCCATCAAAACGAAGAAGTGCGTATTGCCTTTCGTTAGGTACGCTGACCAAAGGAAGACGAAGAACAACAGTGCAAAGGCAACATCGACAGCGAAAAGAAATGTTGGATGGAGGGATGAACCTGGTTTCAGAATGAAAGAAACGAACGAGGGCTCTTCTGAGTTTGATGTCATATTCTTCGAGTAATAACTGGCAGTCAGTCCCAAGTTGGGAGTCGGGAGCAAAGGTTTAAAGTTGTAGTACGTGACTGCCGTCACTGCCCACCATTTCGCGATTTTCGTCTGCAGCACTCAATTTTGTACTTGGCAACTTTACTAAGTACAATCTACATATTCTACTATTAGCTGAGGAGTTACTGCCAGTGGGGTCTACTGTAGCGGACCCTGGTACTAGCTAGGGGAATCGTTGCAATTTGTGCGTACATCCTATTGGCCATGAGTGTCTCAGGTTCAGCTGGTCAACAGGCCAACACTACTTATCACCGATTTATCTATATCCATGAGCAACTGTGTACCAGCTATCATGACATAGAAGAAAAGGCACGGTCAGATGTTATTGACCGTCAAATAGAAGAAGTTTAGGAAGGAGTATAATATATTTCTTCTCGGTATGTATCTTCCTTTCTACCTCGAGATGTCATGTATCTATATCCTTCAACTGCCCTTATCCGTTCAACCCCCTTCTCTTTGTTCTTACGGCTCATATTCAATCTCAGGGGCCATCGAATCTGGAAAGTCGACAAATGATAGTCAAGCAGATGAAAAACACTCGTTAGAGCAGCTTCACCTAGAATGAACTCGTGATGTTCCGTCCAACAATATATCGGAATACTCTCGCCTCAGCGCAAGCCATTGTCCTACAGATGCATAACATGAATGTGGAATGTTTAACGCCTGCAAATCGAGTACGTTCTCTCCCGCTTTCTCTCCCACCCCAATTTATCCCATGCTGTAGACATTCGCCGAACTTATCGTCGAATACAGGGTTGAAAGCACTCCCGATTTTGTTTTCTCCGCCGGTATTGCACGAGCCCACTCATGAATTATGGCGAAACCCTATCATTCCAAAAGTGATGGACTGCTCTATCTTTCGACTGGCAAGAACGATTGGCGGTATACCCTCGTGCCCAAGGTGTCGCCGTCGCAAAAGACTGGATGTTTCCACTATTCTTGCCCATTATATTACGAATGCACCATCTCTTGCCCTGATCTATGTATATTTGCTCATCACTCCCCGGTTTCCTGGTTGCACGTCGACTTTTGTGGTTCTGTTGGATAATGAAAATTGCACCAAACTCTGTTTGCCCATATAATCATTACATACCCTTCTACGCTGTCTGCTCCAAGTACTGTTTGCTACTCCGTTTTCAAACCTGTACTGATCTCGGGTGTATGTACAATACTTCATACGTAATTATTGACTGGTGCTCAACTCTCAACGGTTCCTGTCAGTTTGAGATACGCACATGCTGGGGACTCTGTATTAACCAGTGCTGAAATATGACAACTCTAGTCCTGTAGCCTTGATTGGTTTTGACCTACTGGAGAGATCCGACACGAAACCCAAGCTAATCATCTGCTTCAGGCGGCCCTCCCACATCAATGAGACATTCTAATTGAATTGAGCTGTGAGTAATCTCGTCATATCATAACGCAATGCAGCTCGCGTTGTTAGTCGAGAGACTCGGCCTGTGGAACGGGAAACCGATGGTTGCTCTGGAGGAATAAGTGATGGTTCGAGCTCACCTTCATGCCTCGAGGCAGCTCGTCGCATCCACTATTCAGCTCCCATCGTCCACTCGCTGTCATAACTGCACACCTTGGAATCGAACCGAGAGAGCACATTCATTGAGAGGTCGCGTGATACACGAGCTGCATAAGCTGCGGATACATGTCCCATCATCGGGTTAAAAAGAGCAGTAATAGTCGTCGGCGGTTGAGATAGGGGCGACCAGGAGGACTGGGCGAGTGGTGATGATGATGGTTGGGGGAGGTGGAAAGATGGTGGGGTTGCATCGGGGAGAGTTGTGTAACGAATTCCCGCGGATACTGGAAGTGGATTGTCAGTGTCTGGGCGTGACTAGTAAATCGATTCGTCTTATTTCAGGCACTCCTCTCTTTTGCACTGATGTAGAATTCGGCACCACCAGAAACTCTGCCCTTCAGACCACCGCCGGTTGCCTCTTCGTCAACATGTTTAGGTCTTGTTCCAGGGGACGAGTTCAAATCCTCAGGAGGCTCAGTTGGATTTCTGAGCCTGCCAAAGTTGTGTAAGATGCGCACACCCCACATCCCATCTTCTGCGCTATACGTATATTCAGAGAACCACTTTCCGATGGCATGCTGTAGGCTGAACATGACGTTGCTGACATTGTCGCCTCGAGACCGCTTCTCGGAAGAGAGACTGGACCGTGGATTTGATATCGCTGCAACAAGTGCCTGTAGAGTAGGTGATAAGCGTGTAGAATAGAGCGCATCGAGTCTACCAGTAGGCAGGTACAACCGGCCATAGAGTAAGTAGTCTGAATACCGCACGTCAACACTTCAAAACGACCCCACCCGGAAGACCTACCACGTGTGTTAGCGCGCTCTCCGGCGAGCCATTCTTCCTCCTTTCCTTCTGGCCTGCGAGGTTGGTCGTACACCTTGAAACGCTCGACCATGTCTTTGGAACGGACACTACAGGAGCTCTTCACATCGAGGTTGCAGGATGTGAATATGTAGCCTACTCAGCCGATGAGCGACGGCATAGCGTTCATGGAATACGAGGTGTTGAAGAGACCACTAGGAGCTTTGGATATGGACAGATGCAGCCCACGAGGGACGCTGAAGTCCAGTATAGCTAGTCATCCGGTACATGTGCTTCAGCCCAGACCAGCAACAGAGTTTCTGAGGGGCATACCGTTAGAAGAACGGGTCAAGTTGGGGTACAAGTTGTCTTCGTTCCATCCTGTTGCACGACAATAACTTCGCAGCACATAGGATGCGAATGGGTGCACCTCTCAGGCTAAGGCTGGGTGTTTATGCATGTAAATGATTCACGGCACTTCCAGCTGCGTGTTGCTTCGTTATACCATGTCCGACTGGCCATGCATCGCATCTCCCAACTTGTAAATTTTAGATTGTGGATCTGCAACGTTAACGAGTCAGGCCCTTTCACTCAGATCACTAGTATAAGGAGCACATCAACTAATCTTACAGGCAGGCCACGACGACGCAGCCTGCTGCACAAACTAGACTTGATCGGGTCAGCTTACATAGTGCTTACATATTCCTGAATCCTTCTCCTGTTTTCTATCTCCTATCTTGCAATCATCATCGTCAATACGACCATCCAGCTGATGGCTGACTTGAGACGAACCGCGGGACCTGGCGTCACTGAATGGAGTGAATACGACCTCGATGCCTACCATATCACTGTATCATCCCAGACCAAACGGAAATTCTTTGGTATGCCTCGTCTTCCACCGCCTGCCCACCCTAGTGCACTTGTCGATTTCATGAATCCTCCGGATCCACGAATCATGTCGGCTAGCACGAAAAAGTTGCTGGGGTACTTTAATTTAGGCAACTACCCATATTATGGACAGTACAGGACAGGAAGGATCAATTTCTTTGCGAAGCTATTGGAGACATATGGATATAATGATGGCCGAAGGATCGTTTTCACTCACCATCCACTTCCACTTCCTATCTGCGGGGTGTCTTCGCTTGTAGAGATGGATATTTCTGTCATGGATGATGACGAGATTCTCATGGTGGTACAGGATAAAACTCCGACGAGGTTCGACGAGAACACGTCAGAGTCACAGTCATGGGTGGATCCTGAGGCTATAGTCATCGCAGGGGCTATTGCTGCGTATGCAGCAAACAACAAGGTTCGGGTGGATATGAATCTCCCTCTTCTCGATGTCATCACTATTCCCGCCATCACTTTGGAAGGACTCACTCCCACCTTCTATAAAATCCCCGTCACGGCCGAACTGAGCGGGCCGTTGCAGGAGGCACGTATCCTACAAGTAAAACACGCGTTCTTCGATACTTTCCGAAGTTTACTGGACACCCCCGGGGCTCTGCGATCAGGAACCCTAAGGACAGAGCTGAGTTTTTGGCTTGTCTGGAGGCATTTAAACAGTTCTTGCGGAATTGAAGAAGCTTGGACTGTGCATCATGCACTTACCCGCCACCGCCAGGCTTCGTGCGGTTGTGGTTAGGCCTGGCGCATGGAGCGGGAGAGCGCGGGTTGGAGGTTAGGTGTGGTAGGCGGAGGGAGTCTGCAGGGTTGGGCATAGCGGACGTTAGCAAACGCGCGATGGCAAGGTGCTTAACCTTACATTCCAATGTGACGAAATCCTTTCCTACATATTACGATATCTTCTTCTCACCGGTTCTTTGATCCGGGCCTAGTGAAATTCTCTTCCAAGTGAGGCTCATCGTCCATGGTCGAATTTTCTTCCAAGTGAGGCTTGCTGTTGATGGTGAAATTCTCATTCAACGAGTGAACTCAGTGAGTGAGTGACGAGAACGACAAGCCCAGATCGAGGAAGTGAGTGGTGGACGGCATGGGCAGGTAAGTAAATCCGGCCAGTGACTGTCCGTGGCTATCCGTTGAATTAGTGGGCAATCACAAATAGACCGTAGGAGATAGCACTCTTTGGAGTCCTAGTGACAGGCACTGCAGCTGAATTTCTAGTTCTACGGAACATTCCATACAAGTGTCAAAAAGTATGTATCATCGTTACCAATTATAAGGACTGTTTGAATATTCTGACCAGGAAACTATTACAAGAGACTACAAGGTACTACCCAGGGAAGAACAGTGATTTGTTCCACCATAGCAATGATCAAGGGAGGTGGGCCGGACTCGACTCTGAATCAACCCTCGGTACTTAGTGATCGAGGGCCAGGGTCATCCTGTGTTCAGAATCTCGGGCAAAGCCAGCCGCGGATTGGACCCACACGTCGTCATCAGGCAAATATGATTGTATGTTTCTCACAACGGCTGTGCGTCTGTTTGGAACTTCTGACCACCGCCACACGATATCCGATTTGATGTCACTGCCTTGCTTGTGCAGCGTGAAAGTACAGCGGCGTACTCCACTTCCATCAGGTGGAGAATCAGTTTCTGGGTCGGCTGATGGAATAAATCAGCAAGATGAAACAAAAGAAAATAATTGAGTAATAGTACATCGGTCAAACGTGCCCACCCATTCAAAATACTTGTGCGCCACGAAAGCGACGGATTCGGGTCGAGGTGTTTCATCGCCGTTATCTTCTCCGTCAAACACGGGGACAGTTGGGGTTCGTAAGACGGGAAGCTTCAGTTTGTCAAGTTGTGAATCAAATAGAGCGAGACGCATAGGAGTTCTAAATGATATTAAATGCTCGATTCATCGATGGAATACTGCACTGCCATCTAACGCACTGTGATTCTGGGGAGAGGAAACTTGCCAAAGCCAACGCGTGGCTAACAAGCTGGAGATACGATGCGATAGTGTGACTTGGCAACGACCAAATTTCCTAAAAACGTGATGCACACAGCAAGAGCAAATAACACGTACGGTTTGTTTTCATTTATGGGTAAAAAGTATGCAGATAGCTCGTGCAAAACAAGCAATGATGGAACAGAATCTAGAGTTGCTTTGGCATCGAGAGGCACAGGATCGGAGGCCTTGTATGTTCTAAACGCGGATAATAATACAACTAGGTGATTTGGGGTTGGTGGGTAGCTGAGGGTTGGGCAAATTGATCACATTACACCACGCCCATACACAAAAACGGGGACCAACAAGATGTCAACCTCGGAACTACTTTGACAAGTGTTCCCTGTTCCAGAATTGGTAAGTAGCCATTCGTCGTTGTACTCCCAAAGGCTGCGTATGAGAGCCTGTCGAGCAGAAGAAAGAAGTAAAGCCTTGGCACCCGTAGGAACCGACAGACACATGTGAATTGGAGCTGAAGGGTGATAATTTCCTTGTACTATGAGAGATTTATAGGGCGGCAGGGACGGATCAGACGTGGGGAACATTCGAGCCATGGTGATAACAGTTCCTGTGCATGACTGACAAGTTGAAGACTCAAACTGTTACTCCACCGGACACGTGATCATCGCGACAAGTTCACATTCTCTGCGAGAACTTCCATTGACTCATCAGGCAGTGATTGCACCACGTTGAAGTGATCTTGGATCCCTGGGCGCTAAGAATCCCCGATCTCCTGAATGTTCTTATATTCTGATATGTGTAGGTGGAGGATTTTTCCGCAAAACTCGCACGTCGTGTTCCTGAGCGTCAATCCATACACGAGTACATACCATGCATGTTGCAAGGTGCACAGCAGTATAAAAACTCACGGTCGACTTACGATTATACAGGTTGCGCCTCCTCGACTTCCCTTCTTCAACTGACACACTCCCATCCTGAGCCATATCGTTATTAATGGCCAATATGGCAGGTCGGGCAGTCATAGGTGCAGCGCAGACAGCTGCTCAATTTGCTCCAGTGCCATGGCTCGCACCCGCCACGGGCATATTGGTCGCATTGATCAACATGTTTGCAACAGCGGAAGCAAATAAGTATGTAATGTCTTCGATAGTCCACAGATCCGAGTACTGAACAGCCCGTCACAGAAATGGGATCATTGTGCTCCAAGATCGCTGCCTGAGTCTTATGTCCATCATCAACAACGAGGGGCAGAATTTGTCCCCGGATCAACAGGCTAGGCTGTGTTCGGGTGCCCAGGGGTTAGTGGTCTGGCTTGATCGCTGATCAATCAACTGATCTGCCCATCAGCACCCTTCAAGATATTCTGAACAGAATGGAGCCGTGGTGCTCCATGTCCAGGGTCAAGCTGTTCGTCAAACAAGATGAGCTGGCTGGTACCATTCAGCAATGCCACGCAGATATTTCAGATTGCTTGGTCAAACTACAGGTACTGAAGCGTGCTCTAGCAAAATTGTCCTAACGCCTCTTCAGATCACCTCTCACATATCGATTCATGCATGGCAGACAAACTTCGAGTCGAGTCGTGCACGAGACAAAGAAGACATCGTGCAGTATTTGGGCGACATCAGGAACCAGCAGGAGCTCATGCAAGTCGCACAGACGAAGCAGGCTGCAGATCTGCATCAGATCATGAAACTAATGCAAAAGGTCACTCCAACTCACCACTGGACTAGTTTTGATGGACTAATCGCTATGCAGAATCTTCCGGGTCATGTTCCAACCACAGATCGTGGTATGGAAAGCAACCTGTACTACGTCCAACATTCGTCTCAGTCGCTTTTACCAAACATGAACCTCAAACGTGGTGAAGTGAAGCGCATCGGACAGTATGCTGTCAAGGGAACGGGATCAGCGGATATATGGGAAGGCTACTATTTGAACGAGGAAAAGGTGGCCATCAAGATCCTACGGGCTGTTCACTGCGAGCCTCAAACACTGCGGGTACATTATCACTCTCCCCTGCTCCAAATTGCGTCCTCACATCGTTTTCTAGAGGTTCAAGAGAGAAGTGGACATCTGGAAACGCGTGTGGGAAGCTGACCGCGGAGAGCATATCCTTCCTTTCTACGGTTTCTGTCAAAACGACGGGCCTTTCCCGTAAGCCCTTCGCCCTATATGATTGTCCACCCCTCTCACCATATCATTCGATCAGGTATGTTGTAAGTCCATGGATGGTCAATGGCACAGTGGACGAGTATATAAAAAAGTACCCCACCGTAGATCATTATACTCTGGTATGTACAAGTCTTTTGAGGAATGATTGGTGTGATGTTGACTCATTGCAGATCAAAGGTATTTGCGAGGGTGTGAATGTCCTGCATAGCATGACACACCCGATCGTGCACGGTGACCTCAAAGCAGTGCGTAGCTTTTATCTACACTTTGAGGGCCTGACGTGATTGTGCTCCTAGTCCAACATCGTTGTCGATGCCAACGGGAACCCCCTGCTGGCTGATTTCGGCTTCGCCAAGGTAGCATCGTATTCCAATAGTTGATTAACCACATCACTGATATGTGAAATCAGGTCTTGGAAGATGTCACGGGCGTGAATTTCACGATGTCTGCTGGGTACCGAGATCGACAATGCTGTTACTTGCAACGTACTGACCCAACGTAATCCAGAGTTTCGAATTCCCAGAGATGGCTTGCGCCAGAGCTCTGCTGTGACGGCGGCATGCTTACCACCCAATCTGACATTTTCGCATATGGCATGACTATACTCGAGGTAAGTCAAAATTTCACTCGAGAACAGTTTACATATCTCATAGCATTTTTAGATCATGACCCATGAAGTACCGTGGCACAACATCCGCCACACAACACATGTCATCATCAAACTTTCCAGGGGGGAGATGCCCCCACGTCCCAAAGATCCTGCGGCCAGCGCAAGAGGTCTGGATGACCGTCTATGGGAGTTGGTCAAGGGCTGCTGGTCAGCCCCTGAGAACAGACCTTCGACGAGAGATATTCTTGCTTTCCTTGGATAAAAAACATCGCTATGTCTTACTACATGTATATTGCTGTCATCCGTGCTGTCGAATTGCATATCTCACTGTTTGACTTCCATCGTCTCAAGTGGAGCTACAGGTGCAGCGTCTCACCTTCTCAGCCGCAGCCTCCCATCCGATGCATCCCTGGCCCAACCCCGCGGCGTCCACAGATAAGCTTGAACTTCCAAAACCATCATTAGGCCAGTATATTGACAAACGAAGCAAAGAGTCCACCTGTCAGTTCTGCAAGAATTGCTTGAATGCCTCCAGGCAAGCCAAGATCTCAATTCTGTTCTGGAGAAAGTGCATTCCTTCGTTATAGGGTAGGGGAAGGTCCGGAATATATCGAAGAACATGTGTTGTTGTTGGGGGATACATTCCCCATGCAACGGCCTGGCATAGTTGAGCCGTGACTGTGATTTTGTAGAAGATTGGATAGGTGCCATGCATAGTGATGGCCGGAAAAGTGATGGTGGGAAGACGAGGCCGACGGCTCTTGGACCGGATTTCGTTGTCATTTGCAAATGCAGCAATAGCTGCTGCAATGACCTGGGGTTCTGGATCTTTCAACTTCTTGTCCTGCACCAGCATGACAGTTGTCCGATCTTCTCTAATAATGCAGACATTGGCTCGTGCTGTACAAGTCTCTCCGTCGATGTCGAAAGGATAACCATGGGAAACGAAAATGATCCCATCATCACCATCATATTCAAGCTTCTCCAATAACTTCGCAACAAAGTTGTCTATTGCTGCCTCGTGGCCACCTGATTCATCCACAATTTCCAGGTAATGCAGTAATTTTGCAGTCTCGTCATCTGCTGCATTTTGTCGAAGCCAGGTGGACATGAAACCATTCAGTGAGGGGTTATCAGGTTGTCGAAGGAGTGCTGTATGGAAGAATTGTTGTTTTGACTGAGTTACTATATTGATATTGTATGCCATGAGGTCACGGTGAGTCCATTCACCTGAAGTTTTTGCAGATCGTGTCAAGTGAGCCATCGAGAATATTGTGTAGTCTCACTGGACTCAGGAGTCAATTTGTGATAGTACATCTATGGGCAAATAAATGACATCATTGATCTCCTCTCCGAGTCAAAGCTTGCGGGTTTGTCCTAGACTCATGCTCCGCAATTTCGGCCTTTTCCGGCGGCAGCATGCGACATCGTCGTCTCTGCTTTCGTTTTCCTCTAGAGCGGACATGCTTGTCTATTATTATTGGCGTATAGTGCGTTAGATCGCACTTGCTTAATCATTATGTCCGATCCGTCTGTTTTTCTACCCGGCTCGCCTCCTATCGGTTCCACCTGGGGTTTCGTTTGCAGTGGAGACTTAAGGACGCGGGCCAACCATGACCATGTTTTAGCAGCCTCATCTCAGTCAGAAAGCAGTGAAGAGCACCGTGAAGATTGAATTATAGCATCTTGATTTGGTATGCCTCTGTTAGTCTACGCTTTTTTATGTTGACGGTGTTTTAGTAGTATCTCCTCTTGGTGCCTGTCCGTTCGTGTCACAATTGTCTATGAACATCAGTAAATTACCAGGCTCTGTGTAGATCTGGACAGATCTGGACGGTGCACCAGGTGTACTTGAAATCATGGAACACCCAAGAATAGCACACCATCTTCACCTCCTTTTCTACCGAGTCGTCCACCATCTCCGTCCCCCTTGTTACTCGGTCCCGCGCCTGTCCCAGTTAAAGGTTGAGTATGCCCTTAGCGTCACGCTTGGTCCAAAAGTCATGAAAGACCACCTGACGCAAGGTTCGTGATCACAGCGTCACTCAACCTCACCGCTAGCCCAGCAGATTTGGTGGTGTCCACTACTAATTCATCGACTATCCGAACTGCACATCGGTTGCATGTTGGAAGTACAGATGGGCAAATGTACCTTCTCTGACGAAGGCTCCGCCCCCACCAAGCCAAACCTCACTCGCCTCCATACCCTCCGTGACATAAGTAAATACAGCACGGCAAATCGAACCGTCACCAAAAATCCACCATAGGCAACAGGATAAATGTGTGGATTCACGACAATGAGTACAAGGCAGCACGACTACAAGAAGATACAGAGCAAAAACTATGACGAAGGGTTCTTGGGTAGCAGGTACTATTGGCTAATAATGGAAGATGGCGCCAAGTACAGGAGCCCTAAAAAGGTAAGACACCCCAATCTCGTGGCCTGTTGTTGGTAGTTGGCGAAGGTGAGCCGGCGCATTGACAAATTGACAGCAAGATGTTGAGCAAAGAGGTAGCACAGGTGTTGTTGCTGGCAGCAAGCGGGTAGGGGAAGCGAGAAGCAGGTATCGGAAGCGGAAAGCAGGTAGCGGGAAGCAGTTAAAGTAATGGGGGGCGTGTGGTAGGAAGCAGGTGACAGGTGGCAGGGACAGCCGGTGACAGGTAGCATAGGGTAAAATGCCCGAAGCACGAAGGTCAGATGCAATAAGGAGGGGATGGTTTACTTACTGATGAGCGAGGGTGTGGCCAGCCTCTCGTGTAACTCCAGCATCGACTCGAGCACGTTTGGTGCGAAACGTAGTCCATACGATCATGAGGGGTTGGGCCCAGACAGTGAGAGAAAAGACTCCATATGTCGAGATGAATGCTTGGATGCACGTGGTATAATCAAAGGGAAAAAGGAAAAGCAGAGCAAGGGAGATATTTCGACGGCGACGCTATAGTCCCTTCGCTCGTGCCTCGTTACGTAATAGACTAACAAACTACGCATAGGTTATACACAGCTTGTCCACAATCAGGTCATGATTTATCTTTGTCCTGCAGTAGTGGCCCCCAAATATGTCGGATTAGCAACTATAGGCATCAATGCCTATTTGGTCACTGTCACTTTCGTCGTACGTACTGTACAGTTCCTTTCACAAGCCACTGATCGTTATGTAACTACAGTGACTCACTTACCCTTTCTCCCTCGCACTTCCGCAGTGACTGTGACTATACTTCGTACCGTTGTCAGTCGTACTCACCGGGACTGGCTCACTCGGCACCTCCGAGTCGATCACACCTGTTCACATCACCATTTAATTAACCTCCTCCACCAGCCATCATTATGGCCTGTCATCGACGCATCACCTTCGAGTCTTCAAGCTCAACAGGTTGTCGTCAATAGTATGTGTCAGATCTATCTTCATTTAGCACGTACTGATGATTTCCCAAAGCAATCCGGGAGAGGCCAACCTCGTGATCAGTAATGCTACAAGTCGCCATCAACAGTATGTGTCATCTGCCTTCACTCAGCACGTGGTACCCATGATTTCCCATGACAGGCTCTGCGTCCGACCCACTCGATGATACCCTCCCAGTCATGGGTGAGGAGCCAAGCCACTCAGAACACATCCAGGACCCAGAGAGATACACCTCAGTGGAGTGCAACAAGTCGTAATTCCTGGTATGTGATATCTATCTCCGCTTAGCTCGTATTGACAATTTCTCAAGCCATTCACGCAGCTTATTTCACTCTTGGTCTCCGACAGATCCCCGCTGGCTTCCATACGATGATCAAGACTGACGGTGCTGAATACCAGACAAGCAATAAGTCCGTACACGCAGACCAGGCTGTCGTCGAATGGCACGAGCGCATTCTTCTGTAAGTTGTCCTTAACTCCATCTGTCCTGCTGGCATTGAGAAAGACTCGAGGCCGCGCGAGCCATTGTCTAAAGTTCAGATCAGCGTGTATGCCCCATTTGAATCGGGTCCAATGCTCTGTCACGGAGAACTCGTCTGTACATTCGAGATCTCCGTCGGAGAATTACTGGATTACAACGAAAATCACATGGTCAATATTGTCTATTGCAAACAACGCCTGACAGATGCTAACGAGGATACCATACCCGCACAACGTGTCAATACCTGTTCGAAGACCCGTACCCGTTGGTACGGGTATGGGTAGAGCTCTTGACACCCGCGGTTTGACCCGTGCCGATCCCTACTTCAATCATCTACGCATGTTTTGAACGCATTCAGACATGCGATGGTGTGATCTCTGTTCCGACTGTTACGCATCCCCGCATGTACAGTGGTTACAGGGAGTACTGGAACATGCCTGCGGACGGTTGTTTGGATTGTGGGGTACGTTCCGTCGCGGACAGCTTTCGCTAGCCTTGATGTGACCTTGATCTTATGAAACGTGGCACTGGGATCATGCATGGTGATGGCGGGAATCGTAATGGACCGATTACGGTAAGGTTTGCGCGAACTTTTGAAAATTTCGATGTTTTTATTATATGCGGCAATGGCCTCTGCTATGACCTGAGGTAGTGGGTTATGGAGATTGTTCCTGATCTTATTCTCTTGAATCAGGAGCACTCTCCCGTCGTTAGCGAGAACGGAGACATTGATTTTCGTCATACGATTGTCGCCGCACACGTGAAGTGGTAGTGGAAGTTGGGTGAAGATTATGTGTTTCTTTGTATCGTAACCTAGCTTCTCCAATATTTTTGCAGAAAAGTTATCAATGGCCGATTCGTGGGCATCTTGAAGATGGTCTGCGAGGTTGAAATAATGACGTAGTTTTATCGTTTCTGTGTCCTGTGACTGGGTTTGACAAAAACCCTTGGAGTGATGAAACTCTAGGAGGCCTCAGTGTCGTCTTCCCGAATAATGTTTTCGCATCCTCGTCGACAGTAGTAATGTGATAGGACTCGAGATCTCGTAGATTCCAGTCACTGGGTGGTTTCGAACAGCGGGGGAAGTGGGACATGTTAAGATCTAGACACTATCAGTCTGTACATATAATCTGTTAGTGATCTAGATACGGCGGGACAAGAAGAAGCGACTCACTCTCAGTCGTGTGTAACGGACTGAGGGAAGAGATGAACCATAGGTATCAGATATATATATGAGTTGTATTCCTTCTGTCAACTCAGACAAGCCGTGCCGTTCGTGGTCGCATTGCTCACGTGCGATGCACGCGTCAACACTCCTCCTCGATGTGTACCAAATCCTCCTCCTCGTCTGGAGTCATCCCCGTAAACCTACGAGCGGGGCCTAAAGCGTCACATAGACGATGAAGGTCCTTTGGAAGTACACATTTCAAGTCCAATAGCAGCCGCTTGTCGATCAAGCAACCACAGTCCACGCTGACGCTGGGACAAGCTGTCAGTAAATTACGTTGGTCACTGGATCATCGAAAGAACTTACTGGAGACGAGCGCTGGATTCCTATCAGCCGGACAAGTCTCAACCACAATCGTTCGGCTCCTTCGCGATCTCACAGGCCAAGGCCGTGGCATATTCGATGATTGTACTCGAGTTGACAGGCCCACTCGTGGCCATAGGCATGCATGGCGAAGCGCAAGCGCTTCGTGATAGTTGGCGGTAGGATGTCATACTAGTAGAATAAATCAGAATCTGATCTCCAAGTCGTGAAGTGACTCACCTGATCTAGTGATCGTGATAAACAACGAAGAGTCTCTGAGAGAACACAAAAAGCATAGAGGTATGGTAGATAGTACAGAGGGTCCAAGCCGCGCGATGCTTTGGATCATCCTGATGAAGGGCAATGAGGTGCCAGGAAGAGGGCAATGAGGTGTCAGGAGGAGGGCGAGAGGTGCGTAGGAAGAGGGCAACGAGGCAGGGTCTCTCAGCCCATTCTCCCATAACATAGAAACCGGGTCATAACTTGAAAGAGCCTTTATTGATGGCACCGTGATGTGCTGCCTGAGGTGTGAAACCCCAGGAGATAAGTGCGGCATGGAGTTGTTAGAGTTTGGTATTCCACCCATCGTCGTCGATATCACCCTAACTCTTGAGGATCAACATAAGGTGTCGAACGTGCAGAACGTCCCAGAGGCCAATCCTCTTGGACTGGTGCCTTGCGGGCCATCCGAATGATTTACGTAAACACACAGCTTTAGAGCTCTCAGCTCTTAGCTCTAGAGATGCACCCATTCGCATCCTATGTGCTGCGAAGTTATTATCGTGCAACAGGATGGAACGAAGACAACTTGTACGCCAATTTGACTCGTTCTTCTAACGGTACGCTCTTCAGAAACTGTGTTGCTGGTCTGGGCTGAAGCACAGGTACCGGATGACTAGCTATACTGGACTTCAGCGTCCCTCGTGGGCTGCATCTGTCCATATCCAAAGCTCCTAATGGTCTCTTCAACACCTCGTACTCCATGAATGCTATGCCGTCGCTCAACGGCTCAGTAGGCTACATATTCACATCCTGCAACCTCGATGTGAAGAGCTCCGGTAGTGTCCGTTTCAAAGACATGGTCGAGCGTTTCAAGGTGTACCACCAACCTCGCAGGCCAGAAGGAAAGGAGGAAGAATGGCTCGCCGGAGAGCGCTCTGACACACGTGGTAGGTCTTCCTGGTGGAGTCGTTTTGAAGTGTTGACGTGCGGGATTCAGACTACTTGCTCTATGGCCGGTTGTACCTGCCTACTGGTAGACTCGATGCGCTCTATTCTACACGCTTATCACCTACGCTACAGGCACTTGTTGCAGCGATATCAGATCCACGGTCCAGTCTCTCTTCCGAGAAGCGGTCTCGAGGCGACAATGTCAGCAACGTCATGTTCAGCCTACAGCATGACATTGGAAAGTGGTGCTCTGAATATACATACAGCGCAGAAGATGGGATGTGGGGCATGCGCGTCTTACACAACTTTGGCAGGCTCAGAAATCCAACCGAGCCTCCTGAGGATTTGAACTCGTCCCCTGGAACAAGACCTAAACGTGTTGACGAAGAAGAGGCAACTGGTGGTGGTCTGAAGGGCAGAGTTTCTGCTGGTGCTGAGTTCTACATTAGCGCAAAAGAGAGGAGTGCCGGAGGTAAGACGAAACGTAATCCAGTCACGTCCAGACACTGACAATCTTCTTCCAGTATCCACGGGAATTCGTTTCACAACTCTCCCCGATGCAACCCCGCCATCTTTACAACTCCCCCAATCATCGTCATCACCACCGGCTCAGTCCTTTCGGTCGCCCCCATCTCAACCACCGACAACTATTACCGCTCTTTTTAACCCGATGATGGGACATATATCCGCAGCTTATGCAGCTCGTGTATCACGCGACCTCTCAATGTGTTCTCGGTTTGATTTCAACGTTTACAGTTACGATAGCGAGTGGACGATGGGCGCTGAATGGTGGATGCGACGAGCCGCCTCGAAACAGGAAGATGAGCTGGAACCGTCACTTATTCCTCCGGAGAAACCGTCGGTTCCTGTTTCACGGGCCGAGTCTCTCGACATTACTTCTGACATTCGTGGGGTGGTGAAGGCAAGGATCTCAACCAATAACGTAAGTTGCATTGCGTCATGATATACCCGATGAGGTTGCTCACAGCTCGATTCAATTAGAATGTCTCATTGATGTGGGAGGGCCGCCTGAAGCAGATGCTGGTTAGCTTGGGTTTTGTGTCAGATCTCTCCAGTAGGTCAAAACCAATCAAGGCTATAGGACTAGAGTTGTCATATTTCAGCGCTGGTTAATCTAGAGTCCCCTACATGCGCATATCTCAAACTGACAGGAACCGTTGAAGGATGAGCACCAGTCAATAATTACGTGTAAGGTATTGTACATACACCCGAGATCAGTACAGGTATGAGAACGAAGCAGCGAACAGTGGAGTAGACAGCGTAGAAGGGTATGTAATGATTATATGTGCAAACAGAGTTAGGTGCAGTTTTCATTATCCAACAGAACCACGAAAGTCGACGTGCAACCAGGAAACCGGAGAGTGATGAGCATATATATATAGAACAGGGCAAGAGATGGGGCATTCGTAATATAATGGGTGGAAATAGTGGAAGCATTCAGTCTTTTGCGACGGCGACACCTTGGGCACGGGGAATGCTTGGTATACCGCCAATTGTTCTTGCCAGCCGAGACAATGCATCTCCAGTGATGACCGGTCGAACACTATGTGGGGCACGTTGCCCCGCCCCTCCAGGAGGTGTCGAGTGGTTCCCGCGCATGCGCGTGGACAAGCGGGCCTAACGGCGAAGATGTACCAGAACGAATGGCTCGCTGATTTATCGCCGCCGTACGTGGATGTGGAAAGGCAGGGCGGCCTTCAGTCTTTGATCGACCATGCGAGGGACTATATGCGTGCGCAGGAGACGGGGCGCCCGAGCTCAGCAACGATGGAGCGGAATGGGATTCCGGGAGGCCTTTAGGCGCATGGATAGATCCAGCGAGACCGTGGTCTCTGGAAGAAGAGCTGGGAGTCTTTTCTAGTGCTTCTGCCTCGGTAAGGGAGGGAGCGTGGATAGACTGTGAAAGGCCTTCCGCCTTGGTTGCAGGTGGCTCTTCACTACCTACGGTCAACGTTGATTTGGATGTCAAGTTGGAGTGTGCAGGGCTTGCACGCGGGCTGTCCCTTGCAGCGACCGGCTTGGGAGTCAGCGACGGGTGAGGCGAAGGCGTATCAGCATGCGTGATAGTTTCAGGCGCGACAACAGCGGCGGCGGGAGAGTCATGCGCATCTGCGGTGGCCGTAATAAAGGTATCAGGTGTATTGGATAGGGGTGAGGAATCCGACGAGTTCTTGGTTATTTCGCCATCAACATCATTGTCTAAAGGTTCCATGTGATGCTCCTCTTCCTTATCCTCAGCATCATCTCCTTCCGTCTGAGGTTCCGGCAGCGGCTTAAGTGCATCTGCCAATATGGGTGATATCTCATCCCTTCTTTCATCTACGCTGGTATTGATCCGAGTCGTCGTAACGCCCCAATCATCAAGGTCAGGCAACGAGTCATCCTCTTCACCAGCCCAATCGATATGGCTTCCAGGGGTCGAAGGCCTATTTTCAGCCATTGCAACTGCCCTGACACGTTCGACCAATGCGTCAATATCGTGACGAATTTCAGCCTCGTGTGCGGCTGCCAGATGGGGAGGGATATCTTTACGTGGTGCGATAGAAGATGAAGTAGTAGATGCTACCCTTGGCTTCTGTGGACGTAGTGAAGTGGACGATGGTATACTTGGCTTAGTAGCACCGTTTAGGGGAGGCTTGCCATGCTGATTGGTGTTGGTGCGTCGACGCCGGTTAGCATCACGACGACCCGATGCAGAAGGCACGTTTTGTACAGAATCTGGAGTCGGAGAAGCTGGAGCTACGGTTACAACTGGAACACCGCGAGAAGCACGGCGAATTGGCGTTTTTGGCTTTGGGGCACGGTCAGCTGGACTAGCAGCAGGTTTTTCCGAAGTTGTACTAGTAGCTTCCGACTGGGATGGACCCTTACGAGCTGGTGAAGGCTCAGCCTTGGGCCTTGACACGTCTGGGAGGGGACCGTGGTTCTCCGAGTGTTCCGTGTGTGAAAGCTTGCTGCTACCTCTGATTACTGGGCTGTTTGGAGGGCGACCACCACCACGAGTACCTCTGCCCCGCCCCAAAGCGCGAAAAGTAGATCCTGCCTCTCCACCGCGCCAATCTCGTGGCCGAGATTGGGGTTGAGTAGAAGGGTTTTCACTGGTGGGGGGAGTTCGGCTGGTGGGGCTTGCCATGAACCGTCTTTGATAAACAACGATTTGGCGATGGGTTAGCTAGCCTGTTATATGGTCTAAGCAGCATTCAGCAGCTGAATGAAAGCAACAAACGCTGACAATTGGATCTGGTTCGGGTTAATTTGAAGGAAAGGGTACGCCTAGTCAGATTCAATACAGAGTAGATTTGCAATATATGACCAGCCAACAAAAAGGGCTTGCGAGGGCGTTATGGAGCTCCTCTTAGTACTAATGTTGAACCAAACACTGCAAAGCAACAAACCTGCTCAGCGGCCCTGACGGTGACTATCATCTATAATAATCATGTCCAAGGCATCACAACCAGAACTCAAGAAGGTAGACCTCTATTCAAGTCCTGCCTTTGCATGCTAAATGGTTTGATAAAGTTTATGGACAAGAAATTGTTCGTCCATCTACAGGGTGGCCGCAAAGTCAGCGGTACTCTGCGTGGCTACGACCTCTTTCTGAACCTCGTCATCGACGATGCTCTGGAAGAGTCAACTCCAGCTCAGAAACATCCCATTGGCACAGTGGTACGTCCCCAATGCTGCTTGCAGCCAACGTTTGATTCACTTCTTTGCAGGTCATTCGTGGTAACAGCGTTACATCGATGGAAATTCTTGAAGCTGTTCGTCAGCAGTAATAGCACTTCTGGTTGTTGCACTTATAGATAACTGGATGGTTCGGCTTCTACTATCGCTCATGGTGCCTCCGCTGACTCTTTACTTCTAGCGAGCTGATTAATGTTCCATTGGATCTTCCATCATTTGACACGGCCTTGATCTCATGTTGGGTCTGGTGCAGTGTAACAGAAAAGTACACGCACATTGCTGTTGTAATCGTATCGATTTTTCTGCCAGCTTTGCGATCCTAAATGAAACGTTCTACGATGATATCGGATACTAATTGAAGTCGTTTCTCATTGATCAGTACCGGCAAACACGCACTCCCAGTCACTTCCGAAGATCCGGATTAGAGAACCATCCAAAAAAAAGTTCTCTTGCACGATGTTGCATACACGAATACCCGTGCGTCTTCGATATATCTTAGATCGGCGCGAGAAGATATCGCCCAGCAACACAAAGTGAATATAACTCTACCCGTGGTTGGCCCGTGGATTGAGATATTAGGGGAGGATCGCTCTTGCATGCGCATGTACAGCGTGAGTCATGCCTAACTTAGAGCACAGGATGGACAAAGACGCGTACAGTTCTGACAGCAACAAGTACCACTATTGAGAAGGGATGTATGAGTTTTCCAATTTTGTTGTTCTACTATAGTACCACTTGCATGTGAATCGGAGAGAAAGCTTGTTGCAAGCTGTAATTCCTAGAAAGGAAGTTAGCACATTTTTCGTCGGAACCGGTGGCTTCGTTTGCACACTGGCATCAAGAGGCTTCGGATTCTGGCCAGTCCTGGCGCCAGACTAATTACTGTTCCATGCGGAGACAGCTTTCCAAAGTCTGCTTTTCTGCTACAACCCGAATTCATTTCCTACGTCGACTTGTTCATACATCTGCTCATTGCTCCTCCGCTATAACCCTTCCGCTTCATATCGTGCATGATGTATACTCCAGCCCAAGCACAGCCGCTGCTTCACAAAAGAGTCTCAAGGGCATGAGCTCCAGGGACATCATCCAGAAGGAAAAACTTTCTGCTCTTATGGAGGTCCTCTCGCGTGAAACACGGAGTTATGCCAGAGTATGGTCATGCTATGCCGATTTCATGAACTACGCGGAATGTGACGATCTTCCTCTGGAAGTTCATCAAGCAGTTCTTCGACGTTGTGTCCCAGGCGCGTATACCCTGAGAACATGGACAGCGCGTCGCATGCGAGCAGGCCAAGCTCCTCGCATCCCTCACCATTTTGAGGCCCGACTCAAGACCGTCGTGCGTAATATCCGAGCAACAGGCGCAGATGCAACTCTTGATGACTACCATGTCGTTCTGCATCAGTTCGCTGCTGTGGGTCACTATACCGGTGCAATGCAAGTACTCGCCGAACTCACGCACGTCTGCAAACTGGAACCTGAATCGAAAACATTCGGCTTATGCCTCAAAGCAATCGCACACCGTTTGTCTCTGCCAATATATAAGGTGCAGCGTGCGGACATGCTTGCTGACGCGAGCAAGCTTTGCCGGAAGCTACTCAGGGAAATGTCGGCTCGAGACATGCCTTTAACGTCTTTCAACCTTGACTTGGTGATGCGTATCTTGAAGGAGGTGTTGGACCAGGAGGGCTTCTATCAGCTCATGAAACTGGGCTATGGTATAGACCTAGATTATCCAGACCACCCTCCATTACAAGGCTCCAGCATGTTGTCACCTTTTTCCACCGCCGCTCTCAATACCACCCTTGACATGCTCGGTCGCCTCGGCAATGTAGCCAAACTCATCCAAACTTTCGAGGTCCTTACACAACCCCTTCCCCCACAAGCCAGCCAGCACTATTCACAAGAGTTTGATGATGAGGATGACTTTGGAATCACAAACCCCGCGTCAACCGAGCCACATCAAACTCCCCATGCCCGACCCAATACCACTTCATACAACATCTTGCTGAAGCATATCTCGCGCGCAGGTCATGCCACCTTTGCACGACATTACCTCTACCAAGCTGTGCGCCTGGATCGTTCGGTCGACCGTCTTTTACGGAGTCAGCTGTATCGTAACCCCCATGGCACGCTTGCACCGCACTTCAGCCTTAACCGGGGCACCATAATATCTGTCTTTGGAGAGGCTAACAGAGACAAGAATATGGAGTTGATGCGATGGGTTGGATGGGTTACGAGACAGACCATACGGAGGAAGAAAAATGATATAGCATGGTACTCTGAACTACGCGACAGCCTCCCTCCTCCACCGTCTCCCTCAGAACCTCCTTCCTCCCGCTCTCCCGGCTCCCCTCCACCAGACGTCTCGACCGCTCTAGACGTTGATCTCGATACCCCTTCCACGCCCCCAGAATTTCCCCCACCGGAGAAAATATTCGATATAAACCTCCACCTGAACATCCTCCAGAAAAATCTAGATGAACTCGTGACGTGGTATGAGAACCACTATGAAGTTGCGCTCTCTCGGACGACGCAACGAGTGAAGGAGCGACTTGGTAGACGGGTGTGGGCTGGGAAGAATATTTATTTGCTCAACAAGAATGCTCGGGTAATTGTACCAAGGAGTGCATGGACGAGGATGGTGAACTTCAAGCAAGGAAAGACGAGCTTTTCAGGGGAACACAGTGGTCGAATTTTGCGGAATGGATGGGTTGCAGGATATAAAGGGCTCAGAGCACCCAGACCCCAGCCCCTACAGTTCTGTAGGTGATTCCCTGGATGACCTCTTAATGTGACTGATTGAATGTCTTTAGTCGACCCGTCATCGATGAGCTGATTTGACCAAGTGGCTATCCGGTGTCGTTGCCATCTGGTCATCTATACCACATTTTGCGATACATCCATGTCAGGGTACTACATTCACGCGGGTTCACTGCAACTTGGATGGCGTTGATACACGTGGATTGATTGCGGTTGCAGGTATCATACATGTTGAGATATGGGGCAGAGTTCAAGAAGACAACAACAGTGTGATGCAAAGCATGAGAACGGGATTTCGACTACAAAAGTTTTCCGTGATCTGCAGCTCGATCATCGAGGACTTTACCCATCGCGTCCAGCCATAAGTGTATGTCGGTTTGGAACTGGGAGTTGTTGAGATTGCCGGTGGTCGACGATGCACTAACACCGATGCCAATGTATCTTGCAAGCGCGAGAACGGGCAAACGCCGAAGGGCACGTCCTGAAAGTTGCTGTGCCTGTGGAAATTGCTGAGCCACAAACACCGAGGAGAATGGTTGGACCTACTCTGCATTTATCAGCAAGAGCCAGTAAAGTGGACGCAAGTTCCTTCGGTAAATCAGGCAACATAGTATCACTTGCGCTAGAGCGATTCTTGCTGCTCCCTTCAATGTACAACGCTAGGTCAAGCGCTGGTACTGTCTACGAGGTATCATCAACAACAAGATCAATGACGAGATCAAGTCCGTGGTCAGCTCACTGTCTCCTGCAGGATTCCTTTTTTATAAATTCGCACAGAGAGCTACGAAGAATCTCATAGATGGCTTCGCGTGGGGGTAAGTCGACGTATTGGATGATATCCGCTCGATCAACGAAGGCCGAATCTTCAACAGGTGATCAGACATTTCGTATGCATGGCCCTCTCTCATCCTTACCTATGGCTTTTGCGAGGTTACTCGTGGACATCACCAGGACGTTCTTCTGGTACCTTAGCTTGTCCAGTTGCGTGAGGAGAGCATTGACCACCTATACATTTCGTGAGGAAGACACATCATGAGACACTTGCAGACATACCCTCAGCCCGTCCGATGGTTCTGTGCCTGCCATGGCGCCAGCCCTGGCTGCGGTAAGAGACTCCACTTCATCTAGATCGCTATAAGCGGAAAACACAACGGTCTATACGTGTGCCAGATTTACCTATCAGCACAACAACGAAACAGTCTTCGTCTTCCACCATTTCCATGATGTTGCTGAACAGACGCTGTACAAGTTTTCCAGACTCCGAGAACCAGCGAGAAAACAGGGAGTGAGAGTTGATCTCTAGGAGACGTGACTGAGAGTATCTGTTTGTTGTGAGAAATGTGAAGTGTGTAAAGTACACGGATAGTGCATATATTGGACTTACCGATGAGATAATCGTATGGATAATTTTTGAGCAAGTGCTCGACATAGCGATGTCTTGCCTGTCCCGGGGGGGCCATGTAGCAGGACTACACGGTTCCATGTCACCAGATTAACTGGAATAGGGTCAGCATACATCACAGTCGCCTAATTGCCTCACCCACAGTCAACACCAGCGTCACTCAGAACAAAAGTTGCGTGAATGTAATCGAGTAGTTTCAGCTTGATGTTATCCGGGTATATCAAGCCATCCCACAATCCCTCCCATGCCTTGCATGGAAGTTCGCATACGCTCGCAGCGAGCACATTCTCCTCACCATCTCTACCTGGTGTTCCATTAGCATATTCTTCGACCGCATCGGTTTCATGTGGTTGGTAAGCATGAATTTCCAGTGACACCTCTTTGAGGCGTAATGTGATCGATGGACATGCCGATTCTGATACTGCGATTCGGTCCACCGATGAAGCAAGGGTCGGGTCTGCTTCCCATCCATTGAGGACGGATGGGAGCTGGATGGGATCGTAGTTGTTGGTGATGAAATCTCGGACGAGACTTTGGATGACGTCCACGCGTCGTCTAGATTTTGTCGAGAGTCGGACTTCGACTATTCGTCGCGATCAGATGTTTAATATGATTATACTTGTGGCTGAGACTTACCGTGCACGGTCCATATTACATCCGGTTTTCTCTCAGCCATGTCTGAGTGCGATATTGACATCGCGTTCCTACTACTGTCAGTCTCTGTTTTTTGGGCTGGTGATATTCTAAGGACCGCAGTGGAACGGAAAGACGCGGTGATAGACTCGGAGCAAACAACGCGTCAACAACGATTGTGTATTCACGTGACCTACTTATCACTGATCATTGCTGTCGACATCAACTCCATCATTCGCCACGATGGCAGAATCGGTTGGTATATCCTGTCCGCTGCCCAGTGAACAAGACAATGTAGAGCAGGCCAAAGGAAATCCTACTCTCGACTCGTCGACTTTCATTCCACCGGTTCCATTGGCGTCACCCAGCATTATCATAGAATTCTGCGACCGAGTACGCAGTACTTGTTATAAAAGCTTACTGATCGTCTTACTGTGATTGATGTGTTATCTGCTATCCAGTGTCGATGGTAAGGGGGATGAGTACTGCTAACTTCCAACTTCATTCATTGCTTATAGGCTCCATCGAGCGACTTGGGTTTCCACAGAGCTATTCCTTACATTCCCGCCTCCAGCCTTGAAGGCGATATCCATAATTCCTCTGAACTCTGAGGAAACTGGAGGTCGTTTCAGGGTCTGGCTCAACCTCGAAGGCAGTCCCCCCCCAATTGATGTGGGACAGGAAGATCGAGGGTGGTTTCCCCGAACTGAAAGGTTTGGTTGGTTCAACTTGTTCTAGTCCATGCCGCGATGAGGTCTCTGACTGATTTCCTATCAGAAGCAGCGTATCCGCGACTACGTACAACCTGGGAAATCTTTAGGTCATTCTGATAAAAAGAGCGAATGACGTGTCCAAGTGCCCTGGTTAAGCCCTGGTGGAAAATATTCGAAGCAGGTTGTGAATAAAGAAACGTTGCATACTACGTCACGATAGACTGTATGACTCTAATGTAAATTATAGTGAGAAATCGGTTTCGTTGAATAAGTCCGTCGCGAGAAGTGCTTCAATTTGTTCTCCGCCACATCCGCGGACGGCAGTAAACCTTGGGGACTTACTGAGCTCGATTAAATTCGCGCCTACGAAACCGGTTTCTCTTCCTCTCAAACAACCATGAGCACCGAGAGGCTCGAAAAGCTAATTAATCAATGCAAAAGCAACGGTTGGTAGTATGCCTTGGGAATCCCGGCCATCAGAACTCACAGTGTCCACAGACGTTGACCAAAAGGTTGATGCTGTTACGAAACTGCAGGCAGAGTTCGAGTCGGGCATAGAAGTACGTGTCGGTTACTTGGTCAATGAGCTGAGCCTCATAAACTGGTTGGTACTTAGATCACCGAACCAGAACCAGTCATCTCTGCCCTCAAAGCATGTCTTCGTATCTCAAATCAACATCTAACAACCGCCACGCTCTCTGCCCTTCCTCCTCTACTTCCCTTGATCGTTTCGCGTAACAATGTTGTCCCAAACGCAAATGCACGCCCATTATCAGCATCGTCCTCCACGTCCTCCACTCCCGGAGCGTCGCATGACTTGATGGTTCTCCGCCAGATTATGAATGCGTTCCTTCCCGCTCCTGGTGTCATCGAGCGTCTCGGTGATACCCGCGAAAAGGCTCGTGATAAGGCGCGTGAAACACTAGTTATCCTCGGTGGACTGGCGTTCAGAGCTCCATCTGGTTCAAAGATGAAGGATAGCAAGGGGGGTCCCGAAACGCCACTTGCGATATTCGAACGTTTCTTCAGAGATAACGGCTTTGGAAGCAAGGTTGCCAGAGTCCGAGAACAAGTAAGTAGGATCTTCTGAGTTGGTATGACGGAATTCTCACACTCTACCGTAGTCATTACTCGTCCTCGTGCACATCCGCCGAGCTCACCATCTTTTTCCTGTTCGACCGTACGTTTCATTACTAGTGGACACTTTAGAAGACACGGATGGCAATGTTCGGGCATGCGCAACGCCTTCCGTTATTGAGCTCTTTACTGGGCCGGGCGTGACGGACGCTGCTCGCTCAGACCTCAAGAAAGAGCTGACGAAGAAGGGGGTACGCAAAGCGATGGTTGATAATATCCAATCACAGCTCATGCATTCCAGTCGTGCTACTGGAGCAAGCACACCCCAGAGCGAGGGCTCCGCGGGTAGTGGAGAGCCCCACGCAAAGAAGGAGTACATTCCTCCAAGCATGATGCTGCAACAGAATCGTCGGCCAACGGTTGGCGCGGCATCCGGAGCTACGCCTGGTATGACGAGGGCAATAAGTCAAGGGAATACGAGAGAGATTCCGAGGCCGCCAAGTCGAGCCGCAGTTGTTTTCTCCGCCTTTGTCGTCACAACCTTCAAGCGAGGCAGCTAGTACGGTTGAACCTGCTTTCGTATGTTCTACTTTATTATCGCACCTCACCTTGAGGAAATTTATCTGAGCAACGATTATAGATTGCATCTAGCCGAGATTTGGAAAACGAATTTCTAGCATTTGCAAAATCGTTCGAGGTACTGTCGACACCCTTGAAAAATTGGCCAGCCTTCCTAACTTGCGACATAGGGAAAGGAAACAGAACATAACTGGGCTGCCCGTGAACGTGCCATTCAGCGTGTTCGTGGTATGCTCTCTGGAAACATCCATACAAGATATCCCGATGTATTCCTTCAATGCCTAAAAGATGGATTCATGCAGTCCTCCATAAAAACGGTAAGTATCCAAAACTTGCCAAAAACGTCTTACACACAGCTCTCCTTTGTTTCAGCTCGTCAGTTTGCGGACAACGGTTTCTGCAAACACCTGCTCCCTTTATTCTGAGCTGGCCATTGCGTTGGGCCTAGGGATTGATCCGTTTTGTGAAATGTTGTATACGAATTTGCTCCGAATGGCAGGATTTACCAAGAAAATTGCTGCTCAACAGTCCCAGCGATCGCTCTCGGTCATAATGGAGCATGCTTCAGCACATCCTCGAGTTCTTCTTTCCCTCCTTTGGAACACTCTCCAAGAAAAGACGGTGCAATCTCGAACATTCGTAGTATCCCACATCACCCACTATATCCAGCTACATGGGACACGGGCGAGATCACATATAGAGGCGAATGGTGGTGTGGAAATCCTCGAGAAGTCCTTGAAGAAAGCGTTGGCTGATCCCAATCCTGCTGTCAAGGAAACAGCCCGCAGTACATTTTGGGAATTCAACGCTGTCTGGCATGACAGGGCAACTATAATTCTCGAGTCTCTTGATCCCATAGCACGCAAACAGCTGGAGAAGGCATGTCCAGACCCTCAAGTTATTGCCAATCTTCCTGCAACTACACCAAGCACACCAAATGTCAAGAAGAGCAGTGTTGCAGCCGCGATTGCCGCCAGTCGTGCCAAGGCCAAAGCGATTGCAACTGCGCCCCCTACTCTGAGACATCAAGCGACGTCCTCATCGCACGCGACACGTGCAACATCACCTCCAGCACGGAGAGTTGTCTCGCCAATAAGCCCCACGGTTAAACCCTCAAATGGGCGCAGCTCGCCATCGCCAGCTTCGAGGTCCTCACTGTCCCCTCGTTCATCCCTTTCCCCCCTCACACCATCAAAATCACGCGTCCTGGGTGGTACTATGCCTCGGACCGTAAGCTCTGGCGCGGTCCTGACGTCGCATTCGCGTTCCTCCACCGATTCGTCGGTGTCATCCAGCCCCGAAGCAAACCGACGTCGAGGATCTTCTCCTCTTGTCCCACCCATCCCCCCTAGTCACTTATCTACCATCCGTAAAACTGCGCAGCCGAATCTTTCGGATTCCTACCACGACTCACCAACCCCTCGGTACCATGCACCCCCAGTTCCAATTCCAGTCCCGGCTCGCCAGTCGACTGTGATGCCCGATATTGATGATGAACAGACGCTCTTACTAGCGACCGCTATACCAATACCCGATGACAGTGATTCTGAGATGGATGACGAATCTGTCAATCTCATGTCCTTCTCGACTCCTTACAAGGTGTATCCTCCGGCATCCAGTCAACAACGCTCATACTCTCCCCGCTCGGATCATTCAACGCCTTATACTAGTTCTGATACATTGTCAAATAGAAAACCTTTAGAGATAGCACCTGTCGAAGACGCTCTTATAGCTCGAGCAGAGCAAGCACAGAGTGCTGCGGAGCGATTGCTGGAGCTAAACGACCCGGACGGTGAGGATAACCAGCACTCTACAATTCCTCCGTCGCTGCTCCTTGGACGTAGCGGATCTGCGACGCCAAAACCCAAAGTGCAAAATGCGCCAGCGATAATACGAAGCTTGGCTCCTCCTGTGACTCCTGACAACCGAACCGCAGCCATCTTCCGCCAGGCAGCGTTATTCAAGAATAGTCCTGCAAACATTAAAGCTGTAGACAACCTCGTGAAACCAGTTCAAGACCAGGTGCATGAGACTGGTTGGTGGTTGAAACGCACGTCCAGTGAGTTGTCATTAGTTACAAATCCTTGCTATTATCTGATTTTGGATTTATGCACGCAGCCCTCGGACATGCCACACCCCTCAAAGCAACTGTAGCTGAAGATCGAGTACAAGAACTCAACGACTATATTGCCGCACTAGAGAGCGATCAAACTGACATTCGAGTTCTCCAAAAGTTGGCGTTGTTGTGCAGCAGCAATCCCATACCTTCCGCAACGACGTCTCCCCTGAGTCCTGGACTGGGACTTCCTTCCACTGTTTCGCCTTTCCTTGGCATCAGTCGCTCTCTTCCTCCATTGATTCCTGATATATGGACGAAGGAAAAAAGTTTTGAACGGCTATTCAATGCTCTAATTAAGTTTCTTGATCCTTCAAGGGTGCGCTAGTTTGCTTTTTATTGGTGCCATTGATTACTCATTTGACCTATTTGAATAGGATGCAGAGCAACTTGAATACGGCCTCATAGTTCTCTGGGAATTGCTGAGCTGTCAAGCACCATTCGTGGAAGGTCGGGAAGCCGATATATTCGCGACTTTGTTTAATGTGCGGTACTGTAATGCTGTTGATGTAAATCTCATCCCATGCTGGTGTCCTCTATGCTCACGACAGTTCCAGGTTCTTGAAGCAACTAAAACAATTCGCGATGCCCTTGCAACTCGCATCGAACCTGTTTATGGTCTAACTACGATGCACGGCAGCCTGCGTACGTTCCTAGCCGAGCCTTCGTCAGATACGAGTGCCAAAGACGCATCACACGCCTTTGGACTAATCGCCGTGGGCAAATTCGTCATGCGCTTGCCCGCCGAAGTGCTCGAGGAGGAACTTCCACGCTTAAAATCTACCTTGATGGCAGCGCTAAAGGACACCACTCTCGTCATTCGCGAAGCCGCGTATGCTACTATCATCGCTGCGCAGCTCGTGCTCCGGGACGAGACTCATCTCTTCGCGTTGCTCGATGGGCTCGATGATAACAAGAAGAACCTGCTCACGTACTACTTTGATAAGCATGACGCGAGGGTCCTTGGCGTAGATGGCAACGGCGTTGGAATGACGAAGCTGGAGAGTCAGATGGGGAGGTTGGACAAGCTGATGAATACTCCGCAGAGAGAGAAAGGTCGTGCATCAGAGTGAATGCTCACGGTATTCCATGATATGCTTATGTTCAGTGATTGACATGTATATGTTTCGGAATTAACACTCTCGTTGGTATGTCTATTTTTTCCCGTTGCTATTTTTTATGCTGTTTGATGTGTATTACTGGCGCCGTAGATATATCACGTTCATTTTTTCTCTCTATTTCGCACTTGCAACGCCGGTCCTGTTTTATATAATACACCTCACACTGCGTAATGGATCCGATTCGTCTGATTGAGTGGAGGTAGTTGGCATCATAAATGCCATCACAGCAGGATTTGGCAAGTCTAACGACGAAGAGCCACTCTCCATAAGAAGAAACCTATGCCTGACAGCATTCCACCGACATGACCTGCTGTGTCCGTTGTCGTTCTCTGCAACATCAATCAATTCAATTGACAAGATAACACAACAAATTACGAAATCGACTCACAGCATCTGTAACAGTTCTATATACATCAAACGCGAGGATTCCAGGAAGGAACGCCCACGCAGGACAAGGGACGACAAAGAATATTAAAAACGTCGTCCTTGGAAATGCACAGGCGTAAAACGCAATGGTTGCTAATATTGCGCCTACACAACGTTTCAGTGGATGAAGAGGAATGTTAATGAATGGGTGAGGAGATGGACAAACCGCTTGCGCCGTGTGAAGAGATGGACTCATGCTTGTAGAAACGGTTCCATACGAGACTCGTCACGCTGGATGCGATGCCGCCTGATGTTTTTCGTTAAAAGCGTCGCGTGATTGAGAAGGACAAATATACCGTACCGAGAAAGTAGAGTCCCAAGAAACGCGAATTCCCGAGGACTTGCATGACGCCAGGGGCCATGAAGTAGAATGAAAGACCATTGAACAATGCGTGCTCTATGTCTTGATGGGAGAAGCATGAGGTGATGAGCGTCCACCTGCCCGATGAATCAGGTAACGATTAAATCACCCAATAAGAGTCAGACGCACACGCGACCGGAGGTTATGTTCTCCCAATTCACTAAAAAGTTGTTCCGGAGGAAAATCCAGAGCGTGGGGTCGCGAGTGGTTTGCTGTGGATGACTGTCAGCTGTACCCTACACCTTGGCCTTAATGAGAGCGTAGCGCCCAGTACGAACGTATGTGGACTTGGCGCCTTGCCAGAGAAGAAAAACGCCAGCGTTTATTGCGATGATGGCCACGAATATGACGTTTCCGTTTATTGAATCTAGCCAGTTTGGCCTGCGGGGTGGACGACGGGAGGAACTATACCGGAAACGAAGCAGGTCTCTATGAGTTGCATTACGCAGTTGCGTACGAGCAAATCGAAGGAAGGCTGGCTGTGAACTGATACTAGCCGTGACTGGGGTCGCGATTCGTGCTGGCAGTGACGAGAATGGTCTTAGTTGTGGAGAAGAATTAAATTGGCAAAGGGTATTGCAATGAGCCAGGCGACTGTTGCATTTCGATTGTATGATAGAGCGGTGAAATACATGCAAGCACCTTTTCGACATGAGCAAGTTCGGAAGAGCGTGTATGTCACGGTTGACCGCAACGTCCAACCTAATACAATTTCATTGATCGTAAACAACATTGTCAGGGCTAGCGCTGGCTCATCATAGGCCACGACGACTAAATGTCTCATCATCTCTTCCTGCTCTCTCCGTCTGATACGCCAATATACAGTTTGACGCACTACTCTACTAAGCTACCACAGCCAACGTCCTCGTCACTTTCGTCAAACTTGCCTACATGGTCTACTTCTGCGTTTGCGGGCACGCTGACGGCGTTGTCAGGAGCGTCGAGCGCTACGCAGTCTCATCACGTCCAAGGTGGCAGTGTGAGGATGGGCGGAGGGCAAGATCGACATGTGATCCAAATGATTGCCAACGCAAGTCTGGACATTATTGAAGATGTCATGCGAAAGGAAAGCGCCATGTAAGTTATTACATTCCTTATCATTATATGCTTCACTGATCATGGCAGGTATCTGAAATCTGTAGATAAATTCAATGAATGGACGGTGTCTGCGTTCATTACCCCAGGCAGTACGTTGACGCCTTCTCTCGTTTATTATTCTCATCCTCGCGTTAGACATGAAATTCATACTGCTGCATGAGACTAAGAATGATGATGGAATCCGGTCCTTCTTCCACGATGTCTGGGAATTATACCTCAAGGTTAGTCGCCCGCGGATGAGTCTGGAGTTTGTCTGACCCGATCGGCAGACAATGTTGAACCCATTCCACACGGCACATTCACCGATACGCAGTACTGTGTTTGATACACGGGTTCGGGCGAGTGCGAAAAAATATCTTTGACATCGGTACCTGAGGAGAGGCCACAGGCTGTCCAAATGTGGGGAACAAGACAATAACTTTCATTACACGGCATACACGTGTACGGTTATTATCATAGGGACCAGGGAATGCAGTTAGACTCTGTAGTGGAGTGAATTACCGAGATCCAGGTTGAGCAATACTAGTTTTAAAACAAGGAGGCTGTGAGCTTGAGTGCTGTGTGCCGAGCTCGACGTTAACGACGACTATAGGGGGTGTTAGGGGGGATGACTGATGTAGCACTGCCACTTGTTATATCGGTTGGCTACTTTAGTATCTCTCGATTCGTCCAATTTCTCTCCGCTTGCTTTGGTTTCCCTTTCTCTTTCATCATCCACAGCATAATAAGCTTCTCCTTGCCATTCATAAAAATCCTATAAAATCCTATAAAACAGTTTTCTTTATTTCTTTCAGTTCAGGCGTCCACAGGACTCTACATATCATAAATTCATCCAGCTTGCGACAGCCAGCAGACAGAACTTTCCTGCGTGAATCTCATTTTAAAGAGACTTTTATACCTCCATTGCTCGTACGTTCACCGGTTTCATATTGGTCTTCTCCCTAACTTTGCTCTAGTTGTAACATTCCATCGCCTATCAACAACATAATCTGTCTTGTCCAATAATTCTTTCAGTGTCGTTTTAGTACAAAGGCCATTGCCCAACTCGCGCTCTCTACGCAACCTTCCCATTTTTTGTCTCAGCTATGGCCACTATGCAGTCCAACAACCGTGCCTCCCTTCTCAATGGTCTTCGTACTGGAGGTGTACGCTCTACGTCCATGTCTGGTCCTCATACTGCCGCTCTGGGCGGTTCATTCAACGTCCCACGCTTTGCGTCTAACCAACACTCTCTTTTCGTAGAGGAGGAGGATGGTATGGATGAAGTTGCCGAGCTTTTCTCGCAGAACATGTACATCAATAATCAGGCAACTCGTCCCTTGACTGCCGCAGTAGACGGCCCAAACAACCGCTTCGTACAGCAGCAAATGGCTGCTCAGAGTGCCCTCAATCCGAACAGTCTTCCATTTTACCCCTCTTATTCTCAGAGTGTGCAGCCACAAAATCCTAGCGAGGTTCAGTTGCATGCGTATCAGCAGATGCAGATGATGCAATTGGAAATTGCACGGTTACAGGTTTGTTGATTTATTTGATCTTTCACACGCATGTTAACGACGATCATACACTGTTCTAGTCTGAGCAGGCCCAACGTAATGCTCGTGCTCAAGCTATCCTAATTCAGCACGCTTTGCACCAGCAGATGCAGAACAGGAGTGCAAGTGCCACGATTCCTCCCGCCACTGCAGGTCCTCTTGAAACAAGCTTTGATATCCGACCTGCTGGTGGCTCTCCGCCTGCGCGGCGTCCTAGTCAGGCTGAGCTTCTGAAGGCTCAGCTCGGAGTTCAAACTCCCCCACTTGAGGAGCAGGTGCTAATGACGGCTGCGCCAGGGGGACGAGCCGGCGCGCGTATCGCCTCTAGTGTCGCTTTCCCGAGTAGTCCTGAGACTCCGATTAGGGGATCATCTCCTCCCGGGCAAACCACTGTGATTAGTGGTGGTACGTCACTCGGAAATTCCTTGCCCAGCGGCAATGGACACACAATCAAAGACAATATACCTTCCAAGTCGGATGTCGCTGTGTCTTGGCGCCGTGGAAGCACCACTAATTCAGTTTTGAGTGGTCTCCGCACGGTCTCTGCTGTTTCGCCGAGTGTTAAAATCACACCACCTCCTGGTGAACGTGTTTCACCTCCTGGAAGTGGTGCTACGTCTGCTAGCAGGGCGCGCCCGCGCCCCTTGAGCTTTACGGCACCTCTTTCGCGCACGCTCCCTGTCGTTGCCTTGGACTCTGGCAGCGAGCACGAGGATGCCTACTCAACTTCAAGTTCTGCCTCGCTCTCCAACCCCACTACCCCTCACTCCTCATCTTCGTTAGACACATCGCCGCTGTCGCCCCGCGAGGAAGCAACCAAGAAATTGTACGAGGGGCTGGGAATGGGACGACCTATCTTATCTGCTTCGCCCGTTCCCGTCGCACATAAATTTATCGGCCCTTTGAGACAGCCTCGTGGTCCGCCTTCTGGTGCTGATGAATTAGGACCCAAGAACTTTGCCACGCGCGTGCGCCGTAAGGCTATCGGCGGCCTGGGCGTTCTCATGGGTGCTCGCGAGCGCAGGGAGGCAATCGAGGCATACTAAACACGCTCGCTCGTTTCGGCCTATTTCAAAGTTCAACCAACTCAATATTTCGTCATGACTCGTCTCTTTGACTCCAACATTACACTCTTTACGACAAAAACATCATCACCATCATCATCAGCAACAACAACAACTGCCTTGTGTTAAATCCAACCCTGGAGCTTTACGTTGGAACGGACACGTTAGTGCTAGCGCTTTGTTCTACCCAGGCCTTCCCTTCATTCATTTCACCTTTCGCTCTTACGTTTTACGTTCGACCTTATCTATTACTCCCTGGCGAGTGTTTTAGCTACTTTGCGTGTGGGCTTTTGATGCCTAGTAGTACTCGGAGCCCCTTTTCATCTCACCTTCCACCTTTTGGGTTCGTGTTAGGGAGGGCTATTAGTATGGCCTATGGCACTGGTGGGAGTTGAACTTCCGCGGGTGCACGTCAAGCCTGCTTACTTACTCTGGTTTGCTGTTGTTTCATACTTGTACGGTTGTTCATTTAAGCCGTTGTTCGAATGTGTATCTGCTCTGCTGTAAAATGTGTTGGGTGGAAGTCGGAACGATGTCAGTCTGAGTGAGGCTTGAGGGATATCAACTTTTGCTCCGTCAGAAATTCCCCAGCTGAAGCGACGTTGAGTCTAAGCATGCGATGAAAGGCCCTTGAAGACAATGTATGTATTTGCACATTTCGCAGTGCAAGCGTCGCCAGGGAACTTTGTCGTGGAGCGTACACCATATAGTGAATGAAAAAGGGTGGCAACCTGGCCCCACATTCCTGCGGCTGCGGACATGCGGTTTCTGCCACAACAGTCTACCATATATTTTAGGACAAACACGAGGACCGCGGTGTAGGCTAACTTGAAGTAGTTGCGTTTCCGCAGCCACAATGTGCCCTACCAGCAGCTAACTCCCCAATATGACAAGCCTATTTACACCTCTGCCCCACAATAGGCTTACCATGCTCCTAAGATACCGTATCAACAGAAGCCAGCACTGGAACACGAAGCGATGCATACCTGCCACTCTTCTCTACTAATCCACAGCTGATGGAAAGTGCCAAGACTCGCTAGAATACTTCCTCCTAGCCAACCACCATACCTTCGTTCGATGGGGTTACCAGGAGCATGGATCTTGACCTGCAGACGCACTTCTAGATCGATGGTGTATGTTTTAAAGCGCTTCACTCACGTGGGGGAAATTCCTTGATAGCTCTGCCTCCAAGCGATCAGCGAAACCGGGGAACAGGCTGCCTCCGCCAGTGAGAACCACATTTCCCATGAGAACTTGCCGCAGATCCGGATCGCAGGCGCGAAGAGACTCTGAAAGCAAGGTAGGGATGTTCTTTGGAAGGTTTGGATTTTGCGCCTGCAAAGAATGAGCGTCTTTCATATCGGTTCAGTATGGAGACAACGTACCACTAGCTGCGGTGAGTGGAAGAAGAACTGTTCGCCAACTTGGTATCGCTCCGGCCCGAAGTACATGTTATAGCCTGTCGGGAACTCGTATTGGCGTGGTGGACGAGACGCCGCAGCTCTGTGATACACGATGAGAAAGATCGCAAACGTGCGCGAAATCAACCCACTGGTCGTTCCATCCCTGATCAAGAACACCAGCAACGCTTTGTATCCACTCTTCGACTTCACGACCCTCGCACCAAACCCTCCAGCTTTCCGTCGTTCCAGGTATACGGTCTTCACGGAGAGAAAACTTTGGTAGTGCACCGGGTTCGACGGGCTATGTTGTGTCGCATTGTTAAAATGAGTAACTCGGGCATGATAAACAACGCACCAATTTGTTAGCGATGAGTTGATGGGGGAGAAGTTCAATTCCCCGACGCGTCTGTGTGGGATTACTGAGGATGTGTCGGGCATGAGCTTGGACAAGTTTAGGTAGTGCAGACGATACCAAGCCTACGGGATGTGAGAATGGGAAAAGTCAAACACAATGGACGCACCCTTTCGTAGTACGAAGCCATCAACTACTGGGGTGATGCTGGCCATTGCATGCCCAACGTCGATTACTAGTGCTGAGCCCTTCCCTGCTGCAAAACTGCTCCAAGATTGAAGACATCAGCGCCACATAGCAAGCGAATCAAATCTTACGCGTTCAGAACGCCAGTATTGGCAATGTAGAAGGCAGGAACATGGAACTCCTCGAACATAATCTCTGCCATTCTTTCTCTATTTGCGGGTGTGTTCCAAGCCGGCTCGGTTACGAGGATGGGATGTTCTGAAGGATTGACTCGCATAACGTCGACCAGCGCATGCGAGATCAAAGCAGGGACCGGATTGAAGTCAAAAACTGCATAGTTTAGATATCAATACTATCAATGAATAGAATGTAAAGTTACTTACTCAACGCATCCCGTACAGGGTTCCCAATTTCCATACCCTCTCTCCAGATCGAAGGGCCATTCTGCCCGAGGTAAAGTTTCGCATCACTCGGGGTTTGTTTGGGTGTTGACTCAAAGTTTTCTGGTGCATTTCCGCTCATCTGCACATCGCCATCCCCTGTAGTCGCCTTATAGCCATAAAACGACGGGATAATGGCCTTGGGGATATCATCCCCGGCGTACCCTGCGCGTACGGATGAGGAGCCTATATCAAGAACCAAAGCAGATACTTCATCTGTGTAAAATGTGTCAAAGTCATTATTTGTATATCCAGCGACGATTACTGACCTCCTCCGTAGTTGACCATCGCGGTTTATGCTAGAGTGTAGTATGCCCGATCCAGATCTAACAAACATCTAGTGGTCACGTGACTCTGTACGAAAAATGATATGGTGAAGTCAAGGTGAAGTAGTATGATCCTTCACCTGAGAAACTTCCCTAGTACTGTCCCTTCTCGAGACTCTTTCCTAAAAGATGGCAGTCACTGGCCTTGGGAAAATGCGGAACAAGCGTAAGCAGGAGGAAGAGGTCGAGAAAGGTCCTTTTACCGGTGCAGTGGATTTGGAGATGCAGAGCGAAGACGAAGCGGAGGATGAGGACCGGGAGGGGGACGATGCGTCAGACGATGGAGACGTAGATGAATTCCCAGAAATTGATGTTGCCAGTGATAGCGACGAAGAAAGCGACGAAGAGGAGGAAGAGGAGGACGTGGATGACCTTGACGAAGAAAACACCCTTGATGAAAACTCTGACGCCGACTCAGACTTGCATATATTCCCAAAATCTAAAAAGGTGGTTTCTGACATCACCGGACAAACAAAAGTTGTATACCCAGAGATCGAACCTGACTATGATTCGGACTCCTCGACAGAAGATGTGAGTGGATTGTAACTTTTTCCTACACATCTTTGTGATGTAACAATCCCTCAGGATCCCAACCGTGTTGGAAATATACCGATGCACTGGTATGATGACCTACCTCACTTGGGCTACAATATAAATGGCAAAAGAGTGTTGCGTCCAGCTAAAGGCGATGAACTGGATAGATTCCTTCAAACAGTAGAAGATCCCAATTCATGGTACGCAATGCTTTCCTTCTGGTCATGTCATACACTCATATGTTGCAGGACAACTGCTTTTGACCAAAATGCCCAAATGGACAAACCATTGTCCGCTGAGGAATTAGACATTATCCGCAGATTGCAGGCTGGGGAAAATCCTGATGCCGAATACGACCCATATGAACCTACCATCGAGTGGTTCACTGGTAAAGGCAAAGAAGAAGTCATGCCTCTCTCATCGGCCCCAGAACCAAAGCGCAGATGGCTACCAAGTAAATGGGAGAAGCAAAAGGTCTGCTTTCCCCTAGGTTCCATGTTACACTTCTTTATTTTATTCTTTCCAGATCATGAAGATTGTTCGTGCCATCCGCCAGGGTCGAATCGTGGGATCTAAGCCTACTGCAGCGGATAAAAAGCAGCAATTCTATGCTATATGGAACGAGCCACCGTCTAATCAACCGCCCCCGTTACCAGCACCCAAACCAAAGCTTCCTACGCATTCCGAATCCTACAACCCTCCCGAAGAATACTTGCCAACTGAAGAGGAGCGGAAACAGTGGGAGAATACTGACCCCGAAGACCGTGAACGAGACTACCTCCCACACAAGTATCCTGCGCTTCGTCTGGTTCCCGCATACGACCAGTTCATCAAGCAACGTTTCAACCGCCAGCTTGATCTATATCTTGCACCGCGGATACAGAGGGTGAAGCTTAATGTCGACCCTAACAGCCTACTGCCAAAACTACCAAGTCCGAATAGCTTACGGCCGTTCCCCAACTACAAATCACTGCAATTCATGCATACTAAAGCACGAGTCAGATGTTTGAGCATAAGTCCTGATGGCGCGTGGGTGGCTAGTGGTGACGAGAGCGGAGTGATCAGCCTCTGGGAGGTTAACGTGGGGCGAGAGGTTAAGCGTTGGAGCTTGGGCAGCAAAGTTGGCGCCATTGAATGGTGCCCAAGACTTGACGCTTGTTTCTTTGTCGCCGGAACGTAAGGATTAGTTGTTCGCCACGATCACCGCATTACTGACAAGTGCCTTAGGGAGGAACAACTACATTTCTTCATACCCCCAAATATTTCTCCTGCCTTGTTGACCATGACACAGTCAACCTTGGCACCCGCCACTCTTCCGCCTGCCACTCAGTCGTCAATTAAATGGATATCGACATCCGGAGCTGCTGAAGACGGACCCATCTTGACCATTGAACTACCAAGTGCATCTGGACTGTCAAGACAGTTGACTTGGCACAGAAAGGGGGATTATCTAGCTTCAGTCTGTAAGCAAAAGATTTCGCGAGTACTTCTAAACGCTAATAGGCCCTCATTTACAGCCAGCAGCGAGACTCAAGGCAGTGTCTGGATGCATCAGATCTCACGCCGACACTCGCAGTCACCGTTCAAAAAAATCAAGGGTGCTGTTCAGATGGTATTATTCCATCCTACGAAGCCCCACTTTTTCGTTGCGGTACGTGTTACACTTGTTCGAGCTCCTTCTTGCGTTCATTCCAATGTATTAGACCCAACGTTACGTCAGACTGTATAATCTGGCTGAGCAGAAGCTACTGAAAACTCTTATGCCTGGCATCAAATGGATATCGTCGATGGACGTACATCCCTCCGGCGACCACATCATTGTCGGCGGCTACGACCGAAAGCTATGCTGGTTCGATCTAGAACTAAGCGAAAAACCGTACAAAGTTCTTCGGTAGGTTGTTCGTTTCGTTTCAGAGTAGGTTGTTAATTTCGGCGACTTGCCACTAGCTATCACTCAAGAGCCATTCGATCACTGCATTTCCACCCAACCTACCCTCTTTTTGCTTCTTCATCTGATGACGGCTCGATCCAAATTTTCCACGCAAGGGTCTTTAGTGATCTTATGACGGATCCGCTAATCGTACCGCTCAAGATACTGCGCGGCCATGATGTTCAGGAGGGACTTGGTGTACTCCAAATCAAGTGGGTCAGCAAGCAACCATGGTTGGTTAGCGCAGGGGCGGATGGCAGTGTTTCACTGTGGTGTAGTTGAAGATAAGCCCTTTGTCTGAGTTTCGACTATGAAAGAATTCCTTTGTTGAGTTCGAATCTTCGAAATAGTGTGACTGTGAACCTGAGCATGACTGACGTGGGTATCAAACCGCCACACTATGGTATATCACCAGAACTGGGCATAGTGCTAGGGTGTCACTAACCAGTGACATAGTAATGCGGTGTGTAGCTCGATGTCGATTTTTTTCATGACCCATCTCTCATTTTGAATCTCCGGCAGGATCTCCAACATCCGCCGAGTTTGAGAGCTGCTCGTGCAAATCAACAGACTAACTAGATATCACCTAGTGGAGAATCATTCTGCTATTGCTACTAAGATCATGAGTCGCGGCGCCGATCCAGCAGTCCAGTACAAGTATATTCCCAGAAGCCAGTCCCGCATTTGCACACTCCGATGAGTTGATACTTTCCAGTCTCTTCGTTCAGTGGAAACCAGGTACATGAAATGACCACTGGACAGCCAAGCAAGAGTACCACAAATGAGTCATCACACCTTCAAGCACCTCTGGCGTTAACGGTCGCATCTGGTACCTTGGTGGCATTTACCTAGTGGCGACTCCGCTGCTAGATAACTTGAAAGATGCTGACATGCTCAGTCATGACGACTAAGTACTAACACAAAATAAATAGCCCCGTACAAGGAAATTCACCTCTGCAATGCGTGCTTGGGAGGTACGTACAGTCCAATGAACACTTTCTTGGTTCTTACTGCGACCGAAAGAGGTCTCGACGCCACGTCGATCAGGACTGAATATTAATTCTTGAATACCTTATCTAGGAGGTATATATATCCGACGGAGTATCCAAAGAGACTCAGTTTGCTCTTCACTAGTTGCTCCCTCACCTACTGGCTTCCTCACTGTCGCTCGCTACATCGTCCCGAGTCAATCACAATGGTTGACTGGAAAACCCCAAAGGAAATAGAAGCAGAAGGTGGTGAGTATCATGCTGAATTTCTAGGAATTTCCTACTCTGATCATTCTGCCCTTGCAGTCCCTTTCATCAAGGCAGTCTATGTCCTATTTGGAATTTACATATGGGAAATCTGCACAACTGGCAGATTCGAGTTATCTATATTCTTGGGTAGGCGCAAGTTGACTTGGCCTTTGGTGCGTCTCTCCCTCACCTATGATCCTGTCTGACTTTAACTGTCACAGAGTATGTGTATTACCCATTGGCAATTTTCTGATGCTTATGCGGTCTAAAGTTTTCTTCTTTCTGTGCCGTTACAGCATGCTCCTTGCTTTCATTGGATTGTAAGCCGCTAAGCTATCCCCTCGTATTGCTGACTCAAGTCAACTCCAGGATCATCTTCGTTAATGTATCCATGAAGGTAACAACGCGTTTCCCTCAAATATAAAGTAACTCATCCTCGGTTTCGGTTAGATTGATTGTAATGTGTGTGCTGTTTCTCATATGCATACTACGGCTGACATTGGCCATCCGACTGAAGGCTCTGTACACATTTACTTTTGTGAGCTAGTGGAAACGTCGTTAGACCGATTGAAACTAATATGATACTCGCAGATCGCAGGCAATTTAACAATTCTAGGTGCCTCCACTTCACTGATGATCAGAACGTAAGTACTGTCTCACTTTATATCATTTATTGTAAGCTACTGGTTGATCTCACCTCCGAAGCATGGCGCTTTGGGAGTGGAAACGCCAGGCAGTTCTGTCAATGCTTGCCCTGTCATTTGGACAGTGCGCGATCCTAATTTGCACCATAACGACCGTACAAGCATCATGGGATCACCAGGCTAGGGCTTGTGTGGTTGTCAGGACAAACCACATCCTCCTGAGCCTGAACTACGCCTACAGCAAGTGACCCAAGTCCTCCACTATATTTCACAGCTCATTCAACGTCTACCAGCTATGTCATTTGACTTTGTGATTTTGGTGATGACACTACTCGTTCTGAGAAAACGTTTCAGACATGAGGATCTTTCGACCCTTCTCTGTCGCGACGGCTTGGTTTACTTCCTCATCACATCGACTTGCAACACCGTTCCAGCCGTAGGTCCTCTTCTCAGATACGCTCTCACTCAAGCTGACATCCACACAGGTCTTAGCTGCTCTCAACCTCAACGGTGAGCTAGTTATGTTGCAATGTTTATAGAATCAAGCCTGACTTGTATTGGGACTCCTAGATGAGATGAATGTGTGAGTGGCTTCCACGATTACATTCCGTTTTGCTGGGCTAAAACAAATGCTGGACGTAGCATCGCGATGGTGAGTTGCATGGCTGCTTTTTTTTTTTGTCTGACTGAGCTCTATTTCAGGTGCCCGCTGCTACAGTCTCGTACGTGCCTTGTTTTATTCTTATGGTCATTTTTTATAACGGCGCACAGAGCTATTGCTGCCTGTCGTGTGTTTATTCGCCTCGATGCATATAACAAAGGCAACGGCGAGAAGGTTCGCAATAACCCGTCGTTGGTTAATCACAATTCCACCTCTCCTTCAGTTAGCCCTAGAAGTCCTACTTCATCGCCGGGTCCTATCAGCTTTTTGCCCTTGCCCAGTCCTAAGACAACGAAGCAAGGGATTCGTGTCACGGGCACTATGGATTTGTCTGGGTACGTACTTGGTTAAAGGCAAATTGGGAAGATCTAATCATAATGTGTTCCAGCCCATCACAATCCGCCAGGAGCAAGTCCCCTTACGAGCGCGACAGCGACCGCACTTCGGTCGACTCCGGGTCAGACTCGAAGTATCCTGGTCCTCACGGTGACAGGCGTTTGATCGCTCGGATTTCACCGTACATCCGCTTTGGCTCAGCCGTTTGAGTGGATGCTGGATACCGCTTTTTGTCACCGTGTTACCCTGGAATTTTCTAGTTCGAAAGTTGCAATTTGCAAATGTAGGAGAAATATCTGTAATCAAATAGGTTCATCCGCCCTAATTGTTTAGTATGTATATACTGTGACTCAGATAGTGTGGAGATGGACCTCGAGTTATGTTATCGCAAGTATAATGCTTTTGGATATGTGGCGGTATACAGATGGCACGGCGATAAGTAAGGTAACCTGATGAAAAGACATAGGGTCGTACGCCAATAACCACGCATCATCGCCGACGTGACGGGCGCCCAGACTTCCGCCGCGCTGCTGGTAGTCCCTGGCGGTTCATTCTCGTCGACTTCGGTACAGGCGTCATGCCTTTTGACTTTCTCCACTCCTCCCTTCGCGAGTTCCTTGGACCGTGAGTCGAGATGCGCGATGGTTTTGTTGTTGACGATTTTGCGGAATCATCGAGTTCCATGGCATCTAAAAGAGTAGTCAGGTTGGAATTTCAAGATTATGTCCAGAGAGCCTATAGACCTGGTGCCGTAGAATCATCTGGTAGGGTAGATGTAAGCAAGGATGATTTATGCATTAGACAAACTGAAAAAAGCGAAAAGATGCAGCTCCCCCTGGTGCCATCTTAGAGCTTGAAAATGCGACGAACCTTGTGCAGCATCACCTTCCACCGGTTCTGCTAATTCCTCATCTCCATCATCAATTTTCGCCGTCAATTTAGAATGGAGTCTCTGGAGACGTGCAGCCTCAGTTGCTGCATATACACCTTCATCGCGTTTTTTTGCTCTGAATGAGCGCTTTACTTTTGATCGAGTTGATTTTGCCATGTCAATGACAATGTGGAAGGAATCACAAATGGTTCGCAAATGAGGGGACCTCTGGCTGATACTACACACGTGACACATTCAACTCGTTCAAAGTTCGAGAACGACTAAGTATCAGAAGCAGCCACTTCAAACCGTCTATCCGTTAGATAAGTGGCCGTGCATTAATGACACCTTTCGTTGTGGGGTATCAGGCTCATACCAAAAATTGGATGGTCCGAAGATATGTTCACCAATTCATGCTGTCTTCGAAGAAATGACTGCTGGAATAGAAAGTACCTAAATCAGCCGGCACCACCGCTACTGACAGAAGTCTGAAATTTGAGCCCGAGTCCATAGCACTGCGGTTAGTTAGTCATTATGATGCAAGATCATCTCTCAAGTCTAGACGCCCTCCACTGCAAAACGCAGGTTCAAGGACGGACGATCATCCAGGTCTTTGATGCATCTACATCGCGATAGATCATGCAATCACTATACAAACCTACTCCGATCGAATAAACTCTCGAAAGTCCTATGATACAACAAGAGTAATGGCCTGGAGCCGTCGCAAAAGATATTTTGAGTGGATACTGCATGATCATTCTGGAGGAGCTTCCCTGTAAAGTCGCAAAACATATAAGCATAGAGAACTGGAAGAGGAGGAATGATACTCATGATGTACAGCACGTTGTTACACCTGCAGGAAAGCTGGTAAAAGCATCAACGATGGAACAATGAAACACGTACCTGATGAAGACTTCGCCCAGAGCACCATTTGATTTCCCGTCTTGGAATTCCTCTGTGTTAGCCAGCTATGTAATATATTAGATCCACAGAAAATAAGCATCAAACTTGTCGTCCATACCTGAAGGTTCATGTACCCATCCGTACTGACAAGGAATCCTTTGTACTCGAGCCCCCATTTTAGTCTTACAAATACCGGCTTCCCGGTAAGCTCCTGCATGAAAGGCTTGGGGTTAACAGGGTTGACCTAGGATGGGTTAATATCATGACATCCGACTATGAGCTTGTTGACGCACCGACGACATCTTGGTTGTTGATAGAGGATAGATGTAAGTAAATTCGGACTTCGAAAAAGGCAAGAAAGGAATAAAATACAACCTTGTGACATACTCGCTTTGATTCGCCTTTGGTCGCGTTCGTGCCGTTAACTTGTACAAAACATGTCAGACCGCGAAGGACACTCGGGAGCTGGACCGTCGGATGAAGATCTGTCGCTGCCAAAGGCAACGGTCGCAAAGATGATTAGTGGTATGTCTCAGAAGCATGTAGTTCATTTTCCGACTCTTGAACTGTTATTCGATCCCCATTACCTGGCTCTCAGAACTACTACCAGCTGAGGTCACATGTGCGAAGGAGACGCGAGATCTAGTCATAGAGTGTTGTGTAGGTGAACATCGTCAATGATCTTCCTGTGCCTCGATAGGGCTCATACATTTGGTAGAATTTATTCACTTGATCTCATCGGAGGCCAACGAGATATGTGAGCAAGAATCCAAGAAGACAATAGCACCGGAGCATATCATCGCGGCACTGAAGGTATGTTTATGATTGACCTCTATGCTCCACTGACTTTGCTGTAGCGACTAGGCTTCGATTCCTTTACAACTGAAGTTGAAGATGTCCTCAAAGATCACAAACAGCAACAAAAGGTGCGTGAAGTTCATACTGACGCCTATCATATGATGGACTTTTTCCAGGACCGAGAGAAGAAGGCAGACAAGATAAAAGATTCGGGTATGACGCCAGAAGAACTTATGGCAAAGCAAGAAGAACTTTTCGCTGCAAGTCGTGCAAAATTCGCTCAACCGCAGGGGCAGCAACAGCCATCGGCGGAAACTTAGGTGGCGACGCCGATAGCGAACACTCATGGTACCTGCGATTCGTATTATTGTTGTATCGGACCCCGTACATCAGTACTTCTAATGATTTTTATTTTCTATTTCTCTGTCTTGTCGCTGCCGCAGAACTTCAAGGCGTCTATGTGGAGAGTCTTGGTTCCATTCTTCCACTCCATTGGAGCCCACTGTAAGGTGTGGAAGACTAAACTGTTGAACCGTGAAAGAGGCTGACACCGAAGCATACAGAGATGCTAGAATGTGTGAATGACGATCTAATTAGCTGTGTGTCAGCATCATGAGTACACTGACAAACCTTCATAGACGTTTCCGTTTGCGATGGACAATCCCGCAGCGAGCCCGCCAAGAAAAGAGTTGCCAGCACCTGGTTTTCTATCAGTATGATCACAGCTATGCACATACTCACCCAAAGAATCACCTGTGACATCGACCACCTTGTCGATATTCTCAGTGGAACTCCAGAATGCGTCAATCCATTGCCCTTTCCTGTCAGAAGTGATGACGTATGCGCCGAGAGCACCACTGCGTATTATAACGCTTCCACTATTTTCCTTACCCACACCCATCTTCAAGAACTCCGATGCAGCATTTTCTACAGCAGATTTCGTAACAACCAAGGGAAGAGAAAGTAGGCTCAGGGCCTCCTCAGCATTTGGACTAGTGTTTGCGTGAGCAGAAGACACCGATGCTGACTATGTCTCGCCTACCTGAGGATTGCGATATGAGGGAGGACTGCTTTTAGTGAAGGTAACTCCTCGGGAATACATCTATCCTGCTTAATATTCAATCATTAATTGTGAGACAGAAGCCTGCACGAACAGGTATGGGTTCAAATATTGTGGTCGGATTCCATCCTTCAATCTCTTGGATTTCTGATATGATTTGAAGCGCACGCGTGGGTGAACAAATGAAATGAACCGAAGCAGGACGTGTAAGCCGCGTTCTTTCCAGGTCGCGAGGCGTGAGTCTGATCCGCGGAGTAATGTATTCAAAGCTATTGTCATATGGGAAAGTCAGGCGGTGGCGATAGATGCATAATGTGAGGAGATAGCAACCCTCGATATTCTCCTCTGTAGGAATTCCTTGATCGAGTAGTAACACGATTCATGTCGTCACGAAAGTGCCATATGTCAGAACCGTATGTTAGTAACTGATTCTGGATGTCCTGAGGGAAATCGTTTCCTCGATCGATAATCATTCCAATGTTATCGGGAGGCAACCTGCAAGAAGGTCGAGCCGTTCACAAATCCAAGTCATACGAAACAACAACTCGTTAATGCTGACCAGATGCGAGCACCGATAGTGGCATACGTTCCTCCGCCTCCGATCTATCATGACATATGGCGTGAGGACGTTGACAGCAGCATGAATCTGTAACTAGCTTCCCTGGGGTGCCACAGTCTCTCCAGTAGGTTTCCCTTGTTCGTCTGCAAAGGAAAATTCATCAATGATAAACATCCCAAAGCTCACAAATCGGATCGTCATATCTGGAATAGTATGAGGTATGAAACAAACCCCCACAGCAAAGCCTGTGTTACTGTTGCTAACCCGCCGGTTCCTTCCGGGCATGATGTTACCGTGGCGTCTCCGCTGATAATATTGTCTGCAACTGGATAAGTATCTAGTAATCTATATCACTCATGCAAGTTTGGAATGTCATATACGACCCGCTCGAATTCCCAGATTCCGTGCGTGCCATGTCGTTCACGTTGCACTTCACGTTACCGTTCTGATCGCCTCATACATCCGATTAGCTTTATCACAGCGCATTGCCCCTAGTCGATCAGACAGCACAGAGCAAGATCACCAAGTTTCATCGCCGCGAAGACGCTTGTCGTACGTATACAACTCACCAGGTTGTATATTGGCACTACCCACACTTACGCTTGATCTTTCATCCAAGGATCGCTCATTGGCAATCTCCTTCCCAGAGTCTTACTCAAGAAGCGAGGCGTGGCTGGAGATGCCATGACTTTTGCAGCTACCGATACGGGGAAGCCATATTGTGTATGTCTTTGCAAGATAATCACCCTCATCTTGTATTGATTCTTTACCCAGACAACTCCTGGAATAGACCCACCCTTGGCTTTCAATGTTACTCATGATGAAGGCGTCATCGCCATGGCCTTCGGAACGGGCGATTTAGGACCTCCGGCATTCAGTGTAGGAGTTGATGTCATGAAACTCAAAATTCCTCCGCGGACTACTTTTACTGAATTTGTTGACATCGTCGACAGTCAGGTGAAACGTTCGTGCTTCCTATCTTCGGGCTGCGCTCATTCCCTCGCCTTATCACCGAAAGCTCACGGCTCGAGAGAAGAATTTAATTCTTGCTGACGTCACTGAGGAAGAGGCAATTCGCAGGTTTTACTGGATATGGACCCTGAAAGAGGCTTACACCAAAGCTCTCGGGATTGGCCTCGGCTTTGATTTCAGAAGGATAGAATATGATGTTGTGGAGGAGAAAGTGACCGTTGATGGCGAACCTGCGAGAGGATGGCAGTTCTTGAGATTCGAACTGCCGCAATATGGACTCAATTATGTCGGCTTTGCTGCAAAGTTCGTTGGAGGGCGGGGGACGAGCATATCAGAACTGAGTGAAGGGTGTCTCGTTTGCTATGATGCTGTATCATTTGTTAACCGTGCGATCGAAGAAATGAGCTAGACAACTAGACACCTGTATCGTATTAGGGATGTACTGGGAATAAATGCTATATGTTAGACTACTACGTAAATTGATTTTGAGGGAGACGGAAATAAGTATACTGCGCTCATCGATATGATTACCTGGGATATTATACTCTAGAAGTATGCGTCTAAGTGAGATCAATATGCAAGGAAGATTTCTGAACCAAAAAGCAGGTCATCCTCAGAATGGTTCCTGGCTTGAAGGGGCGCTGATTGCCAAACCCTCTTTGCGCCGTCATTTTGCTTTACCTGAGAGCCCCAGTGCATCCCGGAGAGCTCGAATGCATTGAGCTCTGTGAAGGACGTCAGAACGCTGGCCACCTGCTCATAGAATTCCTGTACCACATAGATTAATGTTCCTGAGCGCTACAAGTGAAAAAGCCATGACGACTTACGGCAGTTGGAGCAATGAAGATGTCCTTGGTTGACATCACTCGCAAATAGACCAAGTGAGGCACATGCCTGTGCAGTGTTTCCAAGAAGGGCACAGGAGGTGCATTTGTAACGGCTCCCAGAATGACCACAGGGACAGTCGAGCGGGCAAGTAGAGGAATATCATCCTCCATAAGACCCCCGCCGTTCAGATGAATACTGCTGACGGGACGGCCGGGAACAATTAATTCAGCTGCCCGGGATGAGCCAATGAACTGTTGCAGTTGGGGAATAGAAGTTGGAGCAAGGTAAGGGAGTGGGGAATTGCGCGTGAACATGGTAGGAATAGAATCCACTTCAAGCTCAAGAAGTGACGGCGTCCTATCAAGGAACCGGGCGACGTTTCCATCAAAAGAGAAGGAGCAGGTGAACTGAAGCAAGTGCGGGAAGTGAATACGACTAGACGCTTCCTTCAACACCCAGCTCACGCTCGAATCCACGAGGAGAGTAAGAGAGGTTAACTCTGACATATTAAGAATGGCTTTAGCAAGTTGGCGATAATAAGCGAGGAAGACGGGAGCAAGCGAATCTATAGCGATATAAAAGGACCGCACGAAACGGGCGACATGCGGTTTCTTCGCAAGAGTGTCAATGACACATAAGTTTTGCGACCAGGCGGAAGCCGATACACTACAATAGAGGACGCGTTGTGCCACTGGACAGAGAGCGGAGCATGTTTGAGCAAGAGCAGCGAGAGAAGAGTAAGAAAGATACTGCGCAATGCTATCGAGAAGCTCGACTGGTAAGCTGTACATGGACATGGGTGCTTAATGCAACCCGAGCTGAACGCGGGATCTCTTATAAAGGCGAGCCTTGGGCGCACAGGCACTGGATGTCTATAGAATATTATTTTTGAGTGATTGCCGCCGTGTGAAGGAAAAAAATGAATGCAAGCGAATTGAACTAAAGACTGAGAAAGTCCATGGATAGAGAATGACATTGAGATGTAAGCTTAGATTTGATTACATAAAAATAAAAAAGCTTAAGGGAAACGAGGCGGTGGGTACAAAACATGCCAGCAAGCATGAGTTATGGGAAATTATTTTTACCGTTAATTACGTAACTCTTGAACTTAGCATAAAGCAGAGTACTCTAACGTGAACTTCGCAATTGCTAACATTCCGTAGTTATTGCATCATGCGCAGTCTAGGGGGACTTGGGATCAATTGTTTGGTGTTACCATTCACGAAACAAGTTTTAAATTTCAGACCCTCCTCGAAGTCGCACTATTTTCGAACTCCTGCCTTATGGAATGCAAATAGGCACGTTCAAACGCGAGGCGATGCTCGTTCCGGTCAGCAAAATAACGCGTTCCTCACGCGATTCTCCCGCTTTCAACGCTGTACTAACTCGTGTATCATGAACAGCTCCGTATCCAAAACGGACTCATATGTGTGGTGAGCTCACTCCCGCGCACGCTGGCATCCACGTCACGTTGACTGGTTGGCTGCTCCCTGAACGGTGATTACCTTTTGGATCTGTTCTCCTTTCAATTTGCTCACTTTTTCTAAATAAAGCAAAGTCTCAAAAACAATGTCCTTCTTTCCCATCAAAGATTCTTCTGGAATAACTCAATTGGTTGTACGCAAGGAGCATGCGAATGCTCATCTGACCGCGTTGTCCGAACTTCCTGTAGAGTCGACTATTGCGATCGAGGGTCAAGTCCTCGTCAGACCAGAGCTATCTCGCCGTGATGTCAGTGGGGCCTTTTTTCTCACAAGCCGTCATTGTTCTAGCCGCTCATCCAAAGTATCATCAAGGAAGGCACAGGTCAGATTGAGGTCCAAGTAAATAACTTTACTCTCCTCAATCCTGCGCATCGCAACATGCCATTCATACCGTCGGACAATCAGACATTGGTATGCGGGGTGACGCGGAGTTCTTCTACTATTAATGAGATCAATAATAGGTCAATGAAGACCTTAGAGCACGTTTTCGATATCTTGATCTTCGCAGGACTGCCCTTGCAGACAACATCAGAAAAAGAAGCCAAGTTGCTCGAATAATTCGGGATACTCTGCATGACGATGGTGCGTGCTCTTGATATCCGTCAAATGTCTCAAGATCACAGTCGCTCCTAGGCTTTCTTGAAGTGGAGACTCCACTGCTTTTGAAATCAACGCCAGAAGGTGCAAGAGAGTTTTTGGTCCCGTCTCGCGTTGGCCAATCAACTGCGCAGCATGATACCCCCCTGTTCTACGCTCTTCCCCAGTCTCCACAGCAACCAAAACAGTTGCTTATTTGTTCTGGAGCCGTTGACAAGTATTTTCAGATAGCCAAGTGCTTCCGCGATGAAGATGGTCGGAAGGACAGACAACCCGAGTTCACGCAAATCGATCTAGAAATGGCATTTGTCTCATGGGGTGTGGATCCAGATATTTTCTCATCCAGTTCATGGCGAATCGGAGGCCACGAGGTTCGTGCCGTAATCGAAAGGCTTGTTCAACGCATATGGCAGAAAGTCGAAGAAATCACACTTCCGAGCTCGTTCCGGGTGATCACCTACAACGAAGCAATGGCACGTGTAAGCTAGCCATTTACCGATCGAGGGACATTGTAATCTGGTCATATTAATGATCGTTTAGTATGGTTCAGACAAACCCGACACTCGGATCGATCTTGAGGTTGTATCGACTGTTTGTACACTGAATAACGCTTACACTGCCTATACTAGATCCAGGATATTACGCCCTCGCTACCGATTCATGCTCAGGCGTTGTTTGAGGACCTTGGGGACATTCTTGAGGCGATCATTATTCGTCCATCTGAGAGCTGCTCATTCTTGCGGGCAAGTAACGAATGCGACTACAAGAACGAACCGAATGTCGTCAGTTGTCACTTCTTGATCAGTATCGATAATTCCACATGATCAGTTTATAGAGCCGCTCTGTGATCGCCGATAGTAATTTGTTAAATTGGCTGTGTGATAACCGGTCTATCGATTTGAAGCTGAGCAGCGAGGAGCACGCTCTTTTGAATAAGATGTTGGGAGTCAGTAGCGGCGATACCATATGGCTATCTCGTCGTCGGAAAATTCCCGAGGTGTGTCTCTATACTATCTCCGGTGCTTCCAAGTCATGTATTACATGTGGATAGGGCGGGTCCACTGCTTTGGGTCGCCTGCGAACACGAATATCTGAGTTGGCACAAGCCCGCGGTATGTGCTGTTTACTATTGTAACGGAGAGGCGTTCATACCGTTTGCAGGTGATTACGTACCTCACACGATTCCTCACTTCCTATGGGTCACCGAGTTTCCACTATTTACCCGCGCTGATCCTGACAAGGAGTTCTTGGCTTGCGGGCGATGGAGCAGCACACATCACCCTTTCACAGCGCCGATGTGGCAAGATATAGAAGCCATGTACGCAGGCCGTATCGATCAGGTTCGTGCTAATTCGTTTCGCAGAAGTCCTTCGCGCCAGTGGCTTATCCTTGGTCTCGACTTTACTTGTTAGGTTCGCGGACAACACTACGACCTGGTTCTGAATGGCGTTGAGATTGGTGGAGGCTCGGTTAGGGTACACGATGCTGCGATGCAAGAGTACATTTTTTCCCAGGTTTTGCAGGTTCGGTTCTCTGTCTCGCCCCCGTGGCGTGTTGTACTTTGTCCCGACTCACTCGTTTTCTTTATAGCTGAGTGATGCTGAGAAGTCGTCGTTTGATCATCTTCTGCATGCCCTCAAATGCGGTGCACCCCCTCATGGCGGAATCGCTCTCGGTAAACCATTCAAGGTTTCTGTAACCCACGCACTAAAAGCTAACAAAAACCTCCGATCTAGGCTTTGATCGCCTGATGGCTATCCTTTGCAAGACGCTAACTATTCGGGATGTCATCGCCTTCCCAAAAACTGGAGCAGGCACAGATCTACTTTTCAGGAGTCCGGCGGCCATCAACGAAGAGGTGCTATATCAGTATGGTGTCCGACCCACACGTTGTTGAAGCATGTCCCGGTACTTTTAGTTGATTATCGTAACTAATGACAACATCGTGAAAAGGTATCAATGTCCTCGTCAGCTGTTGGTGCACTACATAAATGATCATATCTCATCGTAAACGCAAACAACAAAAATTATAATATGCAATTACTAGACTTGTAGTGTCCCATCCGACTGTGGCGACTGGGGAATATGACTGAGGTCAGATTCCCCAATGTTATTCTGAGTAGAATGTCTCATCGTCGAATCAACTAATGTGGATTGAACTGGAGTGGCATCGTCCGTGACGGAAGGATATGGTGATGTGCCGTAGGTAAATGACTCCCAACTCGTATCAGGTTCGAGAGTCTCTGCGTGTATGTCGGGCGGTGAAGCCTCGGATTCTGAGAGGGGTGCATCGACGAGGTCACTCGAATGACGGACGTGTGTCTCATCAATTGCTGAAAGAACACTCCGAAGCTTAGACTCCGCCTTCCGTGCGTGATGTGTAGTGTTCGGCGGATGAGACTGACGACGCTTAAGCTGGGCAGAGGGTGATACCGATCGGGTAGGAGTTGAAGAAGGGGAGACAGAATCAGCCCATTCCGAAGTTGTGGCGAAGAAGCCCCCATTTGGAGCCCAAGAATTATTGATGATCGCTGGGGATACATCAGAATTTGGGGGTGGTGGTGTGGTAGCCAATGGGCTCGGCGAGGGCGAGGGTGCATTGGCCATTACGGCCAGCGGAGGAAGAATGGTGAAGATCTGGTCCTCCGCCTGAGGAGGTCCATACGAGTCAAAAGGGTCTGGAACAGATTGGAGCATCGCTTCCAAGATAGAATCCGATCTACAAGGCGGGGATAGGCCTTGAGTAATAGTAAATTCCAGGGTCTTAATGTGACTCACGCCTTGTTTGTGAATCTGTCAAACACATCCATAGTCGAGCGAACGGCTACGCAGACCTGGAGGCGAACAGGTCAGCATTTTACGAAGGTCTGATGATTTTTCAATATGCATACCTTGCCTTGCACCACGTCCCATACTTCTTCCTCGTGCTCCATTATTTCTTGGTAGTGTTGTACCTTGAGACCATCTAGGTCATCCACTTGGCGCTGGAGGACCGCAAGGGCTTCACGGAAGCTTTGGAGGTCTGGTAGGTGACAGACGTCACTCAAGGCCCGGGAAGACCGGAAGAAGAGACTTACTTCGCTGCTTTTTATTCATGTTACTCAATTCTGTTTGGCGAATGATTTCACTCTTTTCACGAAGAGTCTTCTCATACGATGCAGAGCGCTCCTGTGACAATAATATATGAAAGGGTCCGACATGAGGCTGCGGAGGAACTGCGTACATTTACGATCGTTCGGTATGTGTCCAAATGTTGCCGCAATGGTTTTTCGAAGCTCTTGTCAAGTGTCTCCGCCTATTCAAAAGTATAAGAATTGAAGCAAGGAAGAATAACAGTAATTCGCACAAGGACATGCCAATGGTTACCGATGAGATGATGAAGTCCTGAGGCGGCCTGTAGTCTTGTGCCTGCTTCGTACGTAGGTCCCTTCAAACTGCATGAATGAGCCCCGGTTTCCTACTCGATATTGACAGTCGGAGCATACCCTGAGCATTTCTCCAAAGCATCTGCAAATGCAAAAGTCACTTTCGACATATGGAGTAAAGCAGCGCGATAATTCGCGCTTGCATTCATGAGCTGCGCAGAAACCCATCATGTATCAGGCTCTTCTGAACTTCGACAACGTATTGGCAAGGAACGCACGTCGTCATAAGACTGCAAGCTAACTTTGAGATTGGCCCGGGTAATGATCTTCTCAGGACCGTCCGCACCAAAATTCATTGCAGAAGCGTGTGTCGCGTCTGAAAACGTGGGTGAAGGAGGACCGGGAGAGGATGTACGCTTCGGTGATATAGCAAGGCTACGCATAGAACGATGCTCTCGAGGCATGCTGGAACAATGAGGCTAGTCAAACTGCCTGTAGGTGATGCAGTGCAGTTGCAGAGAATGATGTCCCCTTAGCATGCGACGCTCCCCGATTGGGTAATGTTACGGGCGGCTAGTAAACCTGATATCTCTCGTCGCCTGACAGACTGACAGTACTGAAGGTGCTGTACCAAGACGTCATAGGCGTTGCTCACGGAAATAAAAAACCACAGCTCAAATAATAACTCCACTGATGAAATACTGGAAGCTCGGGTATGAAAGAACAAGTTAATGTAGCGGAGTATGCAACGAAATTCAGTATTAATGGCATCAACCCGTCTGCTGCGCCCTGTATCCACGGATCACCGCCCAGACTTCCTCTCTGATCAGAAAACATCAGCGACTATGTGCAATCTGCACAGGATACAGCTGCGGTCAAATTCGTAGACAAATCGCTCAGACGGTAAGCAAGCGTCGATACTAGAATTTAGAAATACCAGAGGAAATCAGCCATGAAGCAAGCTGAGATTGTAACACACCTACCATGCTCAGGACTTCACACCCGCAGAGATAGCAGTCATCTTCTCTGGTGTGTCTCTGAGGAAGAATAATTTGGCCCGTCGCTGTCGTCTTCCCTCCTTTCCACCTCTGCCACCAGCTCTCTGCAAAATTTTGATATCCTTCACATGCGGCGAATTAACAAAAAACTGCATCTCCACGCCTGTCCGTTGTATGACATTCCGCAGGATAAAGGATGTGTCAGGGCCCCGCCGTCGTATGGACAGCAGAACCCCAGAGAAAGTAGTAGGTGCATGCTCGAGGCTGACCGACAGTACCGAACCAGGAAGAAGTCGGTCCGGATGTCTTCTGGCAAACCATGTAGCAAGCCATTTTTGTTTTGCAGGATGCGGGAGACTTTTTTGCAAGTAAGCCATTATGCCTTTCCCTTGGCGCAAAGCCTCCATCTGGGAAGCAGGTATTGCTGGCGACGGCGGCGGAAGTATGACAGCCTTCGAGAAAGGATATACCGTAGTATTGCTCGACAAATGTCTGACGAATGTTCTACATGATTTTGAGAACATAGTGACAGTCGCGCAAGTAATTCAACTTCCGTTCAAGTTTCGTACTTGGTAGATCATGGCCGGCAAATGCCGAGTCAGTGTCTCGCATGGTAATTATCGACAATTGCATTGTAGAGCAGGCAGAGTATGTATGAAAATAATACATAGCGAGAAAACAAGATATAGAACGGAGCAAAGGTCGGTTCGTAAGTCGCACAGCCTGGTTTCCAAAGTGCGCTCAAGGACAGAGGACAGCTGACGTACAGGATACGAAGGGCCACACACGCGCTGACGCTGTGCGCGTCAAGGTCCTCAGTTTTGCAATTAGAATCCACGCCCGCGCCCTCTGTAATATTCGTTTAGCTTTGCGTATGGAATATATTGTAAAAAGCTTACCTGCCGCGTGCTCTATAGGGGCTGTACCCGTACCCACCACGGTGACCACCTCGATATCCACCGCGGTAACCACTTCCCCGCCCTCTCCCCCGGTTGAAACCAGGAACATTAGTCCGCTTTGTAGTTACCTGTAAATGTAATAATTAGGTGACATACTGATGCTCGGAAAGCATCACAAGTACTTTTATTAATCGTCCACGGAATAAGGAATTGTCCATAGCTAATGCTGCATCTATGTGTTCAAGCTCGGCGAATTCGACATATGCGAACCTGTGAGCGAACTAAGACGAATTGGGTGTTAGAAGAAAAAACCCCGCGTACCCTTTAGGGTGTCCGGTGAACTTGTCGCACAGAATAGTTACACGATTGATCGTCCCGCAAGCCTGGAAGTGCGCTTGGATCTCTTCTGGGGTTGCCCCATAGTCCACCTAGATAAAAAGAACAGTATGAGTAAAGTCATCACCACAGTAGAAGGCACAGATAGTCGCACATTGCCAACAAATACGCTCCGGCCGTCGGCGATAGACTTTTCTTCCTCAGTCTCCATCGGAACACCTTGGTCCGCCTCAGTAGCAGATCCTCCATTTGCCGACTCTGCAGCTGCCTGCAGCTCCCTCAGTTTTTTTGCTTCACGTTCCATTTCCTCGACCCGTTGCTTCATGAGCTGAATTTCCTGGTGGACAAGGTTTGAGACGTCGAAGTTTAAGAGACGAGGGAGCGAACCTTCGATTCAAATTCGTCACCATCATCAATTATAGGGTCCACACCCTCCGCAGTGGGTGTTTGCGTCGCGTCAATATTGGCCATGGCAATAGTACTTGTGACAAGGACGAAAGTTTCATGGGCACTAACACGCCGTGCCAAATATGGGCAAACAACTTTGATGCCTTGCGCTTGCCGAGGCCCATCTCCGAGTCCTACTACTACTATACCACTAGCCACTGGCAAGCACTTAAGTAATAATTGTGCTACAACTCCCTATATACATTCGTGGAGAGTCACTCGTGAGTGTTTCTCGCAGTACGCATATTGCTCGTCTTTACGCCTCATTTGTTCTCATCGCTAGTGCCCAGTGCCCACTGTAACTATTGCCACTTACTCTTTGAAGCTTTCCTGAGGCTGCCTATGCAAAAGCCGAGATGACACATTATACTTCATTCAACGCCCCATATGCATCTACATGAAGGAATAATCCTTCAGGCGATGAAATCAAGTCCTTCAGGCAGTCTGGAAAACGAGCCGTGCATCCCGGTGCAATCCCACGAAGATACCTCGCTCTAGTGGCGTGCATTAATAGCGTTAAGGCAACCATCGCCTCGCTAGATGCTGTTCTCCTCTATGTGTGCAACACCGCAGCTACGGGTCCTGCACCTCTCACGTGTCTTGTCATAGGTCAAAGTTCTCGTCCTTGGGGTACTTGCATGGCTTCTCTCGATTCACTGTCATTACTGTGCCACGTAAGGTGAACGATATGGCATCTGTTCTACGAATATGTGGGTAAGCTCTGCAAGGAAGCTGTGTCATCCTCGTCTTCTCCAGTAAGTTTAGAACCCGTTGGAGGTGACGTTCTCCATCTACTCTATGAGCGTCATGCGCCCACGATATGAACTGCTTTCTACTCAAATACTTTTTTAGATGCAATGCTACATATGAACGTCTCTGTCATTCTGTCATTGATGTGAGATAGCGATGTTTTCGCACTGGAGACACGTTGCCTCGTTCTACAGGTGATATGCACATGCCACCCACATCATATGAATGACGGAAGCCCAGGGTGATCAAATTTGTGAGTGCCTTGTCTGCCACCGATATTGTCTATATGATTTTTTAAAACAAAATAAACTGTTTTGCTACCTTCCATTCTGGTTGATACTATGGGATACCTTTAAGTTGTAACATTGTTTCGAAAACTTCCGTAGGACAACGAGACGTGCCTCGTGCACAATTCTCATAAACCTCTTAATGAGTATCAGATTGGATGGCAGTATACGCCGACTCGAGTCATTGAACTCGTGCCGTCGCAGTGTGGAGCCATCGAGAGTCACCGCCGGACAGCCGCGCCTCGTGCAAAATTTGAACATGACATGCCATTCGGCAGGTGGCTTGGTCAAAACACTGCCTTATCACGTCCATATGGAGTTGGGAAGAGCCCCAAGAAGCACCGCTCTTTTGGGCAGGGTTGTAAACGGGATGTCAAGTAAGGTCAACTCCATATGACCACGTCGGGAGTCTGGCCAAAAGCTTAGGGCATGTCCCAACCCTGCGCTGTTTTACCTTTTAAGATGCAACACGCAATGGGGATCATTTCAGATATATTGTATTACGGAGACTTGACGGGGACCTTGTGAAAGGCGAGTAAGTATATCATGATGGAGCGTATCTGGTTAGTTTGATACCTTCTGTCTGCTTCCTTCCGCAGTCGAATTTGTCGTAAATACTATAATTAAAATGAGGTCCTAACAGTCTCCACAGATAGGATTACACACTGGAATCAGAATGGAAGAGCTTTTGTACATAGTAATCCTTCTTTTGATGGAGTGAGTGGGTGGCTTGTGGGTGATCGGGAACATTGATCAGCAATAACGTGCTGCAGATCCCCCATGAGCAACTCCGCAATGTTCCTTATTCTATGGGCCCATTGGCGCTTAACAAAAGCCCAAACTTGAAAAGGCTTCATGCACAAAAGGCTATTAAAGCACGTGCTGTCGAATTGCTGGAGGATCCAATGTGCAAACGACTCCGAACACTCGTAAAGTAGTAAATACTTGAGACTGCACATCATGGTCTGCACCGAGTTCGCGGCATGAGAACACATTGGAGCAAAATCACGTTGCGAAGTCGAAACTTGACAGGGCAGAATGCAAGTCGATCATGACGTGAAGGTGTATGCGAGCGTGAAATTGCAAGCATAACAGGCGCTGGCTCGAGTTGGGAAGTCACATCAATACTTATTGCACCCGCAATAGGCTTGCCTAGTCTCGTTAAGACCTGACAACAGATGAGTTGTGTGCCTCCACAAGGGCCATATGGTTGCACGGCGGACAAGTCATATGTCGCACGCGTTGGTTGGCAAGACGAGTCGAAAACAATGGTGGAGACACCACATATGGTAAGTGAAGGTACGAGATGTCGTACGAACACGCTTGCAGTAGAATTCACAGCATGTAACGAGCTGACCTTGACTCACAAGCCACGTCTGCGAGGGTAAGAACTTACGTCGAATTGATCGGTGAACTCAATTAGTCGAAAAGGATGGAGTGGCAGAAGCACAGTGTGATCACCTGAGGCGACGATACTGCAGCTGAGGTCCAATCACGTATCTCAACGTTTGCCCGAACTATAAGTAGGCAGCCATGCTCTTCACAGATTCCGAGGAAGCCCCGGCGGACAGCTAATACCAATGCTGGCTAGAAGCTCTAGTCAAATGTTGAAGAGAGTAAGAAGCGAGCGTACACCTCAAATGCGACCGTAGGTTCGGAAGTATGCGAGTCGCGCTTACGGAAAGTGTTGTTTGGGGGTACTGCTGTAGAGGTAACCGAAGACAACCCCATATTTCAATTGAATATTAACCGAAAGCCTGGAATGCATAACATTCTCGAGGAAAAGTGGACGCAATATCCAATCCGCTCCCGACCCTGTCAAGACCAGATATTCGGGAGAAACACCGCAGAAGCCGGACGTGGGGCATCATAGAATTCTGTCTAGAAACCAGATTGTGAAGAGCAGAGTATTAAACCTTAGACGTACACAACGAGAGCGGGTTAGACCATCATTCTTGTACTTCGTCCCCTTCCATTGCTCGTCGCGTCGCGTGTGGTCGATTACTTATCGTAGACAAGTAAATAATGATGTTTGTTCTCGGGGGAATTGCTTTCCGAACCGTTGATGAATTCTTCCAGAAGAAAATTTAACCCCAAGAGATATTCCGTGCGCTAGAACTTGTCATAATTGTATGGCGCAACATGGTCCTGCATGGTCCCTTAATGGACCTGAGAGCACTTGAGTATGGATCAGGTCCATATCCGAGATATGTTGCCGGATAGCGAGATGGAATTACAACATACGAGGCACAAAATTACTGGAAATTACTCCATTTCGAGTTTCCATATGTTTTTCAACCGCAATGAGATGATCGGGGGAGAAGAACTTGAACCCTATTGGAGAGATACTCAAGAGCTACAAGAAGTCCTGTGTCATCGATTAACAGTCATTAGTAAGTTGAGCAATGCCTTTACTCGCTCGGAAGCGTATAGAGATGACGAATAAACTCAGCTCAAATTGCATGCCGTCTCCAACGGGTTCGGGTTCAAAGACATCCCGAGAAGACTTGGGAGAAAGTTGTGGATGCGGCTGGTACACAGGAAAACTTTCTATGAGATTCATTTCCGAAAACAAGAGGTATAAAGAGAACCAAGCCATGGTCAGAGCAGTGACCAGGAATTCCGCTCCGAAACTACTCTCGACCTGTGTTTGTCTCGTGTGACAAGCCTCCACGGTGAGTCCTCGTTTCAGTCTGACGTAGACACTGCAACGAAGTCATTGTGTTGACTCGGCCGTCTTAGCACAGCCAATGAATCAACTTAGTCATCAATGGCATCGGTCCGACCCGTCGACCACCTTCCGAAGATATCTTGCGGCCGCCCGACCACAAGGGCAATTGCTGGCAGTACACCACGCTTCTCCTGAGCGTATGGTACAGCACGACGATTTTTACTCAATGACACACCAATCGAAGAAGAAACGCATCGATGATGATCCTCTCCCCACTGATGCTGGCGTAAAACCAATACAGCTTCAGCGGCGCAGAGTCTGGAGGGCATGTGAAAGTTGTAGGCAAGTCGATCGAGCTCTACGTTCTCATTTTGTTTCCCAACAAGAACTAATCGCGCCGATCGCAGACGTAAGAAAATCAAGTGCGATGGCTGCGAGCCCACTTGCTCTCAGTGTCAGTCGTCTGGATCGCAGTGCACTTGGCTTCAGACAAAGGACAGAGCGGCTTTAAGCAGACAGTAAATGTTCCTATACATTCAATCCCTCCCTTTAACTCATCGTCCCAATAGCTATGTCCAAGAACTCGAAGCGCGTCTCTTGCACATGGAGTCGCTGTTCTCTCAGATTACCCCTGTGCTCGAACAACTGGGGCCATCATTGAATTTACCTAGCGTTGCTGGAACCTCAACTGGAGGTGGTGAAGACTTTCCAGCTTCTACTGTGCTCCAAGCGTTGTCATCCAAAGCTGTTGCGGACACCCACAGCAACGTCTCTACCCCAGAATCTTCGTCAATCAAAGTGGAAGATGATGTCTCTGAATATCTCGGACAGCTCGCACTGGACGAGCACGGACACATGCGCTGGATAGGTGGCTCCTCCACAATGTCTCTCATACAATCCTTCCGTACTCTCACGACATCTCCGCTCCACCGAGTCTCCCCAATGGAAGAAGACCCACGCGCGCCTGGCCCCAGTGTCAATAAATTATATTTCCCAGCCTCTGTCTTCTTTGGGAAGGTTCATGCTCTCCCAGGCGCAGAGGAGGTCGAATACCCGGACGAGGACCTCTGCGATAAGCTGGTAAGTACATCTTCCTGAATTATCAGTTCTATCTAACCACATCGCGTCAAGGTGGAAACCTATTTCGAGCGTCTTCATTTTCTTATGCCTATCCTCGATAAACCCTCGTTCATGCCAAGATACAAGCAACTAATGGCTAAGCGTGATGACATTGATTTTATTCAAGCAGAAGCCTCCTTCATCTCCGTGGTCTTCGCAGTGTTCGCCTGCGCGGCACACCTAGTCAACGATCCCCGTCTGACTTGCGAAAATCCAGATGATGGAGGCACGGGGATGATTTACTATGAGAGGTACGCCTCTGGCCGTCATGGAAACTTGACGTCATCCCTAACGTCGATAAACCCCGCTAGAGCTCTTATATTGCACTATATCAGCCACGCCTCTATTCAGGTGTCTCACGTCCAATGCTTCATTCTCATGTCCTCGTTCCTGTGTTCTGTCAACTGTCTTCCGCAGGCCTGGCTACTCGTGGGACAAGCAGTGCGAACTGCTCAAGACTTGGGTTTACACGTAAGCACCGTTCATTTTGATGTCCGGGCCGATTGAATCATCCTTGTTGCAGCGATCCCCGCGCCGTCTCGCGATCTCTACCACTGACAAAGAGACTCGCCGAAAAATATGGTGGAGCGTGTACTGCTTGGATCGCATGCTCGCTCTTGCTCTCGGCCGTCCACTTGGTATTGAAGACTCTGACTGCGATGTTGAGATACCTGTTGCGGTCGACGATGAGAACTTAGCGGATTATTTCGCTGGAGTTAACTTCCCGCAAAAATATCCGTCGCTCATGACTGGGGCTATCGCTTTGACAACCCTGTACCAAATTGCGGGACGGGTTCTGCGGCAGGTTTATGCCATTGATAACTGCAAAGATGTGCTCGATCAAGAGAGACGCATAGAACTTCAGCGTGCCGTAGAGGAACTTGACGACGAGCTTAACAAGTGGTGCGACGATCTTCCTGCCACGTTCCGGAATGAGGCGGTCACAGACAAACACGTCTCTATGGGCGCGGTGCTTTGCAGTCATTATTATTCCGTACTGACCACACTACATCGCAATTTTTTGCCCATCAAGCGTGACCAGGCTGTACTACCCAAGTCCACTGCCAGGGCTGTTTCTTCTGCTCGCTCCTGCATACGACTAGCGCCATCTATCAACAATGTCGTTCCACCATCGCATCACCTTGCCTTCTTCATCCAGCATCTTTTTAGCTCCGCTGTCATCGTCCTTCTTTATGCCATGCACTGCTCTGATACTAGAGCTGCTGCTATCGCAATGGATGAGGCCAAGAGTTGTTTGACGGCACTCGAGTCTTGGGAAGGACATTGGCCCGGGGCTCGCAAGTGCAAGGAGCTGCTCGCGGAGTTGACAAACACCGCAGAGGAAGCAATCATGAATGGCAATGGCGGTACTAGGCAGTCTCAGATGATGCCCATGCCACCTCCTGTCGCACCTACTATGCCTGAACGAAGGCAATCGCTTGTGTCCTCACCTGGCCAGATTCCAACTGTCAATAGACCTATCAAGAGCAAGCCACGGAAGATCAGCCGATCCCGAGATCCCGTTTCTACTCGACGCCCGATGGTTTCATCCCCTTATCGTGTTGAATGTAAGCAGGCATGAGATCTTTGACGACCTTGACTGATGTATGTCGGACTACAGCGCAACGCAACAGGTCTACATCGCGCAAGCGGGGCCACGACGAGAGTGAGGGACTTGCAGGTTCAAGCTTGAGCTACCAAGGTGCCTTCTCCACCCCACAGCCTTCGAAGCCCAGCCCCCACAGCTCTCCAGCGTCTGTGAACCTCCCGTCGCCGGCCATGTCCACACTCGAGACGCCACAGCAACAAGAGGGGGGCCCAAATGTCATGGGGTCTCCGCCGTATGGTTATTCTGGGCCCCCCCTCTCTCCTCTGCATGTATCGTCACCGTATGATTATGGCATGCATCACAGTCCCCTCGTCTCTTCGAGCACGCACCAGTGGGACTCTAACACAGTCGAACCTCGTGGGACTGATCTGTACCCGTCTCCGACACAGAGCAGATCCCTTCCATTCAGCAATTTTGAGCCACAATCCAGTACTGATACTCCTTGGTACTCTTCAGATCAAGGATACTCGGGTCTTTCAACCACCCCACCCACCGCTTCGTTCGCTGCCCCTGGACTACCGTTCCTAGGGCTTGATTATATTCGCAACTACAATTCGCATGGTTACTCAGTAGTTGGTGAACCAGACTCTATCTGGCAAACTTTTGATGCTGGCGCATTTGGGTTGGACCCAGATTTGCCCTTCACCCTTGGTGATCTGCACGAAGGACAACACTCATCGCCCTAGTTCAGGACCCTTCTTGCTGTGGTGTTTTTTAGTCGACAATGTACTTTTACGGGTTTTTTCTTCTACTTTCTTCACTTCATCATCTGCTTGGGAATATCTGATTCCCTCACTGAATGATATCCATATGCACGTACGCTCTTCATGGTTTTGTTTGATTGACGACTCTGCTACTTAGTGTTACGCACTCAGAAATTACTTACTACTATAATGTTTGACTTCCGGGGCTTCTAAGACCTTATAAAGCAAGTGCATTAATAGTAAATCTAGGTTGACGTCGACGTCGATAAGGCCTCGAGGCTTGAGGCCGAGGGCTCCTACTTTGTGCCACTGTGCCACTTGCCGACTACAACGGCTCCGGCTCGGGTATCGGTATGAAGTTTCCCGTTAGTCCGAGACTCCGAGTATTAGCCGCCCGCTTAAACAGGCAGTGTGTTGCTCTGTCATGTTTCTCGCACACCCCCAACTTCATATCACGCAATGGCTCCTCACCCGGTTGTAGAATTGACCTCGGAAGCATCCTGGAATCTCGTACGATTCATGATGTCTGTCTCGTAGAGGAAGACTCATGTCATACAGATCGAGGACAAGTTCACACCCTATGGGAAAGAAACGCTCGCGAAACTCGTATATTTCCTTCAGGTATGTAGGACCCTTGCAGTACTACCAACTTTATGATAACGTGTTGCGCCAGGATGAAATCCTTCCATCCGTGAAACTCGCACACGCCCAGGTTCCCAAAGACCCTGTGCAGCGGTGGAAGACTGTGATTCCCGTAATTGAGGAGCTCAAAGTGAAAGCACGTAAGCTCGGGCTGTGGAACCTCTTCCTCAGCAAGACGCACTACCCCGAACACGGCGTTCCACTGACCAATGTCGAAGTGCGTTATTTTCGCTTCATATGCTGTGAATGCACTATTGACGATCGGGTTAGTATGCGGTTATGGCTGAGATTCTCGGACGCGGGGGGCACATAGCTTCCGAGGCGGTTAACTGCTCGGCCCCTGACACTGGGAACATGGGTATGTACAGGGTTTGCTGGTACTATCCCTGAATTCCCTGAATGTTGGTGTTGCACGTGAAGAGGTCATTGCGCGGTATGGTTCTCCGGAACAGCAGAAGAAGTGGCTTGTTCCTTTACTGAATGGCGAGATTCGGTCTGCTTTTGCGATGACGGAGCGGTTTGGTTCGTGTTTCTTTTTGTTTTTGGTGCGGGTTGAGGGTAACTGACTATGTATGATGCAGTGTCTTCTTCGGACGCTCGCAATATCAAGACCTCTATCAAAAGGGAAGGAAATGATATTGTCATAAATGGCCACAAATGGTGCGTGTCCAGGTCTTTTGGAGACTGACATCATTCAGATCGTCATTGGGGCAGGTGGATATCGGGAGCGGGCGACCCGCGTACTAAGCTTCACCTCGTCATGGGAAAGAGCGACCCTGAGAATGCGAACGTGTACCAGCAACAAAGTGTGGTCATAGTACCAACAGATGCGCCTGGAGTGAAGATCATCCGGCCTATGGAAATATTTGGGTATGATGATGCGCCTGAGGGGCACTGTGAGGTCATATACGAAAATGTGAGGGTGCCTGTGAGCAACTTGGTGCTAGGCTGGGGACGAGGATTTGAGGTAAATGACGTTTTCGGCCTATCGTTCTCGGATTTTGGCTTACGGTCTATCGGAGATAATTCAAGGCCGCTTAGGGTACGCAGAGTCGAGCTTTGTTGCCAAACTCTACTCGAGTCTGACCTGCTGACAGTCCAGGACGTATTCACCATTGTATGCGCTCGATAGGTGCAGCATCGCGGGCTCTGGATCTTATGATCCAGCGCGTCACAGACCCTACCCGAAAGACTTTTGACAAATTTCTTTACCAACATGGCGAGTGATTGATTATTCATCGTCATGTATTCTAGAAGCTCACACGACTCAGGTACGGTGGTAGCTGAAATCGCGCGGTCGCGGGCTGAGATCGAGTCTGCACGTCTTCTTGTCCTAAGCGCGGCGCTTCAAGTGAGTGCCTGTGTTCCTTGTGTCGGTGCTAAGAATGAATAATGTGTCTTGAAGATTGACAAGCAACGGGCCAAGGGTGCCTTGAAGGAAATCGGGATTGCCAAGGCACGGCTCCTCGATTCGCTCTTTCAATCTATGATGCAATTTATTTTGTAGTTTGTCGTGCCTGCGATGGCCTGCAGAGTGGTCGATCGCGCCATGCAAGCATATGGTGCCGAGGGATTGAGTCAGGACCAAGAACTCGCGAGCACGTTTGCTCAACTGCGGACGCTGCGGTTGGCAGATGTGCGTCTTCTGTTCCTGCATCGTCCTGTAGTTGTGATTGACGTGTTTTTTTACAGGGACCCGATGAAGTATGTTTGCATGGTTGAAAATAGCAAATGTCTTACCCCGCGTTTTAGGTTCACATCCAACAGGTGGGGCAGCGTGAATTGAAGCGTGCACCGGGACTGCATAAGCGTGCTGCGGAACTGAAGCAAAAGGAGTTTGCTGTACTGTCTAAGGCGGGTATCAAGGCTCATCTCTGACGGGTGGCATGCTTTTTGGATATTGTGTACATTATTTAGGATTTTTGTATACGGACCGGGATACTGCGGCCGGTGCGCTTCGAAATGTGTTAAGAGTGACAACGAGGTAAACGTCATTGAGACTTCATTTAGGAACCGGCAATCAGCGTGGTGACTGCGGTATGCCGCGGCGATCAAGTTCATCTCTTACACTAGTACTCCACTTTCATGCTTTTGAGGTGTCTCGGTCATATTCATGTCTGACTACGATGATGGGGTCGAGCGATACGACGTGACACCGATTTTGGAGTCGCGGTACTTTATTCTCCCCGCTTCCGCAGCACTCGTTGGGTTATTCATCGGGGCGGTGCGTGGATCTCGTCTTGCGTCACTCCGTTTTCTCGCGGAGAACGCACACCGGCCACCCAAGACAATTCGGGGATGGTATCTCTACAATAAAACGAAAAATTACAAAAGAATGGCTGCCGGACTTTTATCTGGTGGTAAAGATGGGGTTAAACTTGGACTGACAGCACTGGTTTGGGTTGGGATCGAAGATGGGTTAGGGCAGTGTGGGAAGCCTTTTGATGATTTGAAAGAGGTTGGAGCTGGTGTGGGGACTGCGGGGGCGTTCTCGGTTGTTTGTAAGTTTAACCTTTTGTTGGTGAGTTGATGACTGATTTGACTGGTCAGACCGACTACCGTGGCGTACTGGAAGCCGTGCATTATTGCTTGGATCGATGATGGGTGGGGGAATGGGATTTCTACGGTGGGCTAGAGAATACTTGAGTAGAGCCCGGGGAGACTTTGATACATAGATGCCTAGACCTTCCGTATCCTGAAACAAGCATTTTTTTTGAAAATTTTAAAGTGGTCGAATGGAAATATTATGTTTTGTCTTTCATGCACTCCGGTTAAAATTTATGCAGAAGTTCTAGACATGGATTCGACCCATCTTCTTAAAACAGTAGACAGCTCCACATAACCTATATCAGAAAATGAGGTCCGCTCCACCACTATCATCCGATAACTCATCATCCTCCTCCTCCTCATCGTCCATAACCTCTTCACTGTCTTTTTTGCCGATTCAAAAAATGATTAAACTCTGGCCATCTATTCTAACTGACCAGATAACACCCAAGGCTACTGCTGACGGTCATGAACGTCTTAATCCTTTCGAGATACAAACTCATTCGCCCTCGTCATCCTCCCTAACCTCCAGCAATGGTCTCGCAACCCCAACTCTATTATCACCCGGTGTTTCAATTCACCACCATTTACTTGGCACTGGCTCTCCAGCTACCGCGGCGAACGCCGATCTCACGCCGCCAGGTCCTATAACACCTTCATCCGGTGCCTTTGCCGCTCGTATTCCTACAACCCAAATTTCCCTTCATGCACCAGATTTTTCAATGCGTAACACCAAAAATTCAACTAACCTCTCAGATTCAATGGAGAGTAAACCCAATACGCCATCGTCATCGTCCCCCTCGACTAGAACTTCTTCAATCGCATCTACCTCAACCGCTACCCCGCACTCAACGGGAACGTCCAAGGGTCAGATCCACGTCAAGCTCATATCTGCCCGTGGTCTTAATGTCACATGCGTACGCTCACGGCCTTATGTCGTCGTCCAATTCGAGCAGAACGAGTTCGTAAGCCGCGATCCCACAGACGAAATGGACAAGGAGGTCAAGGGAACTGCGACCGCTTTCTCTCGGGCATCGTCTTCTATCGCTCTCTCAGCTCTCTCATCCATCGGCGTTCCTCGTCCACCGGGAAAGGCTAGTGCCGGAAATTCCCCCTCGTCATCTCTTTCATGTAATCAACCTTCTCCCATCAACCTTCCTTCCACCACTCAGGGCCTTTTTGGTCGCTTATCTGCACACAATCCTGTCTGGAAACACGAGGTGTCATTGTGAGTATCCATAATCAACTTATCAAATTTCGCTTTCCAATTCTTTATAGTGATGTTACGTCCGAAGAATCCCTCGTCTCATTTAACCTCTATGACCGCGTAACGGACCATCTCTTTCTCGGCACTGTACAAATAAAGCCAGTCCTCATCCATGATCATACTGTTGATCAATGGTACAAGTACGTACAACTTTCCGCTTACCCTGTCAACTGTCATCCCGTCCTTCCGTTACTAATGATGACATAGGCTTCGGCCGTTCGAGAACGAAGTAGTAAGCGGGGAAATGCGGGTACAAATCACTTTCGAGCAATACAAGGTACGTTATACCAGTCTAACCTATTTCATTCTCACCGACCCCACGATCTCGGCCTCCCTTTCGCATCACTTAATCATCCCTCCTGACAACGCTTCTCACTCATTCACGTGACAGACCAAACGCGCGCTTACACCACGCGACTTTGAGTTCCTCAAGTTGATCGGACGCGGCACCTTTGGGAAGGTCTTCCAAGTTCGGAAAAGGGATACAAAGCGAATATATGCTATGAAGGTTCTCTCAAAGAAAGAAATCGTTGCGAAGAAGGAGGTCGCTCACACGATCGGAGAGCGAAAAATCCTACAACGTTCTCTAGAATCTCCATTCCTCGTTGGCCTCAAATTCAGTTTCCAGACGGATACAGATTTGTACCTGATAACAGACTTCAAGAGCGGTGGCGAGCTGTTTTGGCATCTCCAGAAAGAGACACGTTTCTCCGAAGAACGGGCCCGATTTTATATTGCAGAACTAGTTCTAGCCCTGGAGCATCTGCATAGATACAACATTGTTTATCGGGATCTTAAACCCGAAAATATCCTTCTTGACGCCACTGGCCATGTCGCGCTCTGCGATTTTGGGTTATCAAAGGCGGATCTACGGTCCGACGAACTCACCACAACGTTCTGTGGCACGACAGAATACCTCGCCCCCGAAGTGCTTTTGGACGAGCATGGATATAGCAAACTCGTCGACTTTTGGTCGCTAGGCGTACTCCTCTTCGAGATGTGTTGCGGCTGGAGTCCATTCTATGCCGAAGACACACAGCAAATGTACAAGAACATCTGTTTTGGGAAGATTCGATTCCCGAGAAATGTTATCAGTGAAGACGGAAAAATGTTTGTCAAGGGGGTGAGTGCCGGCATTCAATTTGTTTCAACACTTCTGATAGCCACTTATCAAGCTTTTAAACCGAAATCCCAAACATCGCTTAGGGGCGCAGCGCGATGCCGCAGAACTGAAAGAACATCTGTTCTTCTCGTGTATAGATTGGAAAGCTCTTCTCCTGAAGCAGGTGACACCGCCGTTCAAACCTGTCGTAGAGTCGGATGAGTCGACTGCGAACTTCGATCCAGAGTTTACTACTGCTGATATCAAAGAGGTCGGCGGTGGTCTCGACGGGCATGGGAGTCCGGACGAAGAAGATCCTAGTGAAGACTGGACCCAAACACAGGGCGGCTTGCCAGGGTCGCACATGCCGAACGGACCACTGGGTAGTGACCGTATAAACCAGAACGGTCTGGCAGGTCCTCCCTCCCCCTTGCCTAATGTCAATAGCGCGGGACGTGCCATCCAGATCGGATCGCGGAAGAAGCAAGATATTGCAGGGTCGCCGCTGACGAACAGCGTACAAGAGAATTTCCGCGGGTTCACGTACTCGGGAGGCGAAAGTGTGGTGTTACAGGGCATAATGGGTAGAGAATCAGCTGACGACGACGATGAGGCAGTGGCCGATGAAGAAATCACAGAGGTGACCACCGAAGATGAGTTCGAAGACAGGGAGAGTTTCGCGGGACGGTACTCGAACCGAAGAAGAGGAATTGATGAGGACGTAGCCGTATGATGTGTTGGCTGCGCAGGCCGTCCAAGGCGGTCGGCGCTTCGCGCATGTACGGAATTTCTATTCCACCGACTCGTCAAAGACGGAAATGGACTAATTTGGACCTTTGCATGCGCTGACCCACCACCTGCTTGAGGTATTGTGCCTCCCATTACTACTTATCTGATTTAATCGCATATTTGTTCTCGCCACCCTTCCCATGCAATTCCCCCCCTTGTTCATATCCTCTTTATGGAGCATGTTATATATCTCGAGTCGAACACATGATTGTCCGTCGTGGATTGTTTGTACCTGCTTCTGTTATCGCTGTTGTTCTATAGTATAACGTACCACATTTTACAGGAGTTGTAATAATTCATTTGATCTGTATCCCTTTCGTCGTTTGGGTGGGACATGTGTAAATTCCGCCAGCAGGTTTACAGCATTTATCATTGATATCTAAGTAGGGATAGATTCGTCACCAATCATACAGGGTCTTTTTTCCGCGGCAGGGGAGGTCAACCCCACCACGCAAGATAGTTGGAAGGACTTGACCATCAATAATCGTGTGCTTGACGATCGATTCTACTTCATGGGGCGTGACACGCCCATACCATACACCAGCTCCTCGAGGAGTGTAGATCTGCAAGACGGACGTCAACGTAGCGCTCAGACAACAAAAAAGATCACACACGATACAGTTGCCTGCGAATTTATGTCCGCCTACATGCGAGTTCATTAATATCAGCGCCCTGTGCTCGGCGTGGAGAGATCTGAGTTGAGTCTCGATTAATTGTTCTTTCTCGGTGGTTGAGCTAGCTTGTGACTCAAGGGAAGGTTCGGAAGTGAGATCGTACAGGTCGGTGTGGACTTCCCAGCCTTCTCGCTCAAGGTATTGATGGAAGGCTTCCGGAGGCATTAATTTAAGGTCAGGAAGGAGTCCACGGACTCACTCTTCTCTAATATTGGTGCTGCAATGGCACATCGTTTGTCTCGTCTCTTGTGCGAGCCTGGTGGAACCTGTGAGATATAATTCAACACGTGACTAACAGTGTGTGAAACTCACACAGTAATATCAGACACGAGTAAGGCAAAACCCAAGTATTCAGACTGTCCGTCCGGGTGGTTACCCCTACCCGATCGAGAGCTGGATCAAGAGCAGCCTTCCACAACGCCTCAGCGCCCGCCAAAGTGCGTGGGACTCCAGATACGACCATAAAGTCTGGAAGCACGATCACAGTATCTTCCGACTCGTCATGAGAGAAAGGCCTATGACTTCCGTTGAGAATGGCGAGCTTTTTTGCTTCGGCATGGGAGAATAGACCAGATGGTAAGGGATCGTTGGTGGATTTTGGTTTCTTTGGAGTGCTTGATGAAGAATCGGCAGTTTTCAACAAGGCAGCGAGCGTGCCTTCAGCTTTGGTCACTTCGCTCTCCCAGTCTGTCTTGCCGGTTGATATGACCACCTGTGACACCATCATCAGCAAAACATCACTACTCGGAAAAGCCGCAGTCAGTGCGTAAGTATCAGGAACGCACCTGTCGACGGTAGGGCTTCACCGATCCTAACATGTCCGAGTCCATGTCGATATCCATTCTGCTGGGAAAGTCATCGTGATCTAAAGATCATTATTGGTGCGTGTGACAGGTAAGGGTTTTGATGATGCTCACCCTGATCGCAAGGGTCGGCGCAAGACCTGCATTCGGCGGTCGTTACTGGGACGTTAGCAGTTTCGAGGTTCTGGTATACATTTGTGCCATTAGGCGAACCAAACATAAAGGCTTTGAGTTTACCGGTCAGCGAGGAGCTCATGGTGGATCGAGTGCTGGAACGTTAAGGGCTAAGCGAGCAACTTGCTGGTAGTTGCACAGTACGTATACAGGACTGTTACTTATGTCGACAGTTAGGTTTGGTTTATCAGATAACACGGCATGTACATAATAGGTCAATCACCATTCATATGGAAGCCACTTACTGTGCAATCTGTAAGCAAGTTTTATAATTAGCAGCCCCAATTGCAGTTGTCTCAGATAAATAAAATTGGACTCAGTCTACTGCCCGGACATGGCGTTCACGCAATATTGCTCACTGCGCCTCACTACCCGGTCTTCGGTAACAATTACAGGTCCACGATGATGCCAAAAGCACATCCAGAAGTTCGCCGTCAATATATCGAGCTAACTGTACGAGACAGCGCAGTAAGGAGATAAAAATAATGCTGAGTCACTATAATGAAGTCTGCTTAACCATCCGCAGGCCAACAATTCTGGGCAGGCCGTCATAATCGGACCAGGCAGATATGAATCAATATATTCGCTTACCTCGCTAAACGTCCTGCCGTTGGTCTTCCTGTAGTTGTTTTTCTATTTTCGAAGCATTCTCCTGCACCGCAGTCCATAATGGCTTTCCATCCCGGCTCACCCCTACGAGCGCCTCCATCGCCCTCGCCGTTCTCCGTTGGTCACTGTTGGGGCTTGAAGACGCTAGCGCTGCCCTTAGGCCAGTGGGAGACGGCTTGATGCCCTTTCCGAAGAAATGGCGCGGCTCCTCCTCTCTTTCGGCGACTAACCTCTTCAGCTCTGCGAAACTGCGTTTTTCCATGTTGGAATTGAAGTTGACGTTGTTTCTCTGAGGAACAAAGGCTTCGTCTATTTTCTGGGAAAGGTTTTCGGGAGTTACAAAGGTGTCGCACTGGTGGTATAGAGAGACGAGGGCGCGCATGCGGACGTGATGTTTGGAGGCAGCCCGCGATATATGGCGTTTAATCACGAACATACATTTCGACGGAGGCGGTCGGCAGGGCAGCATGGCTCCACGCTGAAAGGTTGCAGATTACAGCAATGAAAAGCGTTTCGAACGATGGTCACAGCACAGGCTTACATCAGCCTCCCCGAAACGGAATAGGCAATCAGGAAGCTTCCATTCCTAACAAAGCCAAACATTTTTTCCCAAGTTGTAAGTCGAGCGTGTGTTGACGCTGTCTTTGCAGAACGTTGAACTTGCTTGGAGAGCATTTACTTCTCACACGAGGGTGTATGTGACCCATCCTTCGAACGTGCGTGCGCAGGGCCGGCTGTCGAAGAAGGGCAGCAAGATAATTAGCAATGGGACCAGATTGCATCAAGCGCTGCCTTGGATTCACTCGTCCATGGCTATCGATGGTATCAACAATAGATCTGACGTTCGTGGATACTTGAGACAACATTTTTCATAACAAGGAGTGAAGTACATCACGCTGTCTGTCCTTCCACAGGATACTACGTTACTCGCTGGCGCTGATGCTAGTAATCTCGCCTGCCTGTGGTTTGTAAGCATTGTCAATGGGGTAGGATTCAAGTGCTAGCGCCGGGCTACGTGTCAACGGCTCAAGAGTCTGGACTGAAGATAAGAGAGGATTCCAAGGCGTCACGTCATGGACTAAATATCATGGAACATACGGCGACATCAGTTGTGGCTACCTTGAACGTTGAAACACACACCTTCATAAATTTCTGTCCTTCAGATAAGACGACAAGGCAAGACCGCAGACCCTTCAAACACCACTCAATTTCCAGCCAGGAGATAATATGATTATTTCAAAAAGCCCGGAATATATAATCGAGCTTGTCGTCCCATGGATTGGGGACACGCGAGAGATGTACGGCCCAGTTGTGACAGGCGTACTTGAGAGCGTCGGAAGCTGACTGACTTCGTTCGTGTGCCTCGCTTGCGAACCTCTGAAAGGCATTCATGGCATGAATTATCTCCCTGTCTGGTAGAAGAAGACTTTCTGGTAATGTAGAGGTGGGATGATGCCGGTGCCTTAATGCCAGGAAGACAGGAAACATCAAGAAATCTGGCAGGGTCTTGAACTGCTGGATTACTTGAAGAGCTGGCAGTGAAGGTACATCGCTGGTAACGATATGTTGGTTGATTGCTTCCGATGTCCTGGTGAATTCTTCCATTGTCACCCAGACGGAGGCCGCAGGAGTGGACTGCCACACTTGACCATGGGGAGTCTCCAGCCAGTCTTCCCTTATCTGCATCTGCAGCCAGTCTTGTCCTCCGCAAGTCTGCAGCCAGTTTTTCCCCTCTCTGCAACCAGTCTCGTCCTTCCTGGGTCTGCAGCCAATCTCGTCCTACTGGGTCTGCACCCAGTCTAGTGCTGCCCAGGTCTGCAGCCAGTTCAGTGCCGCCCAGATTTACAGCCAGTCTGGTCCTGCCTGGGTTTGCAGCCGGTCCGGTCCTGCCTGGGTCTGCAACCAGTCTTCCCCTCTCTGTGTCCGCAGCCAGTCTCGTCCTGCCTCGGTCCGCAGCCAGTTTCGTCATCCAAGCGTCTGCAGCCAGTCTCGTCCTCCTTCAGTCTGCAGCCAATCTTGTCCTCCTTCGGTCTGCAGCCAGTCTCGTCCTGTCTGGGTCCACATCCAGTTTCGTCCTCCGTGTGTCTGCAGCCAGTCTCGTCCTGCCTGGGTCTGCAGCAAACCTCGTCCTCCATGTGTCTGCAGCCAGTCTCGTCTTACCTGGGTCCGGTTTAGTCCTGCCCAGGTCCACAGCCGCATACGTCTTCCCTCAGTTCGCAGCCATTCTTGTCCCCACTGAGTCTGCAGCCAGTCTTGTCCTCCCTGGGCCTGCAGCTATTCTCGTCCTCCTTGGTGCTGCAGCCATTCTTGTCTTCTTTGGGTCTGCAGCCGGGCATGCCCGTCCACAGCCCCCAGCCAAGATTCTAAATTTGAAGTTCGATCTCCTCGAAGCCATAGCATACAGATGACAGCTGACAGCGGCTCTGGCGGCCGAACAAGGAACGCTAATGAGTCTTTCAACCTATGGAGGTCCTCGGGTCGCATAGCTTTGCTTTGCCTCTTCAGTTCTGAGAGTGCATTCAAGAGAGCCGTGCTTTCTGAAATAGCCTTCATCAAGCGGAGAGAGGAACGTGCGAGTAGGGAGTGAGGTGATGCGATATTGCGCATTTGAGGGATGCCGCAGTTGGAGGGGTCGGAAACATAGTCGCGAATGGACGAGTGATAGATATTCACGGGGAGAGTGCTGTCTGTAGGGATATTCATGACAGACCGTAGCTGTATCAATGTTGTCTGCACATCCCTGCCCAAACCAGGGCCAAGAAGTGACGGGATTTGCGAGATAGGCAGAGGGTCTGTGAGGGTAGCAACGACGGACAAGTGTAGGTACGCCCGCTTGGAATCAGCACACGTGGAGAGGATACGGTCGTATAACTAGTACACGTCCGTTCCTGGTAGTAGCTCGCTCGTCAGCTCGAGCATCAGCTGCAACCGATCGCGGGGATCATTGTCATCATTGTATTCATCGTCGATAATAAACTTCATCATTGTAGACGCCACGATGAAACGTCTGCCCGCTCGGCTCGCTAGCTTCGCGAGGTCATCCTCGGATGGCTGAGCGAAATCGGGATGGCGACTTTCCAGCTCTCCGAAGGAATGCCGCAAGAAAGTACAGATGTCGTTGTCAACGTCTGCGCCGTAGGCTAACGAGATGATGCTACCCTCCCCTGAAGTTCTCACAGGTATCTCGCGCACCAGCGGGCGCACCTCTTCATTTTGCATGACTTTGCCAATATGGGATTCCGAGCGACTCGTGAGCAGAATGTGGGTCACAGGCAGATCAGGATCATGGAGAGCCCGCGCAAGGGCAAGGATTAGATCGGCAAGCTCGGGTTCAGATGTGCATTCATCAAGCGCGTCGACGACAAACGACAAAGGGGGACACCCGCGCAATCTAAGTCGAAGCCACCGGAGAATGTCCTACGTAGGGTACTGTACCCCACAAGGACATAAATTGGATTTTTTTTATATAAAAAAAAAGCCACCGGAGAGGGTTAAGAAAGAGAGACAGACGGTCCAGAGAAGGCTTTCTGCGGCAGTGAGCGCAATGTTCGTATCAGCTTGTCGACCGAATTGTCCTGCAGGCTTTGAAAATACCGGGGAAACGCGAGAAATTGAACTGTCACCAATCATCCACCATATACATGTCACTATGGCTGCCTCGGCTCACAAAAAACGAAAGAATCATGCATCCGACGCAGATCCCGACGCACCCAGGAAGAAGAAAGAGAAATTGAAACAGCACACGGGAAAGCCCTGTACCGAACTTTCGACAAGTGAATTCCGGGTGACGAAAGCAACTATAACACTCTCTGTACCTCCCATATTCGCCTGTAACCTACGTGCGGGCGCGGAGGAAATGTTAGATAGCATGATCATGCGGTGCGATGGTACATCTCTTAGACAATTTTGTGATACTGAACTGAATACGGAGATATAGATATATCCCGTCCTTGTGCGGTGTTCTCTTAGCTCATTCAAATTTACATTTCCTGAGTCCAACAGCGAGCATAAATGCCGACTGTCCTTTCGCGATCTGTAATGTTACTTTCGATGCTACGGTCTGGAGTCCAAGTATAGCCATGAAACTTGGTACGTGATTCGTTTGCCTTGTATCATTTAAATTGAATAACACCCTCTTCAATAGTTGGCAAAATTATTCTGTATTCTCCCGATCATGTTTCGCTACTCCTACATCGTACATTTAATGTTTCTATACCACGACACCACATTCCACAAGATGTTTGGGAGTTCGAATATGGTCCTGCGGAAAACGATCCTGAGTATGGAGAAGGTGCTGTAGAGAAGGTGGAAGGCGAAGCGGTACCGGAGGCGAGCGGACAGTGGGTACACCGTGTAACGGGGACGAAGCTTGGCGGAGCAGATGGGCATCTCGAGTTTACAGTTATCGGGTGAGTGGACAGTCATTTTCAATAAAAGGGAGGTTGATCGACTTTTACGACAGAAAAACTGTGGCGAATGAAATGCTCTCCCTTCAAGGATCGATACAGCCTGATCCCTTTTCTGAAGAACACTCACAATCAGCCAAGAGCTCCCACAAAAAAAGTGCCAAATAGGTTCGGATTACCGCTCTGGCGTCTCAGATCTGGCTTCGTACAGAAATCGTCGAGGGCCCGACACCAATATTCAGGGCCTTCATCTAGTCGCAGAGAGGCGTGTTTGGGCCTAGTAGAGCGGGATTGTTGCGAATGGCTCTGTTCACATCCTGCCGGATACTTGGAAAATTGGTGGCAAGCTGGTAGATAAGCGTCGCAAAGAAATATCCAGCCGTGCAACGTTTGGTGTATTTGCGCGAGAAAAAGAACGTTCCCGCTGGCAGCTTTTCAACATTCGTCTCTTTGGTCACTTTTAGACCTCTCATCTTGTCAGCTACGGTGAACGCAACGGCAGACTTTCCGACACCAGTCATGCATGCAGCCAAATTAGATGATTTTTCTCTGGGTCGTCCAGGAATTCCTGGATGTATTTGAGGAGGTCTACCCGGGTCCCTTCCAAACATTTCGGGTGGGGATGACGTTCAGGGGAGTTATATTGAGCACCCTTGACAGCGACCTGGGATAGTCTCGGCCAAGTTCCTTCGAGGGCTGTCAAAGAGGTCAGAGGGCTTGCGAGAGATAAGAGATGGAAGTACTGACGTTGATCGTCACTCATTGACGAAGGTTTGTGATATGCGAAAATGCACCAACTGAGATGAGGAGTCCGGAGCGTGATGAAGATGGGATGGATGGATGAATGTTTACATCTATTTTGTTATAGCAAGCTCGCGCGATGCCATGGTTGTGGCATGCAGTTGAAGGACGAGTACTGAGTGAGTAGGCGCTCGTCCGGTTGCACAAGTATGACTCGGAGGACACGTGAGAGTCAGGCCTACTAGCCAGTTAGCATCTGCTACTGCACAGCCAGCCAGAACGAGAGAGATATCGGGCCTCAGGAGTTGTGTGGACAAGGTTTGACTCGACTAATAATATGTAACAATTAGTATTGCTTATATGTAGTGGGATGTCCACTCATGACCTATACACACTATGAGGAGTCCATCCGATTTGACTTCACACGTAGCATGACCAACATGACCACGCCTCCGATCGATTTCCGTGACACGGAATACAATGCAAGGCAGTTGGAGTTTGCAGTTTGTAAAGAGAGGAGCATTCATCTTCTCGAGCAGGTTATACAGTTTCGAAGCCAAATCCACACCCACAATGTTTCGCAACGAGGAGGCCGCTGTCTGAATCGCGTCTTCAGATAAAGATGGTAGGACATATGGCAGGGCTGCATATGAGATAATTTCGGCTGGAAGGTAACTATTGAACTCGGATGATTGTCTGACCTAGTCTAGGGAAGTAATGTTGCTTGGGCGAATTTTGCTTCTTCTTCCCATAGATAGGTAGGTGGACACCAAAGATACCAAACGAGTACGTCATGTCTTGTTCCATGGTAGTGACGCTTGGATGCCCATTGCATCCTCCGACTGCTTCATGATCGCAGGGGACTTTTTGTGGTTAGGACAGTGATCGTCGAGGTATAATGATCAATCTTTCTGATAAAAGATGTCAACTTTCAGAGCGACAAACTCTTGAAAGGTCCACCCTCGTTCGTTCCAAGCAGTTCTCGCCAGTGTGCCAGGCTGGGAAGGGGGTCGCATAGGTAGACGACGGCAAACGTTGAGTAGCGGTACCAGATGACTATGAAGTTGTTCGATTCTTGAAGCTTGGTCACAATTTAGTCGAGTACGTTGCATAACGAGGCGGCTTCAAGTTCATATTGCTTCTCTTGTCGAAGCAGCATTCATGCGTCCATGCCCAGCCATAGCCAGCACCACGAGCGAGTTGCAGAATGACTGCAACTTCACGATGCTGCCAAGTTCATTTAATTCGTACACGACTAGGTCCTGAACGTCATGCAGCAGTGTCTCCGTCTCTTCCCACCTGTGTGATAGCGCGACACAGCGGAAGTACGTCGCCACAACGTCTTTGATGCGCTCCGTTCCGAGCTCTAAATGCTTCGTTGTGAATGAAAGAAAGGAGTCCTGGTACTCTTAGCTCATTTTGAAGGAGTTATCTGTGCTCGGTTGCACAAGAGACCCGTAGAGGTATGAAGTAGAAGCGGGGCGTTTTCGAGTTCAATACGAACGGATTTTCGAATAGTATCTTCTGTTTCGGATGGAGAGAGATACTGCTGACACATACGCTGCGTTAATCTGCCTCGTGTTTCCATAGACGCCCAGGACACGAGGCTGCCTATCTCCTCCACACCTCCATCACCGTCAAGGCAAGAATGCTCCCTATTGTCATACCCGCCTTCCTCGACGATATATCCTCCCGGCGCCTGTGCACTGTGGACATGGGCTCGAATCTTGTAGCCACAGCTTCCGATGTGTATCCCCTCGTATCCATTTGTAGTAGGTGGACAACTGCATGCATATTGGTGTTTCTCGTGTCGAGCAGCTACTCCAGCACATCAACATATAACTTGTCCAAAAGCATGCATACAGCTTACTGTAATATCACTTCTTCATCCCATAAACTCTCAAGATCTGGGTGTGCACCAGATGCGACCGAGTCGTTGTACAAGCTCGGATTCTCCTCACCCGAATCCAAAACTACCAATAACAGCAGCATCACCCCAATCCCACAAGCAACGCAAGGCTCATCTGAGCATCTTCCACGCCAACACAACCTCCTAGTCACGGAGACCCTGATAGGGCAGACGACCCGTGCGTTAAACAACACTTTCAGTTATCCATGTTCTACTCCCCTGCTAAAGCTCATCGCAGAATTAGCAACATAAGAGACACGGGACAAAGTATCGCACTTGAACACACGCCAGGGGTAAGACCGCAATAAAGACTCCGTCCTTCTTTTGCATCAACGCCACACATACAGAAGCTCAACCAAATATCTTCCACAGATGAGTCTGCACGGCTGCGAAGGCACTTATATGTGCCACGACAAGTCTGGGTCCCCGGGGATAACGAGAGGTGGTGATGGCGGAACAGGTGGAGGAGGCGAGGGTGGTAATCGATCTTGCGATTGTACAGCTAGGGGTGAGGGATCTTTAGTCATTGGGTTGATTGGGGTCAATGGACGTCTTGAGTGGGATTCAGGAAATATAAGATGCAGCTCATCAAGGGAAGGAGATCGACGACCTGCACAGGGATGTGGAGTGCGCGGCGGCGTCTCGGGGAATATAAATAGACTTTGGGGAACCGTGACGGCTGTGTGGAGGGCCTCGGTGAGAAGAAAATAACGACCACGAGTCCGCTGGGCGTGACATGGAAAGGGATGGACTCGAAGCTAGTCCATTATGTTCAGATAGAGCAAGGCTACACGTCGATCTGGAAACCTGATTCAGCTGGAAACATATGATATTTAAACTCGCGGCTCCTGAGCAAGTGTGGATCGGGTCTCGTTGTGCAATGACGCGGACCTTACAGCGTCCCGAACAAGGCTTGAGTTGAAACTCACTGTCTGAGCACAAGCTTACATCAGCCCCCACTGAGACTTGGTGAGCGCGTCCAGGACGAACGAGTGGTCGGAAACGTTCGAAACAGGCGAAGGTCGATGGGTGATGGCGATGGGCGCCCACAAACGCGCTCTGTTGAGCACAGGATGGGCTGGAGGAAAGGAGGAAGGGGAGGAAGAGCAGTTGAGATGGCATTATAAGGTGAGATCTAGTGCTAACCGAGCTGCTGCTGACGCAGACTATAAAGCTCTCACAAATTTCCCGATGCGAAGCCATCTCCATCGCCGTTCTTTTCTCGCAGGTGCACCAGTCTCAAGGTACGAAGCTCTTGCGTTATGAAAAATTCACGATCTCAAAATTTATGGTCGTAGGGTGACGTACCACTCTCTTCAGCCGTCAAAGACTTTTTTCCTGTGCCTGCAAATAGTGTAAATAGGTGGGGCTCGCACTAAATCAGGCTGTTTGTGCAGCGATCTGGGTTGGCAGCAGTATCTCATCACTGGCATCTTTACTAAGTGCCTCGAACGTCCCCAAAATCACAACGGATATGAAGAGCACCTACCCCATCATGGACAACATCATTTTACGATACCGTCCTTACACTGATCAGGACGTTAAGTTACCATGCACAGGACTATCGCAGTGCGTATGAGATATCGCAGGGCCAGACCGAGGAGATCCGTGGATTGAATGGTGTGCGCTAAAATGTATCCTCAATGGACCTAACTGAACATGACGTGCCTAGATTTTCCCTCGACTCATCTGATCAGATGGGAGTCTCGTGTTGTCGCTGTGCCCATTTCAATTGAGAATAGTGATGTGGAACATTTATGCTAGCGTGAGGGTATGAGGAGCGGTGCACCCATCTTACGTTGAGCTCACCGGCGCATCATCCTTCTAACAGATGATTGCGCAACCCCATAATCGATCTAAGCCCCAAATAACTCAAACTCCCATGTCACTTGCAAGTGGGTCTGGGAGGAGATCGCTTGACTATATTCTTCGTAAACGTCATGTCGCATGAATCTTGATGTGCACCAAGTACGAATATATCCACTAGGGACGGGGATGTTCGTCGCCGAAAATGTTACTGGACGATTGATGTCATGACGACTACCTTGGCCGTTATCGAGCTGATTCATGTTAGCAAGTGTGCTAAAGTTTAGTATCGAGGACGGAAGGTTAAGCGTAATTGCCAGTATGGACCATGCTGTCATGAAAGAGGACTGGTTACGCATTTCAAACACGATTCAGAGATATTGCGAGTTTGGGTTCCTTCTGATAAGAAAACGCGTTCCATCACCAACCGCAGAACTAGAATCACCTCATCCTCAGTGAATCCACGAGTCCGTGATAATGTAGCCGTGAGAACTATAGAATAACATAACTCTTCGGAGAAATTCGGGTTGCTGATACATAGGTTGGGATGTCCGCAAATGTAGACTACAATGAGGAATTCATGACATTGCTGCATAACTCCGTACATAACTTTCTCATCTGTTCACCGGTTTACTGATGGAAGGACGCGTCTGAAATGGCCGGCGGGAACGGCGGACTGATGGGGGTACGCCTCACATTAGGGCATTCGCGACTTCAGAGATCAGAAGGGGTCCCATATAGATTAGAAAGTACTGTCCTACATAGGATACTATCCTCAATGGACACAAATAGTATTTTTTTTAAAAATAAACAAAAAGAAGTTAGTGGATGGGTAATAGAGTATACCATGATGATCTGCATCGAAGGTTGATACTGAAGAACGATGAAGAGATCACAGAAGTGACCACAAAAAGATGAATTCGAAGACAGGGAGAGTTTCGCGGGATGCTATTCGAACCGAAGAAGGGTGGGACATAACACACGCCGTTCATGGCGGTCGGCGCCTCTACGTGCTTCCATTCCATCAGCTCGTCGAAAAGGAAATGGACTAATGCATGACTTGGTGCATGCGCTCCGCTCGCTCGCCGCTCGAGGTATTGTGCCTCCCATCACTACCTACTTATCTGATTTAATCACATTTTGTTCTCGCCATCCTTTCTCCATTCTCCATTCTCCATGCAATCCCCATATTCTCTCTTTGTGAGCTGAATACGTGATTGTCCATCGTGAATTGTTTTTAACTGCTTCTGTTATCGATGTTATTCTATAATCCTATTTTACAGGAGCTGTAATAATTTATTTAGTCTATATTCCTCTCGTCGTTTGGGTGGGACATGTGTGAATTCCGCCAGCGGGTTTACAGCATTAATCATTAGTATCTCAGGGATGGTTTCGTCACCAATCATACAGGGTCTTTTTTCCGCGGCAGGGGAGGTCAACCCCACCACGCAAGATAGTTGGGATGACTTGACCATCAATAATTGTGTGCTTGACGATCGATTCTACATTATGGGGTGTGACACGCCCATACCATACACCAGCTCCGCGAGGAGTGTAGATCTGCAAGATCGACATCAGCGTACCGTTCGGACGACAAGAAGATCACATACGACGCAGTTGCCTGCGAATTGATGTCCGCCGAAATGTGAACTCATCAATATCAGCGCCCTGTGCTCGGCGTGGAGAGATTTAAGCTGAGTCTCGACTAATCGTTCCTTCTCAGTGGTTGAACTAGCTTGTGACTCGAGGGAGGGTTCGGAAGTGAGATCGTACAGGTTGGTGTGGACTTCCCAGCCTTCTCGCTCGAGATATAGATGGAAGGCTTTCGTAGGCGTTAATTCAAGGCTAGATATCTATGGAAGGAGTCTGCGAACTCACTCTTCTCTAAGATTGGTGCTGTAACGGAACATCGTTTGTCTCGTCTCTTGTGCGAGCCTGGTGGAACCTGTGAGATATATTTCAACACGTGACTGTGTGCAACTTACACAGCAATATCAGACACGAGTATGGTAAAACCCAAGTATTCAGAAGATTGTCTGTTCGGGTAATTACTCCTGCCCGATCGAGAGCTGGATCAAGAGCAGCCTTCCACAACACCTCAGCGCCCGCCAAGGTGCGTGAGACTCCGGATACGACCATAAAGTCTGGAAGCACGATCACAGTCTCTTCCGACTCGTCATAAGAGAAAGGCCTGTGACTTCCATTGAGAATGGAGAGAAATTTTGCTTCAGTATGAGAGAAAAGAAGGCCAGATGGTAGGGGATCATTGGGCTTCTTTGGAGTGCTCAATGAAGAGTTGGCAGTCTCCAAGAAGGCAGCAAGCGTGCCTTTAGCTTCGGTCACCTCGATCTCCCAGTCTCTCTTGCCGGTAGATATGAGCACCTGTATCGTCATGATCATCATGATCAGTGAATCATACTGCGTAAGCACTGGGGACGCACCTGTCGGCGGTATGGATACACTGATCCTAACATGTCCGAGTCCATGTCGATATCCAATCCGCTAGGGAAGTCATCGTGATCTACATATCGATGTTGGTGTGCGTAACAAGAGGGGGTTTTGATGATACTCACCCTCGTCGCAAGGGTCGGCGCAAGACCTGCATTCGGCGGTCGTAACTGGGACATCAGCAATCTTGAGGGTCCGGTATACTTCTGGGCTGTTAGGCGAACCAAACACAAAAGCTTTAAGTTGACCGATTAGTGAGAAGATCATGGTAGATCGAGTACCGGAACGTTGAGGGTTGGAGAGTAACAATGAGAACTACAGGATTGTTGTTAAATTCGGTTTATATCAGACCAGGTGGCACATGATAGGTTACCGATTATCCATCCATCACTATAGTACGGAATCCAAGTACTGTTCATTGACGTGCAATCTGTAATGAAGACCTATTTAGAAACCCTGATTGATTCCACCAATCTCAGATCAATGAAATTGGACTGAGTTGAATGGTATTCACGCAATGTCACTTACTGCGCAGCATGGAGATCAAAATAGTGCTGGCCGCTATGATGAAATCTGCGTAACCATCCGTAGACAAAGTTGTAACTCGGGACAGACCGTCATGATCGGACCAAGCAGAGATGAATCAAGATATTCACTTACCTAGCTAAACGCCCTGCCGTTGGTCCTCCTGTAGTTGCTCTTTTGTTTTCGATGCATTCTCCTGAACAGTAGTCCATAACGGCATTCCATATCGGCTTACCACTACGAGTGCGTCCATCGTCCTCGCTGTTCTCTGTTGGTCATTCTCGGGGCTTGAAGATGCCAGCGCTACCCTTAGACCAGTGGGAGATGGCTTGACGCCTTTTTCGAAGGCGCGACTCCTATTCTCTTTCGGCAACTAACGTCTTCAGCTCCGCAAAACTGCGTTTGTCGAAGTTGGGAGCTAATTTATCCGAGGAACAAAGGCTTCGTCTATTTTCTGGAAGAGGTTTTCGGGAGTTGTAAAGGTGTCGCACTGGTCATGGTGATATAAGGAGGGCGCACATGCCGACGTGGTGTTTTGAGGCAACCCGCGATGTATGACGTTTGATCACGAATGCCAAGAATGTGCATTCCGACGGGGACGGTCACCGGTCAGCATGGCTTTGCGCTCAAAGGCTGCAGATTACTAGACTTGTGACCAGCCCCAGAGTCTATGGGGCAAACCGTCGATAGAGGGACTGGTAAATCTGGGTTTGAATTTGGATAGTACGCGCTTTGGAGTAATCACATGACCTGTAGCCAATAAGAAAACTAAAAATTTCGATGTGAATATTCGAAATGTTGAAACTAATGTTTGATTCATATTGATGTGATGCAAACGCGGTCGCGTAATTAATGTACGTATCTACTCTACAATTCCAATGGATGTGAACTCTATCATCCAAGCTGTGCGGGAAGCAAGGACTAGATTCATTTGCTCGTTCGCTGATACAAGAACGGCTCCCTACCGACTATATCGAAACCCTCAGTGACAAGGATAAGACGAGTTGACCCACAACGACGAATTCGAATAGAACACTATGATCAAATAACTTAGCAGACTTATCTGAGTAGTGTCTAAGCCCTAAACAGGGTTTTCCGTCATGTGACGACTCCAAAGCGCGCACTATCCAAATTTAAAGATTACACCCAGATTTACCAGTCCGTCTATCGGCCTTCGACGGTTTAATTTTGCCTCATGAGTCATAGACGTCTCGGACTGGTCACGAGCAGATTATACAGCGACGAGGTCTTTAATTATTGTCAATTGCGATCAAATTTAAGATATGAACAAACGGGTATCACGTGCTCGGTCGCGGAGTTCGCACACTAGTGGTTGCCTTTAGACAGAATTTTGATCATTTCAGGATTCTCATTGTGGGAAGAGCGAATGCAGGAAAAACCACCATCTGGATTCTGGACCTGCAGAGGGTTTGTGAGTCAATTGAGGACCCATACCCACATGACGGCGCCTGGAAAAAGGTGATAGATGCCTCTGTTTTAGCAGCAGACGGTAGGGTACGCTCTTAGTGGTTGGTAAAATCACTTGACTAGTTCTCAGCAAGGAGTGCACGATATCGAGAATCAAATACTGTTTCCACAGACCCAGGATTCGTCTCCCACGCTTTGAGGCAGGAGGACTCTCCCCGAATTTGACAAGGTGAAGGTTTTCACCACAAGGCGTTCTAAGGACACTGGAGCGGTGTATCCACGACTGTGTGCCTGCGTGTCGCGAGCAAGGCAAAGTGGTGAAGAGCTCTACGCTACGATAAAGCCCAAAGGACACTGAGCGGCTGGCCAAGCTATGGTGCTACCCCCGCTGCTACTCGGAACTCCGCCCCTCGCCTAGAGGTCCTCCACTCCAACACACGTTTGAACATCGAATCGGTCGCAATTAAGTCTTTTGTACAACCGCCGCAAGGGCAACCAATGTCCTCCAAAATGCCATGTGTCTTACTTGTGAGCCGGTCAATATACTGAATTGGCTCCCTTCATATATTCGCTCTTGAACATTCAGATATGGATGGTTTCTATAATGTGGATTGCGGGCCCCTCATCGAACGCACGGATGAACTTAGCTCTGGATGATGATACGCTCAAGTAGCTGTTTATCTCGACACAGCGGACCAACTTGAGGGTGTGCATGAGTTAAGCATTTGAAAGGTAACTCCTCGAATCTGATCGGTAGCAAGAAATAGCCACTGAAATTTAATGAGGCCACTCGTGCGGCCTTGGTTCTGCTCGGACAATCTCAGCCTCATCTGGCATATTTTGGAAATTCAAGAATCGCCAGATCGTAAACGATGTGGGTGAATGGTTTCCACAGGCAATGGTGAGATTGTAGTGATATTCAAAATTCCTCTCATTCATGTTCGACGATCGCTTGTAGTTCGTACGTCTGTTAATCGTCCTCGCTGGCATGTTAACCTAAGACATTGCTGATCTTTTGACAGTTTGTGAGTGAGTTGATCTTTCGTCGAGCTCAGTCGTGCTGACCGAACATGTTGCTGACCTGTTGACAGTTTGTGAACGTGTCTATCATTTATCGAGTTCGAGCCTCGCTGACAGAACACATTGCGGGTCACTTGACAGTATGTGAGTATGTTGATCTTCCGTCGAGCTCCAGTCTTGCTGACCGAACACATTGTTAAGCTGTTGACAGCGTGTGAGTGTATTGATCGTCTGTCGAGCTCAAGCCTTGCTGACCAAACGCATGCTAATCCCTTAAACAGACTGTTAGTGTGTTGACCTTCTGTCGGGCTCGAGCCTCTCCGAGCGAACACATTGCTGATTCCTTGACAGGATGCGAGTGTCTTTATCATCCTCCGTCGAGCTCAAGCCTCGCTGACCGAACACATCGCTGATGTGTTTACAATGACAACACGTAAGTAGATTGATCCTCAACCATTTCTACCTTTTTATCATGGTTGGCCAGTTGTACTGCCCTGAAGATGAGAAAATGTGGTCCAAGTTACAATATTTGGTATCTCCCATTTCTCCCATTTCTCACAGCTCGTCCACATAGTTCTTATCCAGAATGTTTCTTAGCCCTCTGACTCATCAACGTTGGAGAAAATTATTCAACTTGGGGTCCAGTGAGATTTTAGGCAACACCGCAACGAGTTTGCTGATATTTGATAATAAGCTGCTGTGATTATTTTCCAACACACTTTCTGCAGCGACGCTATATTGGGAAGGTGTCTGTGTCTATCCTGCTCTCCAGAAGTACGTGGCGTCTCCCAATGCAGCTGCGAGCTCTGCCATCCACACATATCAAGCAAACCCCTCTTCTGGATGGCGGGGTTAACCAACCACTCTCAGACGGAGGCGGAGTTAATCAACACAATTCTTGAAATCACTTCACAATATCCCATGCGTATGTTTCAGTTCTCATGATTGTAACATTTGCGCTCGCCAGCAAGACCTTATGACTATGTTTATAATTGAGCTCAGTTGTGTCGGTTGTGAATGGAGGTTTCATGACTGGTAACCACTGACATATCTGTCGAGATGATTTAAGGAGGTGGAACTGTATCGAATAGTTGTATGATCATGCAATTTGGCAATTTTTATGCCATGGACATCATGATCGGCCACCAGTGAGACCTGAGCCTGTTGGCATGGACTGAAGTACTACCTCCTAACTCTCCGCGGACCGAGTACCTCAAGGTCGCATGTTGGGAATGTGTGCTTGTAGTTTGTAATAACAACGATACTATGTATATGATCAAGATATCTGCCTTCTTGTTCTAGCAGACGGTGGGCACGGGCAGCCAAGTCGGGTACATAGGTACCGACCCGGAGTGCGTCTGAGGTAGGTCCCTAAGCCTGGCAGACCAACAACAGCTATACGATCATCATAATAAAGCTGATCTGCCTTAGCCGAACCGATTGAGGGGGAGTAGTATTCCTTACTACGGATATTGGCATACTCTACCCGACCCACGTTAATGTTGATATGATGCTTTGAAAGGTCGATATTATTGCGGAGAGGATCTATTGCTTTGGGTCCCAGGTGTCCCGGTGCATCTGTTGATCATTATGCGCATCTTCGTCGACGTCTGCTGAGAATGTCAGTCGACATATTATATGGACCTCGACCTCAACTGCTTGGTGACCACAGGTCCATATGTTCCCGGTCAAGATTTTAAACACGGAGGTCTCAGAGAAGTGATCAAACATAAAAGACAGGCTCCAGAAAAATATCAAGAGTCGGCACTAAACGAACACTATTACCAATGGCTATACTGTTCCAAGTGTTTCCTGGATCCCAAGAAAGAGTGTGTCGTTGTCCAAGTGCGACCCCGGAAATCTTCTGATTCTACGACCTGCACTCCATAACGAATGAGCCACACAGCCTAGAATTTATTTTGTCCTGAAAACCTTATGTTTTACCATGGTTTCTAATTTTTGGACCAAAAAACGGCGGCTTAAGCATGTGTGCCTAGACGGTCCAATCATCGGTTCGTGGCAGGAAAATCCTTGTTTTCTAGGAGCAACTATTTCATCGTCGAATTGGGGAGAGACAGACCGTGATGTATTTTGTAGGAGACTCAGAGAGTTGTGTTGAGTCACATACAGTGATAATGGCTTCCATGACTGCAGGCTTCGCAAGCTGACAGGAGCCTCCAATTGTCATGCGTGGCATATACAGTTGGTCATTATCCGCCAACGTCCTATTTCTTGAGGATGAAAAAACACGTGAGTGGGCCAAGACTACAAGACAAAGGTCGCGCGAAGATGACGTTAGTCCGTGGAACCGAAATGGATTGCTATGCACAGAGAAGAACTACGCTCGAAAAAAGTGATGCGACAACAGGCCCTGCTACCTCAGAGACATTCGAAACATGAAAAAGGATCATTAGCGCCATCCAACGTCAAACACCCATGTAATGTGTCCCGTGATGTAGTTGTTGCGTGAGGAATACCTGCTACGAATGGGAAGGATTTTCATAATCTGCCATGTGCACATCATTTGATCACAAGCGAAAAGCTTACCTTGAGGGGACGTGGTGGCTCAAGAGCGAGACATATTTACTCCACCATCGTACGGTATCTAGAGCACGTTGGTAAGTAGACTTTGCTAGAAGGCTTGTTGCTGCAGGACCAGAGCTGCGAGGTTCGACAAGGTAGGACACAATTCCTGATTTGGCGGTAGCCGCAGAATATTAGCGAACACCGGACATGTCTATTTTTCCGAGCAGGGAAGACATCAATAGGAAGAATCAAGCCCAATATGAGACTCAGGACTTCCTAGAAGGACACCGGTGACGAAATAGCAACTGATTTTTTCGCACTGTGCGAGTCTGCGACAGGGAGCCAGGTACCTGGTGCCGTGAGGCTCACTAAACCCCAGTGCATCACCTGGACTTGAAGATCGAGAATGAACGATGAAGGTATGGTCAACCAGGATCTGGATGAGGTCGACTTGAATGATGCACGATAATTATTGAGTAACATGGTCGGTTGATGCGAACTTTGTTTGTGTATTGGAGAGCGTGGTCGGTTTGGATTTTGTTTTACAGTGTCATCCACAATTTGGACACTTGTGTCGGTCTGTATGTCGGTTAAGCAAAACAAACAAATCAACTTGATTACACTTACCACAACGCTTCGTCGTCATTGCGGTCTACGACGACGAGACATACTTCGACAACAATGGCTGAATCTGCGAGAGGAAACTGGCCCGTGCGCGTCCTCATTTCTCACGCCTGACATAAGCCGCACATGTTCCCCCTTGACGAAAGCTCTTTTCAACATCAACGGACCTCCACAGGTTGCCAGCAAGTTCAGCGCCTTTCGCTCTTCTTGTTATCTTTCGGCGAAAAGACATGTCGCAGCAGCCACCACCCACAGTGATGCCACAGAATATGCTTCCTCCTGGGGAAGCAGAGCTCGCTCAGGCCAACTCCTACTATCCGCAGGAACCTGCAGACCTAACGGGGGGTCTTCCTATCAACCTTGACTCTCTGCGTGATGGTCCACCAGGAAGCAAACCATTTTATCCATATTCTACGCTTATACGGTAAGCGGCTCCGAATCGACTGTAGATGCTCTAGTAAACGGTCTCGGTTTGTCTGTGGGTGGGTAGATATGCTATAAAGGGTTCTCCGAATCAAAAGCTACTCCTCGAAGATATTTACTACGCCATTGAATCCCGCGTACGTGGTAGCTTACTACTTCAAGTTGCGCATTTCGCGAATCCCTGACTCCACGTCACAGTTTCCTTATTTCAGGAATGCCCCATCTGGTTGGAAAGTGAGTAAAGTTCTTCCGATGCCATTGGTCAATGACTTCTGTATCATTTGTGTTGTCGATTGCCTGCACCTATTGGACGTGAGCGCGATGTTGATGTTTGATTGTATTCATATTTGTTTTGATCTCAAGTCAGGCACCAAACTAACCTAACCTTGCTTCGCACGTATCCAGAACTCAGTGCGACACAATCTTTCACTCAACCCGTGCTTTGAGAAAGTGCCGCGTCCCCTCACCGACCGAGGGAAAGGCTCGTACTGGACTGTCAATGATAACGTTGACCCTAGAACGGGTGTCCATCGGGTGAGGAAGAAGAAGCCGAAAGGCGCAAAGGGTCGGCAGTCGGAAGAAGATCAGGATGTGGATTATCATCCTGAAGCATTCAACGACCCTAATGCACAATTTGTGCAGCCACCGCCTATGCATCCTGACGAAGCAGGTCCCAGTCGGCAAGCGCCGTATCCGCCGTATCCTCCCACGTATGCCGTTTGGTCTCAAGCATTGATACTAAACTGAGGCTTTCGTTAGATTTGATCCCAACTTCCAGATGATGCCTCCTCCACCTCCCGGCCTTCGATTCCCTCCTGTGCCAATAGATGATTTGGAGGTAGACGAGAGTGGGAACATCCTGTGGCGTTTGTCCTTGATGAAGGAACTCGCGCACTTGCAGCAAATTTCATCGGAGAAGGACATGGGCGAAGATTGGTACCGCGTGATGCTGTTGCGTATGCGTGGGGCTGTCATGGCCCCACCACCTGCCTATCATGATGGTATGCACCCTCCACCTGGGATGCCGCCTCCACCTCCGCCCAACCCGGAGTTACAGCAATGAATCTTTCTTCAATTCTTGAAGTGAATGTTTAAGCTATTTTGTTCCAACTATTATTAACTGGTTCCCATGTTTCAGAGAATGTCCTCTTTCATCTTTTGGCATTAATAATGGTCTTGAGTGGACAGCATTTTGAATTCATTCTATTACAGCATGTTGTCTGTATGTCATTTCTGTATCCCATATGGACTTTGTTGTCGGTACACCATTGAATCTTTGTCCCGCCGATAATGGACCGTATGTGAGGATTTCGGCCGATTGAAGACGTGCTTGTGACCTCTGCTTATCTAAGCGAACCAATGTCTGATTAATGCACTCTGGATCATCATTTTTCAGCTGACCCTGTCCTCCTCCTTCCCGTCATTCTCTCTTTTACAGCGTTAGGCATTTCTGATGGCACCTACGGCTATCTACGCTCCTTCTCCCACCCAAATCACATCAGAAGTCAAGAAATCATCAATCAATGGACCATTACCTCATGAAATCGTCCAAGGGCCTGCCCTTGCGATAGGTTCATTGGACACTGCTCAGGACGGAAAGTATCAATCACTTCTTTTACGCCTCGATGCACAGGAAGGACGGGCCGCCGAAAGGCAGATGCTTGATCGACTCATTGATGGAGGTATGTCTCTACGATTCGGAGCATCGCTCACTAATCATCATGATTCACACAGCGATCTTGTTGGCTCCATCAAGCTATGCTTCCATCCATGTCGTGCTCTCCCCATCAGAATACACTTCATTATCACCAAATTTACCATCTCTCCTTCAGCAGACCCTCACCGGTCTGACACCCCTGGGAACTCTTCACCTTCTTAATTTAACCGCGGGGTTCCTGAGTCTTCCTCATGAGTTGACTCTAGCTGGATTCAAGATCATTGAGAGTGTGAGAGATGATTTTGATGCCAGAATAGTTGCCCAGAAGCCTTTACCAATCGTAACGCCTCTACCTTCTGCGCTTCCTCTCCGGAGGAAGACTGACCCTGCCAAGCAGTCTTCCAAGAAGGCTCTTTGGGCACTCTCATCACCATCCACTCCCACAATCGATGCCGAAACTCTCCTAACGGCGGCAGATCGTGCGCGCCCAATCCCCACGTGCGATCCTGTCATGGCAGGTGCCCCAAGGCGGAAGAAGGCATGCAAGAATTGTTCATGTGGTCTTGCTGAGCTGGAAGCCGAGGAGGCCAAGTCAGGTAAAGTAGTTCTGCTCGACAACGACAGCACTGTGGAAGTGGGAGCTGGTGACGTAGCAAAGAGTTTGATCGCTGCCGCTAAAGCTGCACCCAAGGCAACTAGCAGTTGTGGGAGCTGCTTCTTAGGAGATGCATTCCGGTGTGCCAGCTGTCCGTATCTTGGTGCGTTTATAAGAATGCTCTTCATATCAATTCAAAACTCAGAAAATCTGTTGAAAAAGGTCTGCCTGCATTCAATCCGGGTGAGAAAGTGGAGATTGACCTCGGGATGGATGACATCTGAGCACTACTGTTACAATTTGATCATTCGCCATACCACCAAGTATGTAAACGCCGTATGATACTATTTATATTGTACTATATTGCTTACAAAACATTAGAAGCCATATCTATTCACCGGCATGATGGTGTAGAAATCACGAATATCTATGTCGGGCCACCCTTCGCTCGAGGGAACTGAGAAGTTCACGTATGCCATCATCTCGCGGTGACAGGCCAAAAGATCGCTTCGCGTCTTAAATCGTGTCTCGGGGGTGTGGCGCTCTATCAACTTGAGAGTGGCGTTGTATCGAATGGGGAACAATTCGCATAACTGCCCCAGTAGCGTAGCGATCTCGAGGGGCGCCGTGAATTTTTTGACAATGTGAAATTCAGGGTCAGCAAGGTATTTCCTCTTGCGCGAGCCACCTATGACCCGTCCCCCCTCATCGATAACATACTCCTCGTCAAATATTTTGAGCAAGCTGTTCCTGTTCTCGACGTTCGTTTCACTGGGGAGGTATCGGACCATAGTGTACATCATGACGTGCAGGAAGGATTCCAAATCATCTGCCAGCACATGGTGCTTGTCCTGGGTACTTTGGTCCAACAAAGCACCAGACATAAAGGGTAGAGTTCCCTGTCATTTGAAGTCATGTCAGTATCTCGACATATATATATAAACGTTGCATGTACCATCTGGATTTCCAATAACTCTTTATGCGATTCGGAAGAGCAGCACTCCCAGCCCATGAGAAGCCCGTGCCCCTCACTGGTGATGCCAATGTTCTCCATACTGATGTTCCGATGCAAAAGACCAAGATATTCATAAGCTCTCTCATGAGCTACAGTGACCCGTTAGAAACAAAAAATTACTTGAGAAGTGGAGATGAAACTCGCCTGTGAGAGCATCCTTGAATACAGTCAGAAATTCTTTGGGCGTCTTGAACGTGCTCAGGTTCCGTTCAACATTACCAAGGATGATTCGATGTTGTACGAGCGGGAGGCGTGTCTTGTGGTTGGGTGTACAGCGCCACCAAGCCTTGTTGAATAAGTGGGTGATCGTTTTTGTTCCGAGGGCAGACATGTCACCGCCGTGCTCGAAGGTCGGGATGTTGGGAATGCGACGAGAGTGTAGTTGCCGGTATACTTCCGATTCCGTGCTGATACCTTGGGAATGAGGTCTCCAAGTTTCCTTGAAGAAAACGACTTTCTTCTGCGCAAGGTCCCACGCATGGAAGCTACGAGTTCGTTGCTCGAGTAGACTGCACTGCTTTGGGGCGGGGCGTGGGCCGACATAAAAGTGATGAGTTGTTAAAGGACGGCCTTCCGCGTCCTTGGGCTTTTGAAGTGCAGTATCGACGGGAACGATGTATCCATACAGAGGATCGGAACTCCCAATGCCCAGTAACTCCCGAATAGCGCTGTCTTGAGACTCCGGAAGGGAAGTGGGAACCACAGACACGTCGACGCCGCGATGCCCAGGCGAGGCACGATTGAGCCTCCATAGGAACTCAGCCAATGGGATGAAATTGCTCGTGTAGTCAAACCGCCGAGACACGACAGCACCAGAGCGGTCCCAGTACACAAACCGTGCCCGGGAGCCACAGAAGAGGATGGAAAATCCAAAGCGGCGGAACTGTGTTGCGAAGAAGGCATTGGTGCACGCCACCATATGCGCGCGCGTTGAGATGGACTGCTTATCAGAGGACTCGAATGATGGATAGTAGCCTCTTTTAGAAACCCGATGTGGCAGCAGGTCCTCCTCAGGACAAGGTATCGGTGTAGTGAAGTCCTCATTTGGCGGTGGGTCGATGAAGGGGTCTTGTTGTACGGAAGGCTTGATGATGATCCATGCCTCCATCGTAGACATGTCTGTCACTCCGTTTCGAGTGCTTTCACTTTTGTATAACCCCACGGTTGGTTGGAACTCATGCCCACCCACGACGACAGAGGGGTCAGGACAACCGGAGGTGTCGACAAGATCAAAATTGGTGGTGAATTTACGCAGTAACGCAAACTGCCAAGGGCACCAAAATTAGATAGGTCAGAGAAGTGTTTATGTGAAATTCTTACAAGCTCTTCTTGTGACACCACCTTGGGCATCACTGGACGACCGTCTGCCTCAGGCAGGAAGTCAAGAAATTGGCGCACTGGCATTGCGCCAACGAAGCGTGTTGGGAAGGAACATATAAGCCTGGATTCAACGGCTTCTTTGGATGTCATTGTGACTGAGAATTGAGATGCAGGAATTGTATAAGCGATATGATAGAAGGAAGATGATTGAAATTGGAAAGGCGGGATGAACAGACCAAGATGTCCGACTCACTATTTATTGGTCCATGCTGTGGATATTCCACTCTGTCAATAACCACAACAGCTTTAGTGGACAATGCTCGTCAGTTGTAGCCGCTTACGGATGTGGACACTCGGAGATTCAATGGTTTGGAGTGCAAGTCCCTAGAATTGATGCAACTGACTTAAGCACAGAGGGAAAAGGGGGCGAAGGTTTGCATACACAAGGTAGGCGACAAAAGAGGGTTACTCTGCTACGTCTTCATCCCAATCGTCACCCCAATCAACTGCCTCCGAATCATAGTCAGCTGCGTTGTGTGCTTGCTTAATCAACTCGAGAACGGCAGTATAATCAAGCGCGGGACCTTCTCCTTCATCCGCTGACAAAGAGCCTGTGCTGGATATATCGTCTTCGGTGATGCGTGCCTCTACAGCAGAGTCTTGGTCGCCACTTTCGCTTTCCGCGTAGTTCCCTAAAGCCCCCAACTCGTTTCGTGTCCGGCTTGCCGCCGCCTTTTCCGATGCAGACTCACTTTCACTTCCGTAGTCACCGACAAGTCCTGAGATCGCCTTTCTCCCCGCTTTCGTACTTAGCTTTCGTCTTTTTATAGCTCTGACGTCGTGCTCGTGCTCGGACACTGGCGAGGGCTGACCCCTTTTGGCCACAATATTTCCAATGGATGTAGACGAGTCCGGATCGTATACATGGATGGTGGGGAATTCAGCGAAGTGCGTACCCTGAAGCAAATCCTGAAGAGTCTGAGAGGGACAAAGTTTATAGTAAGATGGGCCAGTCTGCACTCCGACGCCTGGATAATATGGAATTCTGGCCAAGTCCATTTGCGCAGGTAAGTAGCAGAGAGGATCTCTGAAGCCTTCAGGATCGTCTGGATGAGGGTGGACAAGAGAAGTAACCCAGTCTGGACAAGGATGTTCTTTCTTCGGTTTGGGATGGTCCTTCTTAGAATATGTATGCTGAGGAACGTGTCTCTGAAGAAGGGTGATTAGAGAGGAGTTGATGGGATTGCGATGCACAAGTGTGGTATATGGAATTGATGCTGCGGATAAAGAAGATTGCGAGGGCGCTCCGGGGTAAAACTTGAACTCTATCGTCATTAGTGCAACCTGCGTCCTGATGAGGGTCAGCACACGCGTAAGGACGGAAGACAAGAGCGCACTTTGCATCAATAGTCGACTGGTTTACCTTTCTGCGTTGCATTCCGACGGGAAGGACATCCATCTCGATGTCCAAGCTGTCTAGATGAGCTTTTAGCAGATCTCTTTTAGATGATCCACCACCCCTTGAAGTTCCTCTTCCGCCTCTACCTCTTCCGTTGGCTCCACGTGCTCCCCCTCTTCCTCTCGTGTTTTTTACATTTGTTGCGTAGCCTTCACGAGCAATTTCTCCGCCCCACTCACTCACTTTTCTGCCTACTTCTTCAAGAAAACAGTAGTCGCGCATCATCGGCCCCCACCCATAAGCGTTCATCTGCACATAAGCCGCCTTATTGCGTTCACCGCTACATCCAGTTTTTGATTTGTGGGTACGAGAGCAGGGTAGAGAACATGTTGGAGTAGAACACCTCGGACAAGTATAACGTGCAGGTGTCGAGCAAAGCGCACAAAGACGAGTTGATGACCCACTGGCGATTGATTCCATAGACGTGATAGTTTGCACAGGAGATGTAGAAGTCAAATAAGGTAGCATGGTCGTGAAGTGTGTTCATGTTTTTTTCGAACATCCTAAATCCTACACAGCACTGCGTACTTACTCCTACAAAGTTTTTGCTATTGCTTCATAACCCGTTGTCATTGCCCAGTATCATCATGATGGCTCAAATGGTCTGGCAGTCACCATTTGATTCAAGCTATCCAATAAAATCACCCCGGATCACAAGGTCCAATTCACATGATGGTGTCTGTGATTTTTACTTCAGTACGGTACTCAAGAACAAGTCGAGTGTAGAGTGATCAAGTTTGAGGACAAGGACGTGACAGAGTAGCAGGCGACCATCTCGGGTTCAATGTAAGTAGCCAACAAAACATGAGCGCTTGAGTAATTTAACTTTTAAGTTACAAGTCCTGTCGCCGGAGGTCCAATAGTCCTTTCATGATAAGCTGAACTTCGAGAACAGCATCAATAGCTGCGCGGACTGTGCTCACTTGCACATGCCCGCCAGATGCTGGTGCGGACGTATTAACCTGAGTGGCGGTCTTGACCTCGACCTCCCAAAGTGTGTCGGTATGTGCTGGTATAGGGAGGGAGGTCTTCGGGTCAACCTAGTCAAGAGTAATGGTAAGGGAACGACAATATCAACATGGATACGTACCTGCTCTTGCTGGAACATTTGTATTATCAGAGCTCCTCTTCGAAATGCATATCCACGTTTGTAGATTTGTGATCGTTGTCTAACGACACTATAAGCGTAAGCACAGACGATGAATTCTGGAGCATACGGACACATATCCCAGCGCCGAAGCGAAACTGAGGGCATCACCGATCACTTCGCAAGTGGCCCATGGTCTGACAGTGGCCTCGGGATGAACGCGTACGGATTCCGGCTTGAGGTATGAGAAAAGCGTCCTATGTTATGGTTGATCCAACGCCTTCGTTCAAGTGGGTTGTCCAACCAACCATCCGCTTTCCGTCCCATCTCCCAGTTCTTTTTTTGCTCTCAGCAACGCTGGCTCATCTCCTTGTACTTGTGACTGAACTCCGAACTGCTCGAATAAAATTTCACGGGTGTGCATGGGTGCTGCAGACTCCGTGTGCAGTGTGAGGCGATTGAGAATCGCCTTGAGATCCCGAGCGAAAAATTCACCGAAAAGAGCGACTTCATAGGCATGCGCATGCGTCTGTGTGTTTGCGAACATGGACATTGGAAGTTAAGAGTGGAATGATGTCGTTGTAAGAGAGATAACGTAATCTATACGATGGACTTAGATACTGAAACTTTATATGAATGGCCCATCTTGATTCTTGAGAATGGCCATGCATATCGTCCATATCGTGACATAGGGTATCAGGTATAAATAGTACATAGGTGCTAAGTCGAGTACAAGTACGGATGAGCAGCTAGTTCAAGAAGTAGGCCCAGACCTATTCCCTTGTCAAGGAATCCTGGTGCCGCGTCGAACCATTCTTGTGCCAATTCCTGGATGTCGCTTGGAGCGAATCCAGTGCTACACATGACCACCAGTTGACGGCTCCTGGGAATCATTTGGAGGCATCCTGGTTCTTGTATCGGACTCAGCTACAAGCTTAGCATGATACCCTCGAACATTAAGGATGAGGCGTGGTCCCAGCACAAACATTTGTATGACCGAGAAGATATTAATGGCACCATTGTAACCCGTGGAATGCGAGTCCTATAGAAATGATGAACAGCGACATGCAGGTGTCAGCAAAAGATTGGCGTACCGAGACGGTCGAGAAAAAATAACGAAGGGCGATGCAAGAACCAGCAATAAAGCTTGAACGTGCGGAACTTCAGCAAAGGAAGATAACCACAGTAAAATTAGCAACTAACCTTGCAAAGTACACCACATGAGTCTTCATTAAAACTGTGAAACAGTTTCCGATGATCGCAGTTTGCGATGATCGTCGCAATTGCCGGAAGTGTTTCACAACAATCCAGACTACAAGATACATCACAAGGACCTCCCATACAATGCGGAGTATCCAGGCGATGGACATCAGAAGGCGGGCGTCTCCATCGTAGTCATAAGTGCACTGATAGATGCCAGAAACGACCCCTGACATTCCTCCAATGAGCCCTATACACTTGAGTCGTTCGTCCATAATTTAAGCTTACCCTTTGAATTACGGTTGATTCCTGTTGCAGTAATCGCTCCGCCAGCGATTGTGAGAACAACCAAGGTTACAGTGAGAAAGATAAGCATCTTTCTCGACCCCTGATACATGGCATATAACCGAGTGATCATGATGACTTATATGACATTTCAGTTAAGATATCACGGGGGTATTGCAGCCGAGTAACTCACCGCCCAGCATGGCAGCGACTATCACATTCATACAATTTAGTACGACAAACATAGTATTGCCTGACAAAAACCCAGTTTGAGATGCGCATCGGAAAATCATGAACATCCAAACACTCACAGCTGTTGCGGTTATTATGTTGAACAAACAAGCCGATGGAGAGCTCACCCCTAGGTAGGAGCACAATTGTTTGGACGGGAATGATAGGTATCGATGCAGAATACTCACTATATCTGTCAGCGGGACTGACGGAAGACTTCCTGCATGCCATTAATCAGAACAAACAATTGCAGTATGTGAGGAGACATACCTAGCATGAACATGCTGATTGTGAGAGATGACTTATTAGCAGTGTCAACTTGAACTTTCTTGCCTTGGAAACATACATGATATACGGCATCCCAGCATAGCGCACCTAGAAATTTAAATATTGTCAGCACAACTTGCCAACTGCGTGTATACATGAGCTACGTACGGTGAGGTACAAAATGGTTATGAGGGTCCAGCGCTGCCTCTGGGCCGAATGAATTACATTAACCTGTTGTTCTTCTGATACGGGACTCTGCTCACCCAAACCAGTTCAACCTACAACACCATTCTTAGTGAGATATCTACTCCAATATATATGGTCTCGGCCTACCTCTCGTCCGAAGGTTAAAGCTGGAAATACCATTAGGATATTAATGGTTGTTCAATATTGTTCGCTCACCCCAGTCATATATCACTGCAGTAAAGGATGCAACTGCGAAACCACATTCAAGGTTAGATCGAAACACATGGTCTGACTGGCTCTCCACAAACCGGCAACATAGCTGTAAAAATGATTATTCAAAGTGACGACCAGCTGACTGGGATCGTTCGAGACTGGAGTCATGTTCGAGGGATGGGTATAAGCAAGTGGCAAACTTGGTGGACGTAAACTGATGGTGTTCGTGTTAGATATACCGTCATTCGGCGCCTATATCGCCGAAATAAGCATCGCGAGTTTCCGCCTTGGTTAAGCCAAGTATTGTTATACAAAATCACGGAAGTCCTTGATTGAATCAAAAGCAGAATTTGGCTGTGGATCTGCAAAAAAGTGCTGCGCGCGCATGTTTGAACACCGGAAAAGTTCGAAAAGCGGTTCGCGGTGCTAGTATTTGATTTCCGAATTGTTCTCGAGATGTTCTTGGCACTTGCATCAGTACTTCCAGCAATTCCATCAGTGAAACCATGCGCTTCATTGATCTCCCACGTGCCTTGACGAGATGCGACCGCCAAAAATACCTGCGGTCTCAATAACCCTCAATGAGGATCGGTATCCGAGTCCGTTCCGCTAGTCCAGGCCGGAAAGCAAGGTAACAGCTCATTCTAGGTCTGATGTCACAGGCCACAACCTGTCGGTGAGGCAGAAATGAAAGGTAGAGTAGGTTCACATGCAGCTAACAGACACCTTACCTCTCCCCCAGGCCGAAACACCCTCGATAGTGCAATCCAATGCCCCGGGTCCTCCTAAATCTTCAGCATCTGTCGCCCCATGTGCACCTCCGGCTATGATATCATTAGGGGACTCTGATGCAAAACAAATGCAAAATACGGCAGTTGATGGCATTGGCGTTGCATCGATTTTTTACATTGATTGATCACCCGTGTTGCTCTAGCGCGCATATAATGCTAAGCGGCCCAAAACAGAAACAAGAGGTCACAGGAATGATGATTCGGGACACAGCTGCATGACCATGCGGGAAGTCAGACTTCTTGATTCTTGGCGGTACGGGCTCATCTCGTAAACATTGACGGCGATTGTTTTTCAGTGATCTTTTGTCCCAATTTGGTCTGATCTATACATCGAGAGACAAGGCAAAGAACTCACAGCATGATCTTCGTCACATCCGGCGATTCCATGGGAAGGGCGTGAAAGCCGCAAAGTAGTTTGATGGCTTCACCTTCACCCAATACCGACAAGGACCAGCTCAATGACCGAGATTGAGTGACAATTTTTCGAGGTGCCATTATCGAATTAGACGTATGTTCTGCGGGTGAAGGTTCGGATAGGGGATAGGTATCCAGTACTCGTCAAATGCCTGGGAAGTGTTATCGCGTGGAGACACAGCAACGCATCCATATGGATGTCAGTAATCAACAACTCGCACGATTAGACGGAAGTTACCTGAAACACGGAATCAGTGTCTGGGCTATGACTCTAACAAATATGACTAGCCAAGCTATAGCAGCTCATGGTACATTGGATTTAGATTGAAAGTCCGCGGGTGACAAGAAGCCATTGTACCGAGTTTGAAATTACGGCTGTGCAAGTGTCGGATATCTATAATTTCCACACCTGGCGCGACTTGTATCCCAGTGATCGCAACACTCCACCTACTGGCCCTTGTGAGTAGTTCCGTCCATAAGGACCTGCTATAGCCTCAACCATTCTGCGACACATCAATGAGTAACATCAGAACAGAGAACGTGAGTGAGAACTAACTGCTCAGGACCACAAACCAAAAACAGTATCTTTCGGTCACTGACATCGCTATCTTGCGAGAATAGACCGCGCCACCAAGAAACACGAGAGGTAGAATGGAGGGCGCTACATATTGAATCTTTACCAATGCGACCCTTGTGTACCTCTAGATCTGTAGAACCTTGACCTTTGGTTTCGCCAAACGAGTCGACGAAGAACTTCAGCCTGAACTTCTCGGGATTGTGCTGCGCGAATTTTAACAGGGGATTAAGGATATCGCGCGGAGGCAGCTCAGAAGGTGTTCTTGATGAATGCAACAATGTGATTCGGCCTTGAAAGGATGAATTCCCAGAGAATACGGTACGCAACAGCTGGTAGAATGGAGTAATGCCAGTACCACCAGATATCTTGAACGCAAAAATCGTTAGATAGGAGTAATTTATAAAGATGACTATTTCCTCACCAAAATGACCTCATCCCAAGCATTATCCTTCCAAGACCAGGTTTTGAGAGGGCCTCGAATCTCAATGGTATCACCGACTTGTTTCGAGTACAGCCACCGGCTGACTTCGCCATGTTGATATCTTTTGATCCAGAACTTCATATTTCCGTTTTCGTCTACCCCATCGAGTGGAGTATAAGGTCGCTCCACTTGTATGTCATCGTCTTTGATGAAGACGGACCAGATAGGTGCGAAGAGATCGCTTCCCTTGGGTAAAAGTTCGGGAGGTATCGCAACAGTCAGAATTTTTGTTCCACTTGATGTGATAGTGGACGAAACGAGTTTCGCTGGTGTGAAGTGAGATGAACTGAGGGGTATGTTGTCACAAGTTGGCGCGCCTCGGGAGATGTCAGGTAAGAGAAGATAAGCAGCGACAGCAGCAGATGTGCCTCCTAGGAGAAGTGTTGTAGTTGCCCTCCGTAGTGATCTTGAAGCGTTGATTGTCGTAAGACCTCTAGCACACAGGCCAGCATGTCTCGCTAATACTTGGAAACGCGAGTTCAGCATCTGGCGTTGATTCCCAAAATGGCAGTACAAGTAGAAGCTCTTGCCAAACAGGTGTAAACATAAAAAGGATTGGCATATTTCCATTTGCAACTTTCTCCTTTGCTTGAGTTGAATCTCCCGCCAGCTCCCTCGAGTTTAACAAAATTACGACCTTCACTCTTTCACAGTCTATCCTACTTTAATCACATTTAATGAGACACCTCCGTGACGCGACATGCAGCTATGCCCCAGGAACAACTATTCATATGACTTCTGATAATACCACGACGCTGGCGTTGCGATTAAATCGAATGACTACCCCTACACTCTTTTCTCCTTCAAACACGCGATACGTAGATCACGAAGACAATAACGAACTTTTAAGTTTGTCTCCGGATTCTCAGTCTAATGGGTTCCTAAAGTCACCTTCTCGTTGCCTCCTCGCTGGGCTTGGTATTCACTACCAATTTGATTCCAGTAATTTCGTGCAAATTGGCGAGAGACGGTGTTTGTACGATGAGGGACAAAGTGCTTCGTATATGCGGGCGGACGATATCAGTAGCGCCCAAAATCATTCAAACCCTCCGCACGCGGCATTCCAACTAACAGACCATACCGCCGAAATCCTCAGTCGCTTGAACGAGTCTCGAAGCTCCCTAACTTTTTCAAGCGACACCTCGTTGCCTGACCTTGGGCACTCCTCTTCATCGTCATCGGCTTCCTTAGCTTCTGCTCGGTCTGTCTCTGACAACGAGGAAGGTCAGGCTTCAAGAGAGTTTTCCCTGGCTTGTCACCTCGCGGACGATGTTCTCTCTTGTTCACCTTCCAACATCGGTCTCATTCCTGATGTCAACATGTACAACCTTGCACTGTTTACGAAGTCACCCAGTATAGGCGTCGATCCTTCAGCCATCATGGGACAGTCACCTGCGTCCCCTCGAGCATTTCTGTCGCCTCGCCTCACCCCTCGCAATGTCACCTTCCATTGCTCTCCGCTGTACATTCACGATTCAGTTCCCTCCACTCTTGGCGCGATGCGGGAATTGACATCCGGTCCACCATCTCGGGATTGCCCATCGCCACGTCTAATCCACGATATTGTTACCATCTTGTCCACTTCTGCAACACAGGATACTGAACAGCCAGAGCCTATGCCGGTTATATACAATGAACAGTCACCCTTCGAGCAATGCGCTCCGCAGAAGAGGGCGTCCCCGATGATCAAGATGGAGACATTGCCAGATGCATCTATATTGCGTGTGTTCTCCCCAAAACAAGAGGAACGTTACGTTCTTTCTAGCTGCGACAACTTCTCGTTCCCTTCCTCCAATAATGTGTTTTCGCCAAGGCAGAACAAGGTCGAGCCAGATCGCGGAATATACAACGATCCACATCCATCGCCGATTCTTAACGCGCACATGGGAATTGAACTGTCTGAGCTCGCCTTCAGAGCCGAGCGCTATAGGGCACGCCATTCTGCACAAGAGATTGATCGAGGTTGGTTGATGCATTTCGCGGGCAAGTTGAGCGACCGCGGAGAGCTTATAGAAGAGTTCCGATGCTACGTCGTTGGGTGTGGCCAGAGGAACAAGCGCCGAGATCACATCATTGTACATGTCGGGGCTCACGTTGATCAGCGGCCATTCGGTTGTTCCATGTGGTTCGCATTATTTTTGCTACATATCTTGCAATTACTGGCTCACACTGATTGACGATTGTCTACAGCCCACAGCGGTTTCTCCGCAAGAACGAATGCAAACGTCACGAAGCGAGCCATAGTGGGGTGAGACCCTATCATTGCGAAGTTTGTGGGCAGACCTTCGTTCGTCAAGATTTGCTGAAGAGACACACCAAGCGGACCCATGGATTAGAGAAGGGAACTCGCACTGCAGGCTCGCGCCGTAAGAAGGCGAGGACTGAGTGATTTCGTGGTTAACATAGCTTTCCTCGTTCGACAATGGAGACACTTCCTAATATCGGTGACAGTCAAATTAATCAGGATGTAGTTTGGCTGATGGAGTTGTCACGGTGAAAGACATGGTCAAAAACATTGATGTTGCGACGGCGAAGGTTTGACAACTCGCAATGTGCCTCAGACAAACCTGTGTTCGGAGTGCTGAACGCGTACTCAAGGGTGCAGTAGTAGTAGTGTAGTGTTTTCCCTCGTAGGTGGGCATGTCGTGACAATGTGACACATGTGACGTGTAACTTCGCATTCCCTTGCAAGTTCAAAAAATCGGCCAACAAGCTCAACCATGTCGACCAGAGGACGGTCCATCTCCCCAAAGCCCCTGCAAGATGCCGATGTAGACATGGAGAATGGGGGAAACGATGACAAGAAGTGCAAAGTAGTTGTCGTAAACGGTCTGTCTCGGAACGTCGTGCAAGCGCATCTACAGACCATTTTCGCATTCTATGGAGAAATCGTGAAGATTGACCTTCCACTCTTCCTGAAATGTAAGATTTTTGATAATCATCGTTCTTGGCGCATCTGATCTATTCCCACATTTTAGCCGGCCAGAATCGAGGAAAGGCTGCTCTTGAGTTCACAGATGCAGCATCCGCCCAGAAAGCTGCGTCACACATGAATGGCGGTCAACTAGATGGTTTGGTCGTAAAAGTCGAGTTATCTGATCTCCCAATCCGCACTCGTTCTCGTTCTCGCCCTCGTCCTCCACGTAACGGCCGTGAAAGGCGCTCACTGTCTCGGTCGCGTTCCCGCTCCCGTTCGCCGGTGTTCCGTAGGAGAGGTTATGAACATTCTCGTTTCAATGAATCTTTCCGTGGAGGCAGAGGTTTCGGACGTCGTGGACCTCCCGCCAGGGACACGTACCGTCCTTCTCGATCACGTTCCCGTTCGCCTATCAGGCGTGGGGATCGCTTGCCACTCAGAAGGAGGTCTCCAAGTTACGAACGTGGAGGGACTGGTACTGGGTATGGGCGCAGGGGTCGAACCCGCTCCAGGAGCTACTCGGTGCGCTCCAGTCGCTCTCGTTCACGCACTCCTTCTAGGTCTCGCTCTCGTTCTGCATCCTATTCCTCTTATTCGAGGTACAGCCGTAGCAGAACTCGTTCAAAGTCTCTCAGCCGCGGAAGGAGGAGTTACAGTCGAGATGACATCAGAGATAGCAGGTCCAGATCTCCAGTATAAAAAGCATATATACTCTGGTATCTCAGGTTGCTGTTGTAATTATGAGAGTTTCTGTTCCTGTCTTACAGTATCACAATGAAGTCTTGATCCGTACTTTAATAACTGGAATCGTCATCGGTAAATAAACTGCCGTAGATAATATTAACAGTAATGTCTAAACTGAACGGTGTCGCTTACGGATACTCTTCGCCCCTGGTGACATCTTTCATCCACTCTTCATCAGCTTCTTGCTGAGCAAATCCTGGTCCTCCAGCAAGGCTAAGTACGACGGGTAGAAGTACCAAACCATGTAAAGCCCCAGAGATGATGAGAGTAAGCCACATGCGGAAGTAGTATATCTGTGGGGGCACATGAGACCTGTGTACAATTATATCGGTAATTTAAAGTCTTACTTCCAACAGCTTGGATCGAGTGAGCGCTAGGACGGACATGCCGATCAGCTTGGTGAACGTGATACCGGACAGAACCTGAGAGATGTTGGTCATAGCGCAGCACCGATTAGGAGGAATACTCACTGAGGGTCCGACGTCGACAAGGGCAGCCCCCATCCTCTCGTCCCGCTCTTTCTGTCCTGCAGGATGATCAGCTGGCAAACCTGAACCAGCACTCATGAAGGCCCTTGCAATATGAGCGCAAAACTCCACTGCAATGCCGATTGAAATGACCAGATTCACCAGGCTGATAGCATTCAGGCTAATGCCCCATACTGCCATCACGCCCATGACAGTCATTACTGTCAGCGCGACCACACCCGTTACAATTGTCCCTGTGCGCCATGAGCCTAGCAGTAGTGCTGTGACCACTAGCACGGCAGCCAGCCCAAGCCCGAGTATCTCTTGCGTGATGGCGACGATGCGTGCATATTGGTCAAAGAAAACGTAATGCAGGGAATAAGGGAAAACCTGTGATCCAGTGAACTCTGATATCTTGGCTGCTATCTGGCGTGCGACCGCCATGGAATTGATAAAATCATCTTGTGATTTAAGAGGCGAGTGTGAAGTGCGGAAGTGAGACGCGACAACACCAGTTTCATCGTCAAGCGAGAGCGCGGTGCCGAATGATGCCTTGCCTGCCAAGGGACACGTCTCGTCTGTAGGTGAGATGAGCCACTGCTGCAGATACCGCATGAACTCTTCTCCCTCGGGCAATCCGACCATGGTGATGTTCCAGACAGGTTCCTTGCCATATAAGCAAGGCTGGCATAGTCGTTCTGAATCTCTCGGCGTACAGAACATGGAAGGATTTGTCTTGCGTACACGGCAGCACGTCTCCATGGCAGGATCAAGCCACTTGAGAAAGTCATCTATCCACGACGCAGTCGGCTGCGAGATAAATGACGACTCAGGTCTCTTTCGTTCAGCCTCGAGAACGTTAGCGACAGAGAACTCATTACAGGTCGTGAAACGACCACAGAGCTCTTGCTGGCCAAGCCGCTTGGTCACGTCAAGGTCGTGAGATACGAAGTAAACTGGAGGTCCGACATCCAAGTACACATCAAGATGATCGAAGTAGTCGTTGAGGTAAGAATCCGAGGGGAGAGCCAACCTTTGATCTGTTAAACGATTAGTATAGTAAAGCTTGACTTAATATCAAATTACGAACCAAGTCCCAGCTGAATGTGCTGCATCGATATTGCAGAGAGTACGAAGAATCCCGCAAAAGTAAGGAGTACAGCACCCTTGACAACTGGCCGAAGGAGGAAAGGTGCGTAATAGCGTTGGATGAAGGGAGCAACCCTGCCGAGTCCACTTGTATTCATGGGAGCATCACGCAGGGCGATGCGAGAAGGCCATGTGATGCAGGGGAAACAGTCAACTCGGCTTGTCTGCATAATTAATTAGTCTAAAAAGTATTCTGTGGACCGACAGACGATCGCCCACCTCTACGCGCTTCAGATCAATGGCAAGCGCACTGACAAAGACAGAAACTTGGAGCAACGCATTCAAGAAGACGCTACCAGCGGCATACAAGGCAAAGTTGCGTACAGCTGGCATGGGCACCAATGCACCAAGGCCAAAAGCAACTGTTTCCGTAACGGAACTCAAAAGAATTGACGGACCCATCTTTGCCAACGTCCGCGCAACCCTTTCCTCTGCAGATAGATATAAGGGTACCGAGGCAGTATCGACAGATTCATCATGTACCGATTCAAAAGGTGAACGGTGAGGGGTAGGGGAGCGATGCGTTCGGTATCCTCCTCCGGGAGCAATTGTTGAAGCATTAGGCCCATGTTGGGAATTTTGCCTATCAAGCTCGTGAACGAGAATAAAGACATTGTCGACACCGACAGCGAGTACAAGGAAAGGGATGACTTCGGCAATGATGAGAGTCGTCTTGACGCCGATAAGAGAGAAGAAACCGACTGAAGATGAGACCGACAAAATGACAAGTCCGATCCCAAGCAAGCCTAACGTGAATTTCGAGTCGACGAAGAGATGACGGGGTAGTCTCGGTAAAATGTGCGGCGTGTCACGGGAATCGTCAGAGACCGAAGAGGAAGTAAGGTTTGACCGTTTGAATAGCTTAGGGAAGTTGCGAGCCCACAAGGAGAGTGATGTCATTACACCCTCTTCCTCCCTTGCTGCTGACCCGTTGCCCAGAGTCAGTGATATGTAGAGAAACATTGCGAGATACGATAGGACGACAATCCTGACGTCAGTGTTGGTACTCCTGCTGATTTCTTCCTCTAAAGAGACGCCGGTAGAGAATGCAATATTCATGCCCGCCTCAGAGGGAATGCGTTCGCTAAGATCGACGAGATATGCCCTCAGAGTTTGCTCCCATTCGACAGCTTTTGCGATTTCCGCCTCGTCGAGTGAATTCGCCACTACATAAGTGACGACGAGAGCCTTTGCATCAAGGTATGAATTGCGCTGAGGCATATCCTCAGGCACGCCACCTAGGACATACTGTGGGCCAAGAGGCTGCTGGAAATCCGGAAGGCAATCCACAGGGGAGTTTGCACATTGAACTAATTGGTTTTTCCAAGACTCCTCGTCGTAATGACTGAAATCATTGCCAAACCATGCACCAACAGACTGAACGACACATGCTCCTTGTGGTCCGGCAGGCTTGAAACATACATCTGTGAGGCGGTAGCCATTGGGGGAAGATTGGAGAGAGCGTATATCACTCTCTACGTCCATCCAGTATCGTAGATGATCGTAACTGAGCACAGGATCTTGCGAAGGTATACCAGTATCTGTGAATGGGGGCGGGTCGATGGTGATAGGGGGGCTTGAGAGTGCAGTGACAAATATTTGCTGTGGACGGTAGAAAGGACCAAAGTGTTCATCGAAATATTCTTTCTGTAGTTTGCTTTCTGAATCGGGAGCGACCCATAGCCGAACTGGGTCAGTCTCAATGTCGAACCTTTGCCAGCCTAAGTTGAGCAAGCCAATCACGGTAAACACGAGTGAAAATGTTAAGAATGGCGAGGATGCTGCAGCAAGGCCTAAACGATAGAAAACGCGACGAAGGATCGTGTTGAGGCGATATTGGCGTGGCTGAGACGCTTCAATGGGGTCAAGAAGGGAAGCACCACGACCGAGCCGTCTGGATTCTGTTGATTGAGCTCCGAGAGAATCGTTTGCGTCACCTTGCGGAAGCGAGACCGCGCCAACAAGACCGCGTGGGTGTAACGTGGGGGAGCGGACGGATGTGGCATCCACTGATAGTGCCATTCTCTCGTATCTTTTCTCTCTTCGCTTCCTTATAGTAGCCTGAAGAACATATCCAAATACAAAGCCAACGGCACACAAGGAGTATGCGAGGATGAGTACGAATGAGAGGCATGAAAGCGTGCCGAATTGGCACGTTGGGCCATTGATCTGAGGCTCGTAAGGAAGTGCAGAACAGACTGTGGGGCAGTCAATGCAAGTGCAGCGGCTTTCCAGATCGTTGTCGGCGCAATTCCGTGGTGTGGGATCTAGCGCAGTGAAATCAAGGGGTATGGAGGAGGGGTAATTTATCTGGAATGGACTTCCAAGGTCCTTCTCATCTCCTAGGAACTTGAGGAATTCAGAATACGTCTTAGCACCTCCCCCAATGAGGTCCATGGCGTATCCGTTGGTGGCACCGACTTGGACGTTCTTGCAGCTATCGAAGAAACCCGAAGCAAATTGTTCGCCGACGAAAAAATCAACCGTCTTCACAGCTGTGTCTCCCGAACTGGTCTTCTGCGTATCCGTGACGTTCAGGAATGATCCCTGGTGTGGTGAACAAGTGAATGAGCAGAAAAACGAACGGAAATCGTTTCGGCATGCAGGACAAGACGAGATGATGAGCTCGGCTTGTGCTAGACTGTCACGCAGGGTCTCGACCTGACCAGAAGTGCAGCAGGTAGGCCCTTCTACGAACTGGGCACCGCAAACTGACACAAGTAAATCTCTGGCTTTGCTGTCCTCGGGCTGGAGTAATAATGGTGAGCAGATATACAATTATGTTACACTATAAAGCGTACTTCGACCGGAGGACCATCATACGGACACGGAAGTTGCTGCCCAAACCAACCCTTCGTTCCACAAGAACCCCTCATAGCACATTGTTCAGCTCCGCTATCTCCTTCCCATCCCAACATGGTGCAGCGAAGTTCGGAGACCCGACGGCCAAAATAATGGACAGTTGAGTTGTTCAATAATGCAACTGATGACGATCAAATAAAAGGTATCTGAACGAAAGTAGCGGCAGCAGTCGGAACTGAGCCAATGTACTTGAGACAATCAACGAGGCTCCACGCAAGTGTCACAGTACGGGCGCTCTCTGAGCCTAAAGTAGTCGTGCGACAACCACTCACGTGGGGGAACAACCCCAGCCACTGGCAGGTCCCAGGAACGATAACTAAGTACTTCACAGCTTGATCAAAAATTGACAATCTAGGGTCCATCGCACCACACCTACATCCATCCGTTCACTAATGGCAGAACAAACACAACCCAAGAAGCCCAACACCGCTGCCAAGCCGCGAAAGCGTTTCGTCGGCTCAAAATCTGCAGCACCATCCAAATCTGGTTCGTCAGCAGCAATCGCCAATCAAATACCCGATGAGATATTGTCGGATGCTTTGCTGAACCAGGCGATTAAGCAGCTTCCTGCAAATTACTCCTTCGAAATCCATAAAACAGTGCACCATGTCCGCAAGAACAAAGCAAAGATGGTCGCCTTGCAGATGCCCGAGGGCCTGCAGATGTTTGCTTGTACAATAGCGGACATAATCGAGCGGTGCGCAGGTGATGGAATTTACTTTTCAGAGCTGCATGCTAAGCTGATTCTTGATGTCGTAGTTTCACCGACGCGCTGACTGTAATCATGGGCGATGTCACTTACGGTGCATGCTGCGTGGACGATTACACTGCAGTCGCATTGGGATGCGACATGCTAGTCCATTATGGTCACAGCTGTCTTGGTGAGTTCATACGCCGCAATTTTCAAGTTTTATCCCTCATATGACCATAGTGCCCATCGATCAAACCACAATCAAGACCCTGTATATCTTTGTCGAAATCGGAATCGACTCGTCTCACTTAACAGAGACGATACGATTAAATTTCCCGAACGATCGACAGACATTTCACAAACAATTACTCGAACATGAAGAAGACAATGCACGGATACCTGCTGGTCAGAAAGTTGGCAAGACTCGCCATCTCCAAATCGAAGGTCCTTCGAGTGAAGGAGAACTCGAAGCTCCAGCTCCCGCCGAACCGACAAGGTTTGCGTTGGTCTCGACAATACAATTTGTAGCAGCTCTACAGAGGTTGAAGGAAGATCTGACGTCGCCGTATTCTGATGCCGGAATGTCATCTAATGGACTGCTGCACAGTGCAGAATCAGAGTCATCAGCAGGAAATGTCTCCAAGTCATCATCTGGTCATCGCCTTTGGACTGGCGTCTACGATGCTACAATACCAAGATCTAAACCATTGTCTCCTGGTGAAATATTAGGGTGCACTGCTCCCCTACTTGGTGACATAGACGCCCTGATGTAAGGGATCGCTTTGTATGTCCAACAAGTGTCTCATAGTGTTTCAGATATCTTGGAGACGGTCGATTTCACTTAGAGTCAATTATGATCGCGAATCCCTCAGTACCTGCTTTTCGATACGACCCCTACTCCAAGAAAATCACGAGAGAGCTTTACAACCATGAGGAAATGCGGACGATTCGAGATGACGCAGTTCAAACGGCGCGTAAAAGCATCACAGCTTTCCCTAGAACATCCTCTTCACAGGGGATCCTTGCCCCAACTGATGAAAATCCGATATGGGGCATCATTCTCGGCACTTTGGGGCGCCAGGGCAGTTTCAAGCAGATGCAGGCGATCACCCACCAACTCTCTAGCTCAAATACAGATATTCCTTATATCCCTATCCTGCTTTCTGAACTCTCGCCGGCAAAGCTTGCACTGTTTAACCCATATATATCGACGTTCATTCAAACGGCGTGTCCACGGTTGTCGATAGACTGGGGGTACGCTTTTGACAAACCGCTCCTCAGCCCATATGAAACAGCAGTTGCGGTAGGGCAAGCAAAAGGGTGGATGAATGAGGAGAAAGAGGGACGTGAAAGGGCTAGAGGTGGAAGATATCCTATGGATTTCTACGAAGCAGGCAGTCCGTGGGCTGTTGCTAGGACGAAGTCTTCATATCTTTAATTCAAGCACGAGTCTCGGTAAAGAATGACGACACTGATGATCGTATAGGCTAAGCATGGGCATGACTCGTCTGCTGCACTCTGTACTCACCCAGCGGAATTGCCAGCAAAATTGCCATGAATGGTACTACGTCATCCGCACATATGTAGTGTATTGACCTTATGTCGACTTTTACCCCTGAAGGCTATGACAGCGTGTGCCGCACTAGCTAAAATCTGCACCGAGATTCATTGTCGCATGTCGCCCGACTGTTTTTGATTACATCAAGACAAGAAGGAACGGCTATTGATCTATCTAGGGGCGACTACTTATTAAACACCGCCACAACATAAGTAGTCACATGCAGGTTGTACATAAACCTTGTTCAAGTTCAGTCCCTTGCATCATGCACATCTGTCTCTTACCCACAGAAATTATACTACACATAATATTTGATATCTACACAGACCACAAAGGGGTTGTTGGACGTGCCACACTTGCTGCTCTTGCAAGAACATGTAGGAAATTCAAGGAGCCTGCGCTTGACAGCCTTTGGAAAGACATGTTGGGGTTCAAGCCACTCATCTCATGCCTACCTGAAGGTGTCAGTAACACAAATGTGCAAGGACAGTTGGTGAGAAAAACATCAAATCATCCTCAGGGTATCGAGTACTCAAAATACAATTTGCACATAGACGCTCAAAAGACCTCTCTCAAATTCAGAGTGGAAGCTTGTGGATCGATATGCATGACGTATCCACTCCTTTACCGTGTTCACCTATGATCTAGACAACTTGAGTGATCAAGTAGTGCAAGCCCTCATTTCTGCGCCATCAGCCACACCGCTCTTGTCGAACCTTCGCAGTTTGGCTTGGTATGACGACCAACATTTCTTTCCGCTGTTGCGCACCCTCTTTGGGCCAACTATCACATCAATGAAGCTGGGATTGCAGCCCTCGTTTGCCTCATCGGCTTTGTTGGCTTCCCTCGGAGCTCGATGTCCATCCATTCGGGAGCTCGACTGTGCATGTCATGGTGATTCTGAAGAAAGTTCCGATATAATTGTAGAAGCCCTATGTGGCTTGCGGAAGCTTTTTCGTCTTCAAACGGGAGTCCTTCATACCGGAGACCTTGTTCGTTTGGCTTCATTACCGTCGTTGAAGTCTCTGTACTTTGACCTGATGGATTACGATATCGACGAGCCGCAAATTCATTCCACTCCAACAAGTCTCTCCCAACTCGATGAAGTGTACATCACTGCACCGTCACATTCCGTCCTTAATCACTGTCTCAAAAATGTCCGTTGTCTCTCCTGTCGATCATTGAAAATGTCTGTGGATCCCAATTATTTCGGCGATGATCCAGAGGTCTTGTTACTCCTGTACGGTCCGTTGGAATTTACAGACATCATCTCCCTCTCGCAGTGCTTCTCTCCTGTTCTTGAGGAACTTGTTTTTGAATTGGAGTTCGAATTCAGCGGCTTCAACGACGAAGACACACTTGCTAATCCCATGTTTGCACTTGGCTTTGACACGGTTGTCCCATTGCTGTCGTTTAGTCGGTTGACAAACTTACGGCTTGATTGGATTTGCACTTCGGCCATTGATGACGCCTCACTCAAGACGATTGCGCAATCCTGGCCTCAGCTCGAGACTTTTTGGTTCGGAGGTTCGGTCCCATGGCTGGTCCCGCCATCTCTCACCTCCATAGGATTTGCCCACCTCATATGTCATTGCCGGCGCTTGTGCGACATTCAAATGTCCTTTCGTGCATATCCAGTCGATATCAACAGCGAGCCGTTCTCTAAAACCATCCCCAACGAGAATATCACCAGTTTTTCTGTGGGGGTGTCTCCAATTATCGATCCCATCGGTGTGGCTTGTCAACTGCGTAGATTGCTGCCCAAGTTGGCTGAAATCTACTTCCTCGACTGGCTCGCTGACGAGCTCCCCGTGCCGTCGTCATTTGAACATTATGAGGATGGATGGAGTAGGGTGAATGAGTTCCTGGGGGTTCGTCGCTACCAGCGCAAACATGAGAGATGAAATGTGCTAAACACCACGGGAGCCCATGCTGCTGGCTTGACGGGCCTTGGACATATTGTGCAGTGACTTGGATAACCTACAAATATGTATTATCTAGGTCTGGCGAATGCGTTCGGCATGTACGACGGCGAAGGCTCGAGTGGAGCAGCGGATCCGGAGGGGCTGCACGGCATCCATACTTTTGTAAATACAAATTATTGCTGCTGTGAGATCACTATACCATATAATGTATTCAAAGAATGAAATAAGTGCCATGGCATGTCAGATGAGATATTTGTAAAGAACGAGAAATTTAAATTGATAATGACCGTCGGTATACTCAGTAGATACACAACAGACAAAGAGCCAAAAACGAGTCCAGCGTCCAGCTTGTCTTATCGTTACATCGGGATTAGTGCTTGAAGTTGTATGAGCGGCGATTGAAGGTGTGGTGGATGATGTAGAGATAGCAGCCATTCAATTTTGTCTACTCTTTTACATCGCTCATAAGCGGTATGCGTATTCTTCAATTCGTATTCCATTTCTTTACTGATTTTTTTGATATTTTAACAGCTTTCGGTGCACTGCTTCTGGGGTCACTGCTTCAGGGGTGGAGCGGCTTTGTCTGGGCTATGGTGTCTTTCTCGAGTGCCCTGGTGTTGGACGCTGTTTTGATGAAGAACGTACGGAGGCTTCTAGACGGTTTAGTCGACTAACGTGTTCTTGCCATAATTTACTACAAGCAAATTGGTTCCGCGGCACCAAACGCTCCGTCCTTACAATGTGTACTAGATAGACATATAACTCCAGCTATTTTGAGGGAGGGAGGGAGGGAGGGAGGGAGGGAGAGGTAGTGTCGAGGTGAAATGAAGTATCACTGAGTAAATAAACATAAAACATAAACATAGGGAGACTTAATGAAATATTTTTAGATTGAACGAAACGGAGTGATGGGATCATGGATGGATCTCCCGTTAAAAACGAGCGCATGAAGCAGCGCGGGGTTTTTTCGTACATAAATCCGAAACGAATCACTGGACCAACGACCCATAGCTTGAATGCGGTCAGATGAAACACCCGATGCCGCAAGAGATGTAGCTCCGCCTGCTCGCAAGGAATGATGCCCCGATATGGAATCGGGAAACAAAGCCCGCAGACGAGCGATGAACCACGCACGTGTAGGAATAGACCCGTCACTGCGCAGCCAGAGAAAGCTGTTGAAAGGAAACAGTTTGTCGCGAGATGCGATGTAGGATAAGAAAGCGTGGTGAGGGTCCGCAGACTCAGTGCGCTGGATGATGATGGTGCTGCCTTCAAACTGGTTGTCAGATTTGTGTCGTCGAAGGACGAAGGACGAAGGAATGATGAGAGTCGGCAAGCACCACGGAAGTACGCAGAGTAACTTTGTCGAAGGACTGTAGGGATGAGTTATCCGGCCATACGAGCTCGCCGAGTCGCAAGAGGCCATAAAATCCATCGAAGAGCTGAGCGATGAAGAGAAGATCATCGTGACTAGGTGGCAGTGGTATTACTTCAAGAGTGGTCTCTAGATCTGCACGGGATAGAGGAAGCTTACGCCGAATAGGTACTCCATACCGGCGTTTAGCCCCACGCAACGTATGAGATACAAGACGAGAGCGTCTGTTTTGACGGACGTCCGGATAAAACTCTTCGAGAATACTACAGATTCCCGAGAGGTAGTTGTCAACATGACGAGGGTTGATATGAGCTGCTATGAAGGTGACGAATAGTGAGAGCGTATCAGCAGTCGGATCTAGCGCAAGATGGTGAAGATCGCAAAATGTGATATAAGAGTTCAACGCCGAGGAGTAGGTTTGGTTTGTCGACCTGTTAAGGGCAAGGCCGAGGTTAACAGAACGCTCATAAATGAGACGCTCCATTGGCCAAGCAGCCCGAACCGGCTGCTTAGCCTTTACCGACATATGAATTATTTTTTAGATACCCCCAGCGCATTCCGAGGGGGTTGAAAAGGTAAGATCCGCAAACCGGGTGAACACCTTACTGCATCCACCGCCCGCCAACGAGAGAGATGATCAGCAACTGGTTCCATTGGCAGTTTTAGACATGAGGAAACTTTCGATGCAATAGAGATTTGCGCAAAATTACACTAGCGAGATAAGTGATTCGAATGAGAAGAGAAACGGAAGTCAAGTTTGAACAGCGTACCTAGCGAGACAAGTAATTCGAGTGAGAAGAGGTAAGTAACTCCGCTTCACTCAGTCTCGCTAGACATAGACCATTTACTCCACTAAAGGAGGTGGCAATGAGGATTGCATAAGGCATATTTGACATGCCGAGTGATGCGCAGGGCATCGGCCAAAGGTGGCCAGTAGCAATGAGGATTGCATAAGGCATATTTGACATGCTGAGTGATGCACAGGGCATCAGCCAAAGGTAGCCAAGGGACTGGCCCTGAATAAAGATAAGTCTCGGGTAGACCCGAAAGACAAAGCTGCTGAGGGGCGCGCTCGTCCAATTACCCTGGTGTAAATAAAGTTGAACTCGATTAATAATGACCGTCAGTATACTCAGTAGATGCACAACAAAGAGCCAGAAACGAGTCCAGCGTCCAGCTTGTTTTATCGTTACATCGGGATTAGTGCTCGAAGCTGTATGAGCAGCGATGTGAGGTGTGGTGGATGATGTAGAGATAGCAGCCTGTGGTTGAAAAGATAACCGGGCGTGAGTCGTGCCGCTGGATTGAGATGTGGCGTTGCTGTTTGGAGGCCGTGAACTGCTCGCAGCAGGTCTTTTCGGGATTGGCTTCCGTTTCTCTCTTGCTGACGCGTTCCTCTGTGTGGTATGGGATGTGGTATTGGGATGAGGTTCGGACATCGAAGAGGGGAGAAAATGACGTACGGGACGCCAACTACTGGATCGCACAGCTCGATCTGTGCACCGCTTGGTCTACCAGAGAAAAGGCTTCGAATCCAGCGAAAGAGGCGTGGTCGGGACGGTGTGCGGTAGGCATCGGATCACGGAGAAAACTGAAAACATGAGGTCAGAAAAAGATCGCGTGAGACGTTGAAGACGTACGTGAGCACGATGTGGTTGATCGTCAAAAAAACCTTGGGGTAACCGATTGGGGATCCTGATCGGCTGACGGGCGGGACGTCATGTAGTGTCAGCCTAGAATACATAAGTATGGGTGCAATGAGAATGGTCATGGAAATGTCACGTACAGAGAGTACCGACTTGTCGCGTTGGTCGTCGAGGTCAGCTTCTTTTACTATCGCACAAACATCCCACGTGTAAGCGTTGTGGTCATTGCAGCCAGTGGCTAGTAGCTTTCCATTTGCCGAAAATAACGCAGTTCAGTGCATTAGCATGGAGGGGCGAACTGATGGGCTGGCCATTTTCGAGGTTTCATAATTGCACTGTGTCGTCTTCGGATGCGCTTCCGAGGATGCGGCCAGAAGTTCGCCTAACCTAATAATATCGCAATGGCATAGACAAAGTCGGTGTGCTCTATGTAGCAGTGTGACCTGGAAGGTTCGATCATCTTCTGAATCCTGATCGAGTGATCGGATGACCCGGAGATAAGTGTCTTTCCATCCGGGGTCCAAGCAAGGCACAACACGAGAGCTCGCCTGTCTTCGTGTCCCGTATGTTTAATTTTTGATTGGGTACTCATCAGTCCTGGCCATGGGCTCGTTGTATCCAGCGGTCGCGAACATGGTCATGTCTGGCGAGTAGACAACTGCGTCTACGAACGTATCCCTTGTCTCGATCGCACCCGGCCGAGGATGGTCTCCATTCTCACCTGTACCTGTAGGTTTGATGTATCACCACCTATAACTATAAGTCATTCGTGATACATGAATTGCTTCTTTGTCACCTGGTGCCCAGGTCTTGCCGTGGCAATCGAAAGTAAATAAATTTTTATTCCGCCTCGGCATCGACGTAAAACAAGGAGCGCGCGCAAACTTACACACATCAGGACGATATGGCTTGGTCTGCCACTTTCGATTCTTCCAGCCTCACTGGCCCGGGAGCCTCGTCGATGGACACTCATTCGGTCGTTGGCCCTTCCAATGCGACCGAGGATGATTTGAAAGCTAAAGGTGGGGAGGTTACATCATTTTCCTGACTCAGACTCACTCTGTTCATAGCTTGCGAAGTTCTTCTGGCTTCTGAAGTCTGACCCCTTTAACATTTTTCGTTTGGTGGTGAATCCCGACAGTTTTGGTCAGTCTGTCAAGAATCTAGGTTGGCAGTGGGCATGTACGCACTTCGAGGATATATCTTATGTTTCCGAGATGACCCTTGCGAGGCGCGTGAAGTGAATTTCTTTTCATAAACAGACTATCATAAAAAGGAGGTTTTGGCACTGGGCCTAGTTAAGATGTACCTTCGATGACCTATACACCACAAAAATGTGATCAGTAGGTTTAGAATCAACACCAAGAGCAACAGATTTCGACTTTGTTGAGATAACCACTTGGCTTCGACTAGCTAGCATGAACCTCCGACAGAACTACATGACTCATGAGTGAATGTCAAGGTGTATTCCAATGGAAAAAAAAAACTTGTCGTTCAGCAGGTTTCAAACCTGCACAGCCCAATAGAAACAGATTTTGATTCTGTCACGGTGGTGATAACCACTTTGCTAAGACCAGTTAGAGTTAACATGAGCCTCTCAGGAAACAATCCATGAGTGAATGTCAAGGTGTGTTGCGATAGCAAAAAAGCGTTCTCGCTGATCGCGGCAGGTTTCGAACCTCTACAATCCAAGGGGGACAGATTTTGACTCTGATAACCACTTGGCTAACACCAGCTACGGTAAACCTCCGAGGGGCTATACATGAGTGAATTTTCAGTGCATGTTCCAATAGGAAAAAAAAAAAACTTCTTGTCGGTAGGTTCGACAGATCTCGATTCTGTTGTGGTAGCCAGCTCTGAGCTGGCTAGGACCAGTTAAAATGGACCTCTGAGGAAACCATTGATGAGTGAATCATTCAGTGCGTTCCAATAGAAAAAAACTATTGTCGGCAGGTTTCGAACTTGCGCAGTACAAGGGAAACAGATTTTAATTCTGTTGCGGCAACCAATGGGTTAAGACCAGATAAGATAGACCTTCGAGGAAACCATCAGTGAGTGAATCATTCGGTGCGTTCCGGTAGAGAAAAAGCTATTGTCGGCAGGTTTCGAACCTGCGCAGTACAAGGGAAACAGATTTTGATTCTGTTGCGGCAACCAATGGGTTAAGACTAGATAAGATGGACCCTCGAGGAATGCATCAATGAGCGAGTCTTGAAGGCATATTCCGATAGAAGCAAAAAGCCATTGTCGGCAAGTTTCGAACCTGCGCAGTACAAGGGAAACAGATTTTGATTCTGTTCCGGCAACCAATGGGTTAAGACGGACCTTCGAGGAAACCATCCATGAATGAATCATTCAGTGCGTTCCGGTAGAAACAAAAGCTATTGTCGGCAGGTTTCGAACTTGCGCAGTACAAGAGAAACAGATTTTGATTCTGTTGCGGCAACCAATGGGTTAAGAGTAGATAAGATCGACCTTCGAGGAAACCATCAATGGACGAATCTTGAAGGCGTATTCCGATAGAAGAAAAAACCTATTGTCAACAGGTTTCGAACCTGCGCAGTGTACAAGGGAAACAGATTTCGATTCTGCTGTGGCAACCACTTTGGTTAGGGCGCTTCCTGCACAAGTCGAGATGAGCCTCTGAAGAAATATCCGTAAGTCATGAATGTTGAAGCAGCGAGTCAGGGACTGGCTCCG